AAAGATGACCAGCCCATGTCCCCCCATACTCCCTCATTTGGTGTCTTTCCATGCTCCCCACTGCCAATCTGCCTCCGCTTCTTTGTCGAATCTCTAATCCTGATTGAACCTCTGATTTCATGCACAGTACCCCATTGCCCAAAGAGATGGTACCATATATCACTCCTTTACAATATACCCCTGATGTGACTTCATATTTATTGTTCCATAATGCCTTGAGCTTTATAATAGATTAATTTCCTTTTCCTTTTCTAATTACATTCTCCTCATGTTGCTCTAGATATTTCCTTCCCTCATGGAGCCACACTCGCAGATATTTGTATTATTGTTGGATCCGAGATTGCCAACTGAGCATTGCGCAGAACGTCGGTGGGACGTTTGAAGGGCACCCATCGCGACAAAAAGTTCCTCTGTGAAGAATGACGCAGCGACTATTTGAGCGTTGATTTCTTTATTGTCACTGCGAAATGGATTTGGAGCGTTTATTTGGCAACTGGACCTGTCCTCTTGCCAACATATGGTGTCTGGAATGCAGTTGTGACTAGAAACACACACAGACACAGACACACACACACACACACACACACACGCACGTATGTGTGTGTGTGAGCTCTGTCGTTCTGTCAGTGACTAGATATCAGCGCCCTGGTTATCACTTAGAATTTTCAGAAACATTTGGTTAAAGAGACCTTGATGTGAATTGGTCTGTGTCATTTTGGAGCAGCTCTTGGTGCAGTCAAAAGTCAATTTTGGAGCAGCAAAAGGAACTTTTGTAGCATGAGCGCACATTCATTTTTATTCATACCAATGCAAACATTATGTCAAGAATAATGGAGGAGGAAATGCCTGTTCAGAGGTGCCTATGAAGACGTGGCGGACGCGGTCAGCCTCGGACATGTCTTTGCCAAAAACGGCAGCAAAGCGAAGGGACGTCTTCAATATAGGAAGTGTATCGGTCTCGCTGGAGGATTCAATACTGGCTGCCAATTAACTTCCATCCTGCTTCAGCTTCGCGGTTGGTTCGTTTGCCGAAGATTTCGGCTACCTAAGTTGGACGCCCCGGACGCCCCTACCACCTCGGTTTCGGAGTCAATCTTGCCGCCCCCCCCCCCCCCCCCTTTTTTTTTTTTTTTTTTTTTTTTTTTAGGCGTTTTTTACAGCAGGTAAAGCGGCATTCAGACGGCGGAGAAATCTCGGGAGATTGCTACCCGGAACGCGAATTACGCGGCAAAAACGTTGTAGGGGTTTGCAACGCGGGCGCTATGACGTCAGCTCCAGCTACTGCCGAGGAAGGGATGGATGCTCGGGCGGTACAAACAATCTCGGTTTTCTGACGGGTCAGTTCGTTTTCAACTATATTTTGTCATTAAACGCTTTGGTGTTGGGTGTAGACCGCTAAATTCGTCTGCGGTGGTGTCGAGTGGAAACGGCTGAAATGTGCTGCAAACGCCGGAATCCCCCCCCGCCGATCTGCGGGTCTCGCTTCTCCGGTGTACATCGGGGCGCGCAGAGAAGTGCACTCAACGGAGCAAGCTCACCCGCCCGACCACGGGCAAAAAGAAATATCGCAGACACTGTCAATGTTCGATACGGAGATCAAATCGAATAGTACGTTATTCGAAGGTATACAAAGTTTTAAAATTTTGCACAGCCTACCGTGACATTATTGAAAGTGATCACTGAATGTTTTGAAATGTTGCGCAAGCCTACCATAACATCATTCGATGTAAACATTGCAAGCTTTTAAAACGTGCCCAAGCCTAAATAGGGTGACCACATTCCTCATAGTCAAATGCGGGACACGCTGACCGGGGGGGTGGGGGTGGGGGGGGGGGGGGGGTTCACAATGGCGGCATCTAAGAAAGATACATTGGAGGAAATGTATTACGACCACGCACACCACTAAACGTGTCTGAAAGCATATTATACACCTGCACACTGTATTGAGGCCATTAAGCTCAAATAACTTTCACGCCCAGTGATGTACATATATATATATATATATATATATATATGTATACATTTTAATTTTAATGACAAGTAAGCTATCAAGTGTGTCTAAGTTTAAAACATCAAAATTGATTGCAACAAAGCTCAATGCATCAAAGGTAAAGAAGAAAGAGTAAACCTTTTTTTCGCTTATTGTTTTCTGTCGATATACTTTTACCAACATACTCTTACTCAATTTTAGAACCTTATGTTTTTATTAAAACTTGGGTTTGGGCTAGTTGGCTCACACTGAATTAAAAGGATAAAAGTGCGAACAAAACGAGGACGGTAATAAGGTGGAGAACTGGGCCAGTTGGTTGACGTTATACATGTCCTGTCGTGTTTGTTCCTCTTCGTAGCCCGTGTTTTCTGAACTGTTTTCCCCATAATGTAAAACGAGGACAATAAAGACACAAAGACGACAGGACAGGCGCTACCTTTTCACTAAAAAATTGTTCACATCAGCCTGTTCGTTTAATTTGAAAATAATTGCAATAATTTATATTTCACATTTTGGGTAGCAATTTTCCCTTGCAGTGCTTTTCCACAAGGGGGAGGGGCACCACAGCACATGCGCGTCGATCTCCCGTAAGAACGACGGCAACGACGGTCGCTTCCCGCAATGCTAGGATAGTAATTAGCGCACCATCGGCATTTACACGATTGCCAGAGGCCTCCACGCTTCCCCGCGCCCCTGTGTTCGGCAGCGCCATGAGATAAATTGTGAATTTTACGACAGCGTGAAATGCGGGACATTTTGAACATTTTTGGATTATCTTGCGGGACGCGGGACACAAGCCCTCAATGCGGGAAAGTCCCGCGAGTCGCGGGACGGGTGGTCACCCTAAGCCTAAAGGAGGGGGGAGGCGCCACGGCTGGAGTTCGCCTAGGGCGCTTGATGGTGTAGGGCCGGCCCCGATCTAACAGAGCTATTAGTTTCATCACTGAGAAAGTGAAATGTTTGGGCATATTGTTGGCACAAATTTCTCCCGTTCTGACGAAATATAGAATCAGCAGGGTAAGCACTTTCTCTCAAATTCCAGAGTAACTTACCATATCACTACTATCGAACAATAAAGTTCCCTCCAGTTTTGTCAAACAATCTCAGGACTGCAATTTTTATACAAATTAAAAACAAAAACAAAAAAAAATCTATTTTTTTTTTTTTTTTTACTTTGATGAAGAAGGAAGTGCAGCGGAGCTGTAGCTTCTGTTCTCGGCGGTAATTTTCCAGGCGAGGGATCTGCTCTTCTTTCACAAGGGAAACTGAAGCACTCGACGCAGTGGAACTTTAGGCGATAGCAGCCTCGCGGCGGTTGCGGAACCATTCGCGCTGCTGCGCACATCGCCGCTCGTTCCGCTCCCGTTCTTCTTCCTCCGAAGAAACATTGCCACCATCTATGAGCGACAGCAGCAACCAGTTGTCTGGTTGCCGAGGCTGAAACGGTTGCGGGGATCTATGAGCGACGGCGGCAAGCAGACAACCGGCAGACACAACTCTGGACAGCTACTGCCATCTACCAGCGGCGGCGGCAACCAGAGCGTTGTGTTGACCACGGGTGTCGACATTTGTTCGGTACCGGACACGATCCAGGGAAAACTAGTCCGTAAACAAACCTCTGTAAAAAAAAAAAAAAAAAAAAAAAAAAAAAGAGGAAGGTGTATGGCAACACCCACAGTACAAGCCAAACATATCTCGGTGTGACAACCATTTGTTCGATAAATTCAAAACTGAGCTTAGTGGACAGTGATTTCAAACTGGCAAACTGATTGCAGTCCCGAATTGGACACAAAACTAGAGAAGACTTTTCCAATACAAGTACAGACATTCCAGCAAGTGCTTCGTCCTTCAGAAACTGTCGAAAAAAAAGGAAAGGGTGTTTTTTTGAACGAACATGCATGGACATGAGTGTGCCTTTATTTTTGTGCATCATTCAGAAGTGTTAACTTACTTTCACAGCATAGAATGCTTTGAACAGAAGTACCTAATCCCAGGATTTGGTCACTTAGCAGGAAATTGGCATAACGCAACCATGTGCATGACACCTCAACACCCCGCTAAATTTAGCGGGGAGATGCCAGGTCGAGAGACGTCTACTCCAATTAAGTGCGGGAAGTAATAAACATTATCCACCCCTCAAAATGAGTTTAATATCCTCTGTACAAATTTGAACAATTCTTCCTTATACTATAGCTTGGATCTTTCCTTTTCTGGTTTTATTTTTGTTAACTATTTTAACATCAGCCAAGTTTTACCTTGTTCTGATGGTTGTGTCCCCATCATCCTCGTTTGGGTTGCTTTTCCTCTTTTCTGTCCCCCAGTTTAGGGGTTCAAAGCTCCCAAAGTCTTCAATGGGTTTTGCCCATTTTCCTGTGGGGACCATCCAGCTTAACCTTGATTTTCTTTCGTGTGCTTTTCAGCTTAGGCCGTAGTCCGAAACAATTGGAAGAAAATAAAAATGTTTTTTTGGTAGACGTCAAAATGAATTTCCCCGTTCAGGAAATGTCATAGATGTGAAAAAAGAATAAAACCAGAAACGAAGAACCCCAACTACAGTCCATTCAATGCATAGAAGGTAGAGGTCATAGCTTAATTTTCTTAATATGCCCTCGCACAAGCATTTCCAACCCAGGCACGCGACCATGACGAATCTTGGCAGTAAGAGCCCACCAAAGAACAGCCAGCATTGGCCACACTGAGCCAGAAGATCGATAAAAAATGTTTTTGATGGGAAGGTGAAAGTGCTTACGGTTCTTTGCAGACGCCATCTACCACCAGAAGAGCCAATACCAAAAGCACTTCCATGACTGCTCATTTGGCTGCCAAGTCAAGGAGAAAAGTAGACTCAAATGTCCAATGTTTTTTTTTGTAAAAGTTAGTACGTTGAATTGAAAATAGGTTCTCCTTATAGGTTCCAGGAATGCACGGGATACATTGACGGCACTCCTTAGCGAGTCAAAAAGTTGTTTCACAATTTCTTGGAAATCCGAGGGCTTACAGAACAAGCATATGACAGTTCACGAGATATTTATTCAAAAACGTAGACAGGCACAGAAAAAAAAAAATATAACAATTTTTTTTTTTTTTTTTGTAATACAACATGGCTTGCACAAAAGGAATGAAATCTGAACTGCCTTAGAGAAACTCTCGCCATTGGCCCTTTACAAAAAAAAAAAAAAAGATGCGAAGGGTTTGAAATAATTTTGCAGTCGTGACTGGGAGAAAAGAGAGCATCACGAAACAAAGAAAAATTTTGGTTGGAACGGTAGAGGGGGGGGGGGGGGTGGGGGGAGGGGGGGATCTAAGCAGACGTTGGGACGGATTCCGGCGGTACTTCGGCTTCGGCTGTTTTTGACTCTTCCGGAGAAGATGGTTCCTGGTTGTTCTCTTCGGATGACTTGTTCCACACGCCCGGCTCCAGGGGTTCCTCGGAGCTCGGTGGCTTGATCACCGCCGGGGACGTTTTCTGCGATTAAGACGTGGCATGATGCAAGTTGAGGGCGCAACAAATTGGCATATAATATAAGTGCGCCGACTGTACACTGTGAAATTGGAAACAATCAACTTCCTATTTTCCCTTGAGGGTCCATATAGACAAAAAGGAAAAATATTTGCAAATTTAACTTCTGAATGTCTCTACATTTACTTCTAAATGTCCGCGGAACACCAAAAATAATTTTCTACGATTGCTCTGCCCCTACATAAAGTGTCGAAGGCACCTTCTCTCCTCTTGTTCGTGAAAAGAGCAAGCAACTCAACGTACAACAATAACTGCTGCCTTCCACTCCTCCAACGCACAAAGAAAAACAGCCTGTAAACAGAGCACAACAGCATCACCGGTCTCTCGACAAAGGATCTAGAACGATGGCGGCTCCCTCAAGCTGTCAATTTGCGAATGAGTGGAGGAATGTTGGCTTCAAGCCTGGCATCGTAGTACGGCCAAGACGGTTCCCAACTTTTGGAGGCAGACCAACGCAGAGCCGAGAAGGTACTCACGGGCGCGTCCTTGGCCGCCATGCGCTCGAACATGTTCTTGTACATCTGACGCTCCCTCTGGAGCTGCTCTTTCTGCTTGGCCGCACACACGGTCAGCTGGTTCTTGGCCGCCTTGTTGTTCGCGTCAATCTGCAGGACCTGCTCGAAGTCACTCCGTGCCTCGTCAAAGTCCTTGTTGGTCATGTGGGCCTGCGGAGGGAAGGACGAATGATCGTTTTAAATTCCTCAGTTTCCACCCATTTCAGTGTACGTTCTTCACTGTAAAGGCCTGTTCAGCACTAATTCAGCAATGTGATGCATGTGTGAACGAGCCCTAAATTCCATAAAGGAGTTTTGTCAATCCCTAGATAACCGACACTAATATATACCCTCAATGCTGATGTCTCAGAAACAAGGTAATAAAGGCCAATGAAAAAAAAAAAAAAAAAAGTTATTCATATTTTAATACAGTACAACACAAATTAATTTGAGGAGACGGCAAAAGCTCTCTTACCGGTTCTTGTCAAAAAGAGTGCATAATTTTCATCTCTGAAATACTAAAAAACCTTTGGCATAGTTGTATGCAGGCAGATTGGAAGTGTTGCAGGTCTACCTAACATACGGTGCCAATGCGTTTGAAGTTCCCCAATAAAATTTGTACTTCACAATTCTGACGAGTACTGACAACCGCCGTTGCGCGATTGTGCAAGACACGCGTCTCAAGCGAGGGCCGCATGGGGCACGGGCATGGGACTCGTTCATTGGAGCACTTCATGCTACTTGTAAAATGAACACAAACACGTCGAGGGATATGGAGTGTTTTCTCTTGTTGCAAGCGGTCAGAAGCCTTCACAACGCAGCCAATCACAAACTTGCGAAACAGCCCTAGATAAAACGAGCCCACAGCATCTCTAGTTTCCCCAAGACCCATCTCTAGTTTCCTTGAGACCTCCGCGGGGACCTCGCCCGGACCAAATTGACGCTTCCTCACCTGTCCCCTGCGGAAGAGGGCCTTCTCGCTGCGGGGGTCCAACTCGAGCGCCTTGTTGCACGCCTTGATGACCTCCATGGTGTCCTTGAGCCGCAGGTGGCACAGGGAGACGTTGAGGTAGTTGGCTAGCATCACTGCGTCCCTCCTGGCCTTCTTCTCCCCCTCCAGGGTGTCCTCGTGCTCCAGCAGGTCCACCGCACGCTTGTACTTGTCCAGGGCCAACTGGTACTTCTCCGCCTAAAAGCCGCGGCCAAATTCCGCGAGTCAGCCAGCGAGCCGACGGCATCCGCAGCACAGAAGCGAGTTTTTGTATCGTCCTTATAGGACACAAACTCAATCTATGTGCCCTAGCAAAAGATTATAATCAGGCGTTCCCTTTTTCAAATAAAACCGTGACAAAACCTTGCAACACCCACTTTTTCTGATACACAAGGCCCCCCCCCCCCCCCCCCCCCCCTCTCTCTAAAACATTTATGAGCTATTTTTCATTAAAAAAATAAAAGATGCGTCACAAAACAAATGCTCATCCTCCGCTCAAGAGTAGCAGCGCCAGCGATCTGAACCAAACACCAAAGTTTCAGAACTAACCGCCATCTTATTTAAAAGTTGTAAGTAGGGTTCCGTGTTTTCAGACTACACCCCAGTAAATTTTCCGTCAATCTGGATTAATAAAAAAAAAAAAAATGAAAAAAAAAAAAAAAGACTGTGTGTTACTAATGTACTTTATAAGAGCACAAGGTCAGTGGTCTTGAGGAGATGCCACTTCAGTTTCTTTTAAAATCTGGAGGTACTGACAAAAGGGGTTTGCCTTTTAGCTAGTCAAGGTTCCTTCAGGACAACGGGTCATTGTACCCAAACTTTATTTATTTATTTTGTTTCTTATTTTTTAAAAATTGGGAACACCGTAAAACAAACTCCAAATTTCGCAGAAATGGGAATTTAACAAAAATAAACTCCGTTACAGCCCAAATTTTCAGCAAAAGTTAAAGTCCGTAAAACGTCCTCCAAATTTTAAGAAAATCACTCACAACTTTTGAACAAGATAAGGGTTTGTTCCGAAACTTTGGCACCTCGCTCGAACCACTAGTGCTACGTTTGAATGAAGACACGGCGTTCAGCGATATTGCTGCGTGCACGGAGAGGAAATGCATCTCCATACTTCTAGAAGCTTCGTGTCTACTCTTACCCCGAGTGTGACAGATAAGGAGGCTCCTTATCTAGTACCCTCGGTATCTTGAACATTGAACCTAGAATGTTCCCGTCTCAAATACTCAAGAAATGGACTCGGCAAGGTCACGCTGGCCTCATCTATTACGCTCTGGGTAAAAGTAAATATGAATCTTCTAGAACAGCGGTTCTCAAATGGGGTCCTCGAAGGCACCCTAGGGGTTTGCGAAGCCCTGCCTCATCAGTCAAGCCCGGCAATAAAGGTTGTTTTTTTAGATTGAGAAAAAACATTTTAAATTTCAATTGAGTTTTCTCGTGTGTGTCTATGGAAAACTTTCAGCCTTTCCAATCTGGTGAAGAAGGAAGACCAGCGAAGCTGTACTATGATGGAACGACCTCAAGTACGCCGCCCAGAGGACGACTTCTAGGATGACCTGGAGGACAACGCCTAGGACGACCTCTAGGACGACGTCTAGGATGACCTCAGCGATGATTTCTGGGATGACCTCGAGGATGACGCCTAAAGAAATTTAGCACTTCCACTGTGGTGAAAACCAGAGTGGAAAGGCTGGAAAGGTTGCCGCAGTCTATGAACCCAGCCCTTAACAGCTCCGCTGTAAAAGTCTAGCCTTTAGTTACACTACAGAACTTGAAAGTATAAAACGGAGAGGACGAGGACGGAAACTTTGAAAGATGTCCTGTTCCCGTCCTCGTCCTCTCTGTTTTATACTTTCCAGTTTTGTATCTATTAACCAACACGCTCATTTTCAATTGTAGTTATACTAATTTAGTAAATCATTATGATAATGAACCTACACTCTTTCCTTTCCCTCACCACAAACGGGGACCCCCATCATCTTCGGCAATTCACAAGGGGTCCGCAAAACAACAATGGTTGAGAACCAGTGTTCTATAAGTAAGAAGAAGGGTTTCCTTTTGGCTATGCAAGCGGCAATGTGCCGTTTATTTCTGCAATTAAGGAAAACAACATTCTTTTGGGGGTGTAGGTGGGGGGGGCACATAGTAAATTAAGAGAAGAGTAGTACCGGGCTCACACGAATGTAAGTCGACCCATATTTCAAGGTTTGAAAAAAATGGGTCGACTTATAACTGAACTAAAGCATTCCACCATTGACAAAAACGAAACAATCGCGATAACGAAACAACACGGCGGTGTACAGTGCACCGCGTGCCTGACTCCCGGGGGTGGTGGCACTTGATGCAAGAGCCACTCCGGAATGGCCGCTGGAACAGCCTCACCGCCTCACTCCCCACTGTTTCTTTTTGCACGATTCACGGTTGAACGTTGGTTGATCAAGTGCCGAGATCATGCTGGAGTGAAAACTACATATCTCTGCAATGACACACGTGATCTATGCAGGTTAGGTGTTTAGCGCTTGTTCATGCCATTCTTCATTCACAAGCAACGAACAACAGCGCTGCTGGATGCAAGTTCAACCTGTCGGAGTGGGTGGTGCACCAGTGGTGTTTGCAAAGGCGCAGAACCTTAAGCTGTGACGGAAAACGAAGAGCAGGATGCCTTCTCGAGTTAGAGGTGAGGCTTGCAACGTACGCCACAGAAGTGCGCGATCGGTTGCTACCCGTGACGTGCGACGGGATCACCGAGCAAGGCCGGAAGATGCGGTTGATGCTGTCATTTGCGAAGTGCGAGATATTGTTGGACGACGCCGACACAGTGCTGAGAACGTAGCAGTGATGACGACGAGAACGACAGCACCAGTGCAGACAAATCGTATTCTCTAGTCGCAGCAAGGAGCAGCTTCAGTTGTCACACCCCCAGCGTGAGCTTCTTTGCTTCGATAATGCTCGTGCATCACGCGTGCCTCATGCGTGCATGCACAGCCAAACCACACCAGAAGGCATCGTGCGCACGCTGGAGGCCGGGCTCTTGAAAGAGACGACCTGTCGCTCCCCCGTGTTTGCCTTAATATGCGCTCCTGAAGTTGTTTTTTTTTTTTTTTTTTGTGCAATTGGGGGGGGGGGGGGGTTGTCTTAAAATCGTGTAAATATGGTAGTTCTAGCTACGGTTGCACTTTTAAAAGGAAAAAGGACAATCTTAAAACCCACTTCAGTGTCCCTTTGAGTAGTGGGCGAATGACATTTTAATTTTATTTTATGAATATTTGGGCTTTACTCTTCCCAGCATGCTTTCTAGTATCTTTAAGTTCAGAATAGCTACTGAGAAAACAGCAAATGAAGGCAATGCCAAAATCGACATTCAAATTCTTTCGTGCTTTCCGGACGTCTGACATCACTTACAAGCATGAGCAGGCTGTCTAGAAAAAGAGAATCTAGCAAAATATTTGTGTGCTGCTGAACAAGGGAGGGGTTCAACGGCGTTCGTTTTACGCCCTCAAATGTCTTGTAATCACTTAAGAACAAGTTCTATTGCCCAAATGGTGATCCTGTGCCTGCTGCCCGACGAACAACAGAGAGCATTCGACAACATGAAGTCAAGGCTTCAAACTCGTTCCATCCTTGGCGGTCATCTCAACCAACGCGCTGGACATGAAATTTGCACGGACTCAAGTCATAAAGGACTTGGAGCTGTACTACTGGCTCAAAGGCAAGAAAAAGCACAAATTCAGGGATTGCCTGTGCATGCATGGCAATGGTAGATGTAGATCCATGCTCCAAATGGGGCGGGGGAAAGAGAGATTGGTGGGTGGCCATGCTAGTGTGCAGCTTTCAGTGGATGGAATCAAAGCTCGCACCGCAGAACGACCCTGATCCTGTCAATATGACAGTTTGGAAATCGACAGTCACTGTACTAGCGTAATGTCTTTAACTAAATCGTCAAGCACGGTAGAAACCATGGGATAGCAGTTGTACCGTACTGGCTATATCGCTGCTCTTATATTGTCAAGTCCTCGCTGCATAAACATACAATTTCTTTCGCTTTGGGAGGCTCGCTCTATGCCGTGTTTACCAACACAAGTGAAAGACACTGAGCAATGACTACAGCCGCCGTGATCGGACTCGCCTTGAGGAATAGCGTGCCCTTGTTCTTGGCAAGGTCCGCCTGCTCAATCTTCTCGTCTGTGTCCATCTCCCAGGATTCTTTGGCCTGGAGAAAGAGGAAGGGCCTATAAGTACTACTACTTGCAACTGCCAATAAAGCCAAGCAACTGAAACAAACATACAACAGTACCTCTTTACAGTAAACAATGATATAGCAAAGATATGATTTCCCGCCAAATTTAGCGGAGAAATTCCCCCACTAAATTTAGCAGAAAAAATTCCCTGCTAAATTTAGTGGAAAAAATTCCCCGCTAAATTTAGAGGAAAAAATTCCCGCTAAGTCTAGTGGAAAGAATTCCCTGCTAAATCTATCATAAAAAATTCCGCACTAAATTTAGCGGAAACATTTTTTAGCTGAAAAAATTCCTGGTTAAACTTAGCGGAAAATTTAGAGAAAATTTCCTGCTTAATGGGAGGGAAGAGGAAGAGGGGGAGGAGGGGCATATCCTCCCCCCTCTCCCCCTCAAGAGCTGCGCTCTAATTCGGCATAACAGAGAATTGTAAGAGTCTTTCATGTTTTTTTACTGCCAGTTGTACTATTTTGTATTTGAATTTGGTTGTATTTTGTATATTTGTATGTAAAAGCAACCTCGACTGGGAGTACGGAAACCAGGAAGGACATCTAACCTCTGCCATCTTGGGGCATAGAATTTTGGACACGCTCTGAGTTAGGAATGCCAGGCATGCAGCGACCCATCATTGTAATAAGGGTGTTTCTTGTTAAAGTTAAATGTCTTTGGTGCTGTACATGGAATCAACAGCTCAAGCTTGCTTATCTGCTACAATCTCTGAAAATTATATTATCTTAAATTCATTCCACTTGTGAGTGAAGTTTTAATACTTTGAGTACTATATCCCGAAAGTGACCACCGCCAAAATTCAGTCTTGCAACGGGCGCCAATTAGGAGAAGCACTGCGACCATGTGCGCTCAAATTTTAGATTTCATTTTGTTTGAGAAGCCATCATTGTGTTTAAAACTAAATGAAAAAAAAAAAGCTTATATGTAAGCTCTGTTTTTAGAGATCAATCAACGACGACCGGTGCTTGGATACAGTCACCAATTACAGGTAACACAATGCCAGAGTACAGGAAATCGTGTTTATAAAACAACTAACCGTAAACTTGAACTAGCGCACACAGGGTGGAGTGGTCCAAAAGCGAAAGCCTCCATCCCGTGGCACCACAAAGTCTGTCTGCTTGTTCGAGTGGGTGACAGGCTCTGCCCGTCGGCCAAACTCTCTCCGTATAGGGAGTATTCACAGGAGGCCATAGCTGTATGCGCGACTGATGAGCGCATGTTGACAGCAAGCTTTCAGTCCTTTTGCAATGTGCATTCCACACCATCAAGGTTGCCGGTCTTAGCAGCCTACTAGTGCGAGCTCATTCTGAGCATGTGCTCTAAACATTGCCCTCAAATATGACGTCCAGTGAGTACCCCCTATAAAAGTCTCTGCCCATACCCACCGACACCCAACCGTCGATCTCGAGCAGCGACGCCGGTTCGCGCGGCTCGAGACACCGGCAAACCCGGGTTCCGTCGAACTCACGTTTTCAAAGCTCTTGAGAGTCACTTCGTACTCGACGTTTGCGTTGGGGGGCACACCCAACTGGCTGCTGCCTTCCGCGCCGAAGGCAAAGCTTGGTGCGATGCGGAGCAGGGACTTCTCGCCTTTCTTGAACTTCTGCAGCCCGGTCTCCACGCCCCGCACAACGCCGTGCTCGGAGCCCTCACCAATGACGAAGCTCAGCTCACGGTCCTCGAAGACTCGCCCCTCGTGCCTTCCCAGGAGGTGCACTGCATGGGATCGCCCGACAGTGAGGGGCGTCGTCATCACGCTCAATTGCACCGAATTCCATGAGTCACTGCTGCGCCTCCAGCGACTAACTTCGGAGCTACACCCGCGGAGAAGGCGACAACAATGACGCGACACACCACTCACGTAGCCCGATGCCACATCGGCTTTCGGCTGGAGCTTGTAGCCACTGCGGCCAGTGTAAGAAATGCTATATATACTTCATTAAAGCATGCTACAGTTTTTCTGCGTGGAATCAAAATCTGTGTTTGACATAAAGAAAAAACACCTGGTACTCGAAGGGTTAGGGGCACTAAAGTTGTTTCTGAGATTGCCTATGGTCATAACTCAAACTACAAGCTTTAAAAATTAAAAACGAAACAAAAAAGAAACTTAACATTAGATTGGTATGCATCCAATTTCCTCATTTAAAACGAAATCAATGATCGCAACCATTTTTCTCCGATTCAGTACAGAAACAAGAGGGTGCCATCAGACTTGCTACACTATCCAGAGCCCACTTTTGGCCATGCAAACAACACCCCATGAACATTAACCCCTTCAAAGTGGTGCATTCTGTAGGTTCCTGTACGTATGTGCAGTTCGCATGCGCATTTCGTTCCTGCTCAAAGCGGTAGGATTGTGCTGCTTAGACTGATTCGAAAGCATGATTTCTGCCCACAAAGACACGACACTGTGCTATAAAGAGGTATATTACAAATAGCATTTGAGCAGCAGCAGGAACGCAAGTGCTCCGAAAACTCTCGACATATGAATGGTGACTGAGAGTGGCCAGCCTCATCGCCCGCGTGTAGTTTGAAAACGCCGCCACTAGATGGCACAAAATTTGCAGAAGGGTCTATTACAGACCGTACCTCAGCAAATTCATTCATGAACTCGCTCATTCACCTTCATTCACGTTCACGGCGTGAATCTGAATGGCTCTGAATGAATTCTTGAAATTGAAAAAAAAATCATGATGTGATGGTGAATGACTGTGAATTTGAATGAATTCGTGAATTTGAATGAATTTGTGATGTGATGGTGAATGACTTCGTGAATTATAATGAATTTGTGATGTGATTGTGAATGACTTCGTGAATTCGAATAAACTCATGATGTGTTGTGATTGACTTCGTGAAGTGAAGAATTCATTGTGATGTGAATGACTCAATGTATTCGTGACGTGATGGTAAATGGCTCGTGAACTTGATAAGTTTGTGATGGGAAGTAATACCATGAACTTAATTCTCGACGTGATAGTGAGCACGGTTATGAATTCAGAATGGGCAGAAAACATGTTATGCAGGTGCTTGCTTGCTTGCTGGTTGTTTTCATACTTCACCACAAATGACAGGAACCCATTTGACTTTAGCGGTTTGGCCATTAGCTTCGCTGCATAGCCGTGTGCGCCTCAGCGCAGTGTTGAGTCAGGTCCTGGTTTCAGGTGATTGACACAAAAAGGCGCTACAGTCCTATTCCGCAAGAACAGCGAACTCGTGAAGGGCTACCAGCCATGAAGTCGAATTTAGTCAGCATGAACCTGAATGACTTCATGAATTACGCGGATGTCATGATGTGATGGTGAATTCGTGTTGACCGTGATGGTGAATTCGGATGAATTCAGGATGTGATGGTGAATTCAAATGAGTTCATGATGTGATGGTGAATTCGGATGACTTCGTGAAGTGATGGTGAATTCAGATGAATTTGTGAAGTGATAGTGAATTCGGATGAATTCATGATGTGATGTGAATACCGACGAATACACGATGGTGAATTCTGATGAATTCGTGGTCATGGTGAATGACTTTGTGAATTGGTGATGTGATGGTGAATGACTCCGTGAACTCGGAGGCGGCGGTGATGTGATGGCCCTGATGGGGATGAATTCTTGGCGCGGTTGAATGCCGTGATGTGAAGAGGATGAATTCTCGGCGGAGTTTGAAAGCTGCGATGTGAAGGGGATGAAGTTTTGGCGCGGTTGAACACCGGGATGTGAAGGGCCGTGACTTTGGGAGGTCGGAGTACCTTGTGCTGTGAGTGCGAATGAATTTGGAGACATGATTTTGTTTGTGATGTGATGGTGAATAAAGGGGCTCTAAAGTGCCGACCTATGTTACAGACACATGCGCGGTTGCGAAACGGCGCAGCCCCGCACCTTTGACCTCGGCGTGCGTCTTGGGGGTGGTGTACAGCTCTCCCGCTGTGATGATCTTGCGCTGAATGCTGCCGTCGCTGTCCGGGCTGATGTCCTCCAGCTTCCAGTCGAACAGCTCCACCTCGAATATCAGTGTCGCGTCAGCAGGGATCTTGGGAGGGCTACCCCGCTTGCCGTAGGCGTACTCGGAGCTGCACGTCAGGATGGCCACCTCTCCTTTCTTCATCGTTGCCACGCCAATGTCCCATGCTTTGATTACATTTCCTGGAACAAAGAGCAAAAGCAATGAAGCTAATGTTCGGCTTTCGTTGCTATCAGAACATCCAGACATGCTGGTTACTAGTCATGAGTGCACAAAGGACAATCACACATGCATCTAAGCACTGAGACAATGTAAAGTTAGCACTGCATCAGCAATAAGCTAGCACTGCATTGTGTGTGTAAGCAAACACTGGCAGCAATTTTTACCTTTAATGTCCTATGCAGTATTTCAAGGGGTGGTGCAACAATATTGAAATGGAATGTTTTTCTCTTTACACAAGCTTACTGGCACTAGTGGGACTTAAAGGGGCACTGAAGTTGATTTCGAGATCGGCCTTTTGTGGTGACAACTCAACCTGGACGCTCTAAGCATCCCAACAAACCCGAAACCACAACCATGTGTAGCTTATTTCCTCGTTAAAAGAGTGTTAAAAAATCACGTCATCTCCTAAGTGAAGTGGTCAACAAAGGGCGCTTGTCGGCGAGTTGCAAGCGATGGCATAGCTCGCGGAGGAAAAGAGGAGTCTTATCCGAATGTGCATGTATAAGACTCTCTTCAAAACGAGTTATAGTCAAATCATTCGGAATCTGCGCTTATTGTAGGGCTTTCATTGGTCCACAGAATGTAGTCTGAGGGAAAAAAAGAGTCCACATATTTTTCTATTCCCCAGAGATGAAAAGGCGGTTTTGTAATATAGTACTTGGTATATGTGGGCACTAACACAATTTAAACAATATAAGATCAAACACGACCTTTTTGAAAAATGACTTCAGTGCCCCTTTAAGGGCACTCGCTTGCAACGCTACTGGCCAAGAAACTTCTTTGTTGCGGTGAATTTCAAGGACAAAAGTGAGCATTTTTATTCAATCTCTCCTTTTCAAAACTTGATGACGTAGCTGGACGGTTGCAGTACCGCCCAGTGACAATATTTGAATGTGGATCATAGATTGGACCCGAGCATTGTGTGGGCACTTGATTTGGGTAGGTGATAATCAATAGCTCTAGAAGCATTCGGGTTGTGGCCCATGTCCAATCGCTGCAATGATGACAATAGCCAAACTATAACAATGTCTGACACCGAGCACGTTTCCTGTGACTTGCTGACCCCAGCACGTGGCTGTGATCAACATAGGTGGCACATAATCGGCTCCAGATCACATGGCCATGCTGATTGTTTTTCTTTAATTTTGTGTGCGACCTTGCGTGTGGTGAAAAACAAACGGGTATTTCACAAACCATTAACGTCGGGGATCTGTTCCAAGCCATATTTGTGCGAAGTACAAAAACTGTTGCATCTTCCCTTTAAGAAGCAATAATTTAAATTTGTATACAAGACATTAAGCAGTCGCTTCAAAGAGTGAAGAACCTGTATTTTTATCAACTTCCCCTCTAAATTTAGCAGGGAAACTAAGTTTACCCCAGCATCAAAAATAATCCTGGGAACGTAGGTACATGCGCTGCATGCACTCGCATTCCCTGTACAAGAAAATCAAAGTAAATAAAAAAAAAAAAATTGTTTGTGAAACACGCGTGCGAAGTGCCATTTGTTTTACACTTCTGCTTTCGAACAGTTACAGCTGCAGATGACAACAGGCGCAGCGTATGTACCTACGTTCAAGTGCCGTCCGACGGCACTGGAACGTAGGTCGTGCCTTCAAGTTCCCTTTCCGAAAATGTTAAGCAAAATTCACGCTTATTTTGACGTGTTCCATCAACAGTGCGCCGACAGTTTGTTTTAACATAAAGCCCGAGTGAGACAAACACTGCAGAAGCGAGCAGCATGTTTTCTTATGTATGTTTCTGTCTGCGTTGTGCAGACAAACAATCTCTTCAAGTTTGACGAAGTTGCACTCTCTCGAAGGTTGCGATTGTGATTTTAAATAAATGTGAGTTCTTCTCGAGTGATGGTAGCAACGTTCCCAAGCAGCAACAATGTTCCACCCCCCCCCCCCCCCCCCCCCCAAAAAAAAGAAGAAACTGAATGTTTGTGAGACCTGTTACTATTTGTTATGAAGAAAGTTTTATGGAATCTGAGCAGTCATAACTAGCAAATGTAATACAAAACAAAAAGTACAGCTAAAGTGCATGGTCATAATAATTTTGATGATAATGCAATTAAATGCAAAGGTGCAAGCGAGCTGGACAAGAATGACGAAAAAAAACCCTGGAGAAGTGAGGGACAAAGGACAAATCTCCAAACACAGCTAGGTGACTGGCGCACAAATGAAAAAATCTGCCTGGTCCTGGTATCAAATTAGGGACACCTCCATTTCCAGGGGAGCGCTCCATGGAGAGGTCCTGCCTTGTTACCAGGACCAGACGGATTTTTTCGGTTGCGCACCAGTCACCTAGCTGTGCTTGGAGATAGGTGTATGTTCCCCTTTTCCAGGGATTCACTTCGTCATTGTTGTCCAGCTGGCTTGCACCTTTGCATTTAATTGCATTATCATCATAACCTTAAAAAATCAAGCCGTTAACCCTCGTTGGTGTTGGCAGCTAATAAAACCCGTTTGCTCTACTAACATCTATTAGCTCGGTTAATAGAGCGCTCCACTGGAAATGGAGAGGTCCCAGGTTCGGTACCAGGACCAGGCGGAATTTTTCAGTCGCGCACCAGACAACTAGTTGTGTTCGTCCTTTGTTCCCCTTTTCCAGGGATTATTTTAGACATACTAATATCGGCCACAAAGTGCCAAAAGCAAGACATCCTTTGCTAAAGGACGGCCTTTGTTCGGTAGAGGCATCGTAGTACGGCAATGAATGCTGGCGCAAAGTGCCGTAGGTCGGCACCTTAGACACTGCGATAAAGGCTAATGTTTAGTCAAGGAAAAAGAAAAAATGACAGCTGGAGTCACAGGTTCAACATGAAGCGAACGTGTACACGTGAAAGACGAAATACTAGCAGTGCCATTATTGCGCAACTACAGATTCACGCTCCGTCCCGCCGAAAGCATATCATGTGAACAACGTGCCGACTGAATCGTAGAACCTTCGCGAACAATGCCGCGCCGCATTCTAAATAATCGGTTCCAAAAATATCACGTTTAAAACATTTTTTTTTTTAATCGCTTGACTAAAGATTTGAAGAATGGTTGAACCTTCCGATCAGAAAACGCAAGCTCGAAACGATTTCAAGCGTTCAACAAGCATGGTTGAAATCAATGTTCAACGCTCGAAACGATTTCAATTTGATTAATTTTCGTTCAAATCCGGTGCCCCCAAAAGAGCGTTTTTAGCACGCCGTCCTTCCACGGCCGTGACCGTGATCACAACAACGGTGCGCGACGGATTGTCGCGAAAACGTTGAGGTAGCCGCACAAAGCAGCCCACAAACACGCTTACCTTTGCCGAGGACAAACTCGAATTTCTCGCCCCTTGTGCGGCTGGAATCAAATACGGTGCCGTCGAGTAGCTTCCCGGTGTAGTGAACATAGACGGTGTTTGACTCCTGTGGAGTATCTTCGCCGACTCCCGGCTTGATGATCTCTTTGAGCACGCCGCCGTCCTGCTTGGGCGAAATATCAACGGCGTTCGGATTTGCGGCGGGGGTCTGGTCACCCGTGGGGGCTGTTGGTTTCTGCTCGTCGCCCTCCGTCATCCTGGAAAAAAGCTCGACGTTTCTCTCTTCAAACGCGAAACAAGAGAAGCACGACGCGCAAGAACGATCAGTGAATGGCGATCGAAGAGCACCACAAAATCCGGCGTGCCGGCGTGTTCAGCGTCGATTCTAGAATTTTCCCACGAGAAGCGCCAGCAGATGGCAGCAGGCTCGCACAGGGCTAAGGTGCGTTCAATTACTCGTCACTTGCAGCCAACGGCTCGAGAAATCGTGACGTCACAATTTATCTCTGGCCGATTTCCGCGACTTCCGGTCTATCTAGACGGCTATCTTTCCGTTTCAGCTGGGCAGCACGGACAGTATTGGGCAGTATCTCGGATTCTGTACGCCTTGGCCCAAGTTCACGAAGAGGAGATGCTCGATCGGAATCGTAACAGATTTCGGTCGGATTTGCTCCGTTCACGGCTTTCAATTAGGCGACCGGAGTCCGGCGTGTAATCCCAGGTTCTTCTCGCGTAATGCGATCGGCGGACTAGCGCTGTCAAGTCGCACTCGAAGGTGGGTGCGCCTCTCTGATCGATTCGTGGAGATCTCCGTCAAACGCGAGCGATCGTGCACCTGCCAGCGGTACGCAGCGCAGTCTGTAAATAACGAATAACGGCTTTCGTCCCTCATCTCAACAAACAGTACGCTCATTGTCTCAAAACCACCTCGTGATCCAATCCAAAGGTCCTCGATTTTATTGCTTAGCGTTCCCGTGGCTTACACGTTGTCATATTTAACAAGAATCGTATTCGTTCTATGCAGCGTGTTTTAGTCACACTTTAGCTGAAATTTGGTCAGTTCTGCACAAATGCTATTCCGAGATTTTTTAGTGAACATTCCAAATCCACGATTTCTAAGACACGCCGATAAAAATCGAAACCGGCTGGGATGGTTTAAAAGGAAATCATCTCTATAAAGACCTCGACGAGACCAAAAGTCTCAGACATATATAATTTCGCTGGGACACTGAACCTGGGGAAAATCACGCTCACCATCAAAGTACAGGGGGAATTGGTGCCCCAGAATACGCCACACATACAGACGTTCAGATCTGTCAAAAGATGTATTTGGGACATGAGTGCTTATATGAGACTATCGTACTGACTCTATGCGCGTGCAAGCAACACCCTAATAAATCCATGCTTAAATAAGTCGTGACGCGTGATGCTTTAATTTCGCATAGACGTGACAGCCAAAGTCGCCAATAAAAATGCGAAGTGTGGCGATTCCCGAGCATATCATTATCGTTTCGCAGCCAATCAGATTGCACCATTCACCGATAAGGACGCCGGATAACAAATCACGAAGCAAGGAGTGTGAACATGATGACCTGTACCCTGTTTGAGTTGTCACGTGACTACAGTGTCTAGCCAGCTCGTACGTAGCACGTGGAGGAGGAGGTGCCGTTCACAGACGGTGCTTCGTGTTTCAGTTGGCCATGGACGTGTTCAACCGGCTAAGGACCACGGTGTCCAACCTTAGCACGGTCCTGCCAGGCAATCCTGTTACGCGAGAGTATGAAATCATCAAGCACGTCGGCAGTGCTGGACCCGGCCTCCTCTGGAAGGTGTACCAAGCCACCAAACGAAGCACCAAGGAGGTACACAAAGCTCTTAATTTCTTCCACGTCTATTCGTCAATGTTTTAGTGAAGGTGTTATGCAAATTGAAGTTTCGGTTGTATGTCTGACACTTCAATCTCTTCTAAGCTGTCAGTGCAATGGAAGCTAAGTGAGCTCGTTGGTCCAGTCATACGTCTATCTTTCGCCATACGATCATGCTCTTTCCGAAACCCACACGCAGAGAGCAGCGTCGGGTGATGAAAGGTAGGCGGTTGATTTGTCTGGCCAGTGCGTAGCTTCCACCGCATTGTCACGCTTAGGAATGAATGGAGTGCACATGGTCTAAATTGATTTTAAGTTCTTTGCTGGAACATGCCAGATGTTCTCTATTGGTTTGGTACATAAAGCTGAAACTATAACTTTTTGTTTTTTGTGGGAGCAAAATTGGTGTTCTCTTCCAAGCTTTATGAGCTTAATAGGTGTATCCATAATACTATTTTAACTAAAAAAGAAACATTGTTTCATGGTTTTTGTTAAATATGTTTTTTTTTGCAGGTGATTATTAGTGATAACAGAGGGGAAAAAAAAGTGTTCTTCATTTTTCAGGAGGCGGCTGTGTTTGTGCTGGAGAAGAAGCAGCTGGAACGTTACTCCAAAAGGGACAGGGAGCTCGTAATGGACATCCTGAAGCAAGGCATTGCACAGCTTACTCGGCTTCGGCATCCCAGCATCCTCACCGTCCAGCATCCTTTGGAAGAATCCAGGTTAGGCTTTGTGCATGAAAAAAAAAAGTTCTGCTCTGCCGTCAGTGCAGGTTGCAAGTCCTAAAAAGAAAGCCCCTGAACCAGGCTTATCTTTAGTAATCGTTAAACATTTTTACCGTCTGCTAAATGTGTTAAAAATAGAGGCAAAATATCGGACTACCTAAATGTTGGCCGCACAAAACGTTTTAAAAAGAACCTTGAGCATCTGTTACACTGAACCTTTGAGGCTCAGATAAGCGCAGTGATGGAAGTGCTGCGCCATTTGCACCAAATTGCACAATGAAGGAAAGTATGCTACATCTTGCGCCAAAGTGCCATATTGGCTAAGAACTGCGCCACACCTTAAAGGGCAACTCCGCTCAATTACGAAAAATTTAGGCTTAAATGTGATTCCATTTCACAAAGCACTACTAAACAGTTCTACACCTTCAGATTCGCGAAATGTGGAATATTATTTGTGTTATCCTAATTTAAACATCAGCTGATACCGAAACCGAAACTTCGGTTGCGTCAGGCAACATTGGTCTCGCGTCGTCAGAGTCATGGCCACGTCACGTCGAACCACGTGGTCTTGTGACGTTTGGGGGGGCGAGGGACAGGACACGCGACGCGGGCAGGTTGCTTCGCATGGCGTGGACGGTGATGGCTAGAGAAGACAAAAGAGGACAAGGGGAACGGAGAGGCGTGCAGGGCAGCGCAAACTAGCGCATCCACGTTATGGTGATCACGTGGACGCCGTTCAGCCAAAACTGGGAGGAGAAACTCATGACGTCATTGTTCAATTTCGCTTTGAGAAGTAAAAACAAACAAAACGTGAGAATGAAGTAGTCATGCCTCTGACGTAGTGGCTCAACGTTGGCCGCTCCAACTCCGTCGCATTGACTGCGCTGACGATTGCGCCTCACGTCGCACACTAGAGTTGGCAGATTTTGGCGACTTGGCTCACTTGAAGGTTTGCTGGCCAGTTTATTAAATATATAAACGGAATTAGATCGTAATATTTAACATGGGGTCTTCCTATATGATACTGAAGAGGGCTACATAGTTTTCTAAATATCAAAAATGAAGCGGAGTTGCCCTTTGAATAAAGCAAAAAATTAAAATATTTTATTACTGGTTTGATCTTCATTTTCTAAGTAGAAGAGAATGAAAATGGTACAAATATGTATTTCACGGCGTCTCTACACACCATATAGCTTGTTTCACCTTAGATCAGAGCACGGTCAAAAGCTCAAACACATATCCTAAAAGTGCAAGTGCATCCGCTGCAATTGGTTTAGCCAGTGAAAGAGCACATAGAGATAGACGACGAGTGCCATGATGCTGTGCTTTTGACGCTGCCTGATTGATCCGATTGTCTCGTTGCATCACCTGCGCTCCGACTTCACTCGGTAGATGCAACAAAGTGTTAGAAATTGCTTGTCAACCGCGCTGGCCCCGTCATTGTCTGAAATTTCAGACAATGTCTGGAGCTAGGAGTCGTGAGAAAAATTTGCACAATAGTGGGGTGGCAGTTAGTGTAACAAGACAGAACCGGGGTCTTTTACGCCTGACAGTATCACTTGATTATTATGTCTGCCACATGCCTCTATGTCATGGCTACAGTGTCTCGTGGCACATGCGCTGCTTGCGTCAACCTTTATAGCCTCGCACCAGCTCGCACACGTTGAGCTTCACCGCTTTGCCCCGGAGTGCAAGGAGCGGCTAATGTGGGGAGCGTATGGATTAGCGCAGTTGGCTCGGAAATTATGCTCACTACTTTTACTCTTTGGTCTTGACTGTGGGTTGACCTCTGATTTTAAAAAGCTGTGCTTTTTAAAATTAGAGGTCTTGACTCAAACCGCTCTGCCCCCCCTCCGTTCACCTCCCGACCAGCAGCATCAATACCACATTTATAGACATTTTAGCAGATATGCTGATTTCTGCCGGAATTTTACAGGAATTACATTTACTGACAAAATTAAATACCGAGTTTAATAGAGGGAGGGAGAGAGGCATTTACTGAACTCAAGTGTAATGCTATGTTTCATTTTTCAACCACTTTTTTTTTTTTAAATATCCATTGTAAATGAAACCTACTCCCTAAGCCTTATTCCTAAAGAAAAAAAGAAGGCTGTGTCCTTTTTGCATCTAGTTCTAGTCTATTCTTACTTAAAAAAAGATTAAGTAATATGCGCTTCGATATCGAAAATTTTCGAGTAATGTTGTAACAAATGCTGGTATTTGCTCCAAAAGCGTCAGTGGCTGCTCCAAACTTATATTTCGCCTACTGTAAAAAGAGTCTTACATCACTGTAAGTGACATACAGGGAAATCCATTTCTCATTTCTCTCCATTTGTTTCTTATACCCTGAATAATCTTGCTGGATGGCTTGTCAAGTAGTGTAACACAGGGAAGTAACACAATATCGACACAGGGCGTTACTGAAATCACATACTGTTCATGTTCCTGGTCATATATTTTGATTAAGATCCCTTTTCATTTTTGTAGTGCAATCGCTGATTTATTCTAACGACCCTCTCGGCGTAACCAGGATCTTTGGCTCTAACTATGAGGATTGTAGCAGTACTTTTAATCTTGTCGAATGAAATGTGGATTGGGCTGTCCTCCTGACAATATATAACGCGCTGTCCTCTTGACAAGAGTTGTTCTCTTGCTTGAGCATACATTTTGCTCAAAATAATGTATGAATGGGTTAGGGAGAGTGGCATTTTCATCAACATCGCTTTCCGTCTGCTTACAGGGAAAGCCTAGCATTTGCGACCGAGCCAGCTTTCTGCAGCCTGGCCAACATCCTGGGGCAGGGCGAGAACATGCCTGTGCCGCCGCCTCCAGAGCTCAAGGACTACCAGCTGTTTGACGTCGAGATTAAGTATGGCTTCTTGCAGGTATGCTCGCATAGACTCCTTTCTGCTTGTCAAATATGAGGGGTATTTATATTTTCTGTGGTACCATGCTACGTTTCCCTTCCAAATTAGTGTTTGGAGTAAAATAGGTCTGGTGTCTTTACTCAAAACAACTGGCCAGTTGGCAAAAAAAAGAAAAGTAGTTTAAGCTGAAATTTTGTGTGCAGGTAGCTCTTTTTTTAGCTGCATGCTCCAAAAGATAGGTACGTGACCACAAACGAGTTGATTATGTTTTTTTTTTTATAACATGCTGTTGTGATGAACCATTTGCTAAATTACCCAACTACCAAGGAGCATGTTGGGAGTGTAGTTGCACGTGCTGGTGTCTGGAGCAGTAATAGTAGTTCTAAAGCAAATGGCACTGTGCATGTTGTTCCTCACTGCCCTATTTTGATTATTTACTTAGAATCTTTTATACAAATAAGGCAAGGACGTGCAGCGTGTGTTCTCGCCATTTTCCTTGGTGCGTGGGTGATTTGGTCAAAGGTCTACGAGAACTGTCGCAAACTACACAGTTTTGCGCTCTGTTCGAATTCGCAAACTTGTGACCACACAGGAGGCCAGAGAACCTTAAAAAAAGACTTTGCTGCAGTGAAGAAACATCTTAATAAATTAATACAAATTGTAGGAGTGCAAACAGGGAGCCTACTTGGAAGTGGAACGATGGCAGAAAAATATTGTTCAAGGACAAGTGACGGAATTTTTCAGGTGTCAGAGGGCTTGGCCTTTCTGCACAACGACGTCAAGCGCCTTCACCGTAACCTCAGCCCGGAGTCTATCATCGTCAACAAGAAGGGGGCGTGGAAAATTGCAGGCTTTGACTTCAGCGTTGCGTCGACTAACCCGCAGGATCCGCAAGTAGGTTTCGTCCGGCTGCTTTTGTTGCTTTTGTGACACAATACCGGTCAGTTGCAGTGTCTGCAGGGTTCTCCTTAGAAATTTTCGAGATGGGGACATCCAACAATTTCAAGTGTGTTGGGATGAGGAGGAGGGGGTGATTGCTGCAACTTTTGGTGTTCTCGGAACTCTCCCTGCTTCAAAGCAGCGATTTTGTTCTCGTGGACTATGCCACACGGGTCTGCCAAAAACAATCTGGGGTGTCGCACATTTTTGAAAATCAGCATCGTTTCATTCAGCACAGGCAAAATATAGAAATGGGCTGGACGTAGTGGAGATGGGATATCAGCCAGACTGTTGGGCGGCAAAACCACTGCTGTCCACTGTGGGGAGAACCCTGGGTGTTTGTTAGACACACATTTGCACAGAGACTCGGAAAAATAGTCACAATATGACGTCGAGTTAATCATGGGGCACTAATATTGCAAAGTTATTCTCTGGCAAAGATTTCACTTACGGTGTGTTGCAGAATAACATCTGCAGTAGAATCTACTCCTCCAGTGTAAGCTTTCTACCTTTGATAGCCCTTCAGCACATGTGCAGGCAACACACGTCCGTAAACAATGTGTGCGTTCTGGAGACCGAGCTTCTGCGGGCCGATCTTACGTTGGAACAGAATATAACTTGTTTTCCGACACACCCCACAAGCCTCCAGTCGACTGATGAATTGATTGACTGACCTTATCGGTTTTTCAACATATGCCACAAAAGCTCAATCAGTCGAGCAATTGAGTGAGGCTTTTCATTTTTCAGCAAAAAAAGTTGGTTTTGAAAAATGCAATATTTACATCCACCAACACCTAGAGAGTATACCAGAAAGTTTCCTTTGTTTACATCGCATAGTTATTTTCTAGCAAATTATTTTGGCTCCACCAATGCTAAAGAAAAAGTAGAGGTTCGAACACTTTGAATGTGTTTTTCTCTGTTCCACTTTTCAGCATCAATTTCACTTTAGGAAAACTATCGTTTGTCAACGGGACAAAAAAAAAGGCTCACTCATTGTTTTTCCTAACTGGAATTTAATGGGCAATGTCACTGTGGCATTGTTTTTTTACTCCGTGGATGTCTTTCATAAAAGGTGTTAAGATTTTGTCGAGAACATAAAAAAGCAAAAAATATATTTGATTTTTCAGCGCGATGTTAGTATAAAATAAGTTACTTTTTGGAAATTTTCTTTTTCACAGTTGCACTCTCCAGGCATTCTCCTGCATATATAGTGAAGACAAATATTGGGTATTACTTTAGTTTTCTAGTGATAGTTTTCCTAAACAATGTCAGTGTGTTCCTCATAAAAACAACTGCAGTTTATTTCACAATTTGTACATGCAGATGAAACTTTGCATTGTATTCTGCCTCGCAACTGCCAGTACTATAGACATTTTCCACAGGGGCGCCGCCATCTTGAATTGTCGTCACTTCCAGTATGGGCGACGACAAAATAGTAAAACGTTTCAACCTGTAACCAGTAAAAAAATAGAGGGGAGCCAAAACGAGAATGTGTGACGGTTAGGCTTATATCCTAAATGTCTTCTATTGGCGTGGCAACAGCAAAGTAATGTTTTCGCCCATACTGGAAGTGACGAATATTCAAGATGGCGGCGCCCTTGTGGAAAAGGTCTATATCTGTAAATTTCCTTCATATTAGGCAAAAAGTTCGAAAGTTGACCCTTATGGGTAGTATCCTCCCTTAATCCACCGATTGGGTTCTTTTGCTTCTCGACACACACTACAAAGTCCCGATCAACCGACGACGCTTTTGCTCTTCCGAATTTCAGCCAAATTACCCGAGCCTGAACCTCGAACCAGATCTGTTGCCGGTGGCGCAGCCAAACCTCGATTATGTGGCACCCGAGTGCGTGCTGGCGGATTCGAGCGACGCAGCCAGCGACATGTTCAGCCTGGGCGTCCTCGTGTACACCGTCTACAGCAAGGGGGCGCCGCTCTACGACACCCACGGCAGTCTGTCCACTCTGCGCCAGTGCATCAACAAGGTAGCGGCGAGGGCAGCACTGCTCTCAGCATTCGCAAACTCTCCTCTCTTACCGAAATTTACGCACAGCTTGAGAAACGTCGGGCGTTGCGACCATTAAGCGTCCTATGGTCGCTTTGCAGCCAATGAGATAGTGGCGTCGGAGGGTAGAAAACACGAAAGGACCAATCACTGAACAAGAGGAGTAAACATGATAAGCCACACCCCAAGTTTCTTAGAATGTGAGTTACTAATGTAATCTGCAGAAGTTCGATAATCCGTGTTAAAAGATCACTCTAGTGAACGAGTGAAAGTTGGGAGAAGTTTTGATTGTCAACCAGCAATTCCAATGTGTTTATACTACAAAAAGGGACCACTTCGTAAAACGAATGCACCTATAGCCGACCGGTCATTGCGCTGAATGAAAATTTTAGGCACGCACGGATGAAGGTAATTCATTGTCTTTTTTTGGACGTGGCACTTTGTAACACTTTTGTCAATTTGTGTGTTCTACGAAATACTGAATCCGTTCTTGCAAGAGGTGTATTGTGTATACTCTTAAACCACACATAAAATTATAAATAAAAAAAAGCGACAGCATATAGCTATGTGTTATCACATTGTACATTCTGGAAAAGAAATTGGCAGTAACTTTGTTTTCAATAATATATATTTTAAATTTGTCCCTACTTTTAGTAATTTTTTTACTACTAAAAGGCTCAGTTCCAGGATGTCCACGGGGGCTATTATGGTAGTGACCAAGTAAGAACTTTTATGTGCACTAAGAAAACCAAGGGAAGGCAAGCATACTTTCGTCTGCAGTGGCCGTTTACACAATCCGAGAAAAGATTTCTCGAGTGTTCATAACCACAAATTTACAGTGGTTTGAATGTTGCTTCTGTTGTCATCCCAACAGCACTTGAAGCACCTTTCTGCAAGCAAGCTGAACTGCCTACCCGATGAAGCGCGGGAGCACGTGCGGATGCTGCTCAGCATCACTCCAGATATCAGGCCAGACGCACATCAGTTCTCAAAGGTTGCTGACCTCTGGCTGTCGTTCTTCGATATTGTTTAAGCATGTGCCCTTCTGTAACAGGACAGCATGTGTAATAGTATACTGTGGAAGCTTCAAAAAACCTCAGCTTTTTTATCTGGCCTTTGTCACTACTGGTTGCTCGTGTGACCTGTGGACCGTCCCGGTCCACTCTCAACCTGCATTTTTTCTCGACTTAGGTTCTGATCCTTGAGCCACCAAAACCCAAATATAGATTAGGGTGATGTTTAAAAAAAAGAACTTTGTTCAAAAGGTGAAAGAATACTACTTTCGATTCTTCAAACTTTGTTTGAAACTTAACTGGTTGGAATATGTATCATTTTCCTAGCTTTGTCCATGCATTCGGCATGCCAAAACAGCACCGTGGTGTGCCTACTAAGCACCAATGTGACCTGCTTCACTGCAGCTCAAGTTTCTGGAGGATGTTGGAGTGAAGACATTGCAGTACCTGGACTCCCTCTACCAGTGGGACAACCTGCAGAAGTCGCACGTCTACAAGGGCCTCCCACAAGTGCTGGCTCAGATGCCAAAGGTGTGTTGGCAACACTGTGTGAGATCTGTAGTCATACCATGAACAGTGGTTCCAGTTCAAGTTAAAAGAATTTGTTTTGCTCTGTATATCTTTTTTAGCCTACTGTATATTAGGTAGTGTTAACATCTTGCAACAGGTCATATCCACGGACGGCAAGTAGCTCGTTATAGTTGCTGCCCAGTGTTTCATGGAAGTCTGTGGTTTGGGATGCAAGTGCTGGTCTACAAATAGTAGCTTCTTAAAAGGGGATTTTGACCACGTCAGTGTATACCGGAGAAGCACAAGCCAAGATAATCAAAGTACCAGTTCAGACACACGCGTCCTTGGGATACAGCTCATATTCTGTGAGGCTGTAATACTGCGGCAGAATGTACGTATGATGGCTGCTGCATCGGTGACTGTAGGGAATTGCATTGAATTATGGAAAGGCAGAGCCCACGAAAAATGTTGAGCATGCTACGTCCAGAGTTAACGGCATTTGGGACGTGTGGCAACCGAACATGTCCGCTTCCGTTGCAGCGTGTGGCGCTTCACCGAGTGCTCCCCTGCCTGGCCAAGGAGTACGCCAGCCCCGAGATGGTGCCCTTTGTGCTGCCCAGCGTCCTCCTCATTGCGGAGCAGGCCACCAAGGAGGAGTTTTGCGCCACCATCCTGCCCGACCTGATACGCATCTTCAGGCTACGCGAGCCCGTGCAGGTAGCTGCCTCACTCATCTATTGGCATCTCCACCATGCTCTCCTCTCTTGTTGAGAAAAACCCAAGGTTGCTGCGTTTTGTGTATCTTCGTTACACTGAGCTTGGAGCTGTGGCCCCTGGAGCTGGTGGACAACTGGTTGCAACCTCGTGAGTGAAATGGGGCCCTCAGGATGGCGTTTAGTGCACCCTCCTTTATCTTCATACTCCATCCCTTTCTCTAGAAGCTCGTGAGCCAGTGGAAATCTTACTCTGTCTTCCAGGATTAAAAGCATATTGTCAGTCAATCAACAGACTCATTTGTGCACTCTTGTCTTCGTCGATTTCTCCGATTCCTTAGCAAAAGACAAGTGGTATACTACTTTCACTGTGCTCACAGGACCATTTACCAGCATTAGAGCCATCATTTTGCTTTGATTTTAAGAGAACATTCTGCAAAAATGCCATTAGCGCCTGGAGGCAGACAGTCAGAGTTAACTTTCCTTTCCATCAATTCAGACCATGAGCTGCCTTACCCCATCTAAGTCATGAGTAAAAAAATGTTTTAGCACAATCGATCGGATGTTCCATCCACCTGTATGAACCGCAGTGATGACTGTTAGGTATTCCATCGTAACCTGACATCAGGGCTGCTGATCAACCTCATCCTTGCTTATATTCCAGATCCTTCTCATTTTTATGCAAAAGATGGAGCTGCTCCTTACCAAGTGTCCTCCAGACGACATAAAAAATCACGTCCTTCCCATGATCTACGGCTCGCTCGAATCGGACGCGCAGCAAATTCAGGTATAGTACCCCTCACTTCTCCAAGACCTGCTGGCCCTAAAGTATATGTGCCAATGTGTCTGCAACATTCTGCATCAAACTTTAACCCTCTTCATTACCCGTGCTCACACCTGAGAACTTCAGAGAAATTATATCTTTACGTTTTAAAAACCTCTGACACCCCCCAAAACTAACTTATGTTTGGCACGAAGCACTAGATTCACGTGTTATCTCTGAGATCATATACAAAGTTGTATTGAAACCAGAGGACCTGCCCCCAAGAATGTGACACCATAGACTCCGGGAATCACCCTCCCCGACTACATGTTGAAAGTTTCTTTAAAAATCGACGCATTTTCAGTGATTCGGTAGTCATCAAAATCATGTTTCGTTGGCCCTGTTACTTTCATCGGCAAAGGTGTGCCCCAGACGGCTTTCTACTTTACAATTATTGCGTTAACTAGTGTCAGTGCACACAACTGGGGGAACCCTAAGAGTCCAGTTCTTGGCCGTCGATTTCTGTGCAAGAATTTATTTTTCATATAACGTGTATCCAAAATAAAACTCGCAAATAATTTGAATTTTCATGACCAGCTTTTTTCATTAGCCAAGTGGTTAGAGATGGAATAGAATGCCCACCGTGTCGCTCATCTCGTTTTTTTGTTGTTTTTTTTTCTTCCAAAGGAACTCTGCCTGAACATCATCCCAGACTTTGCCCACCTGATCGATTATCCGTCAATGAAGAATGCCCTGCTGCCCAGAATAAAAAAGCTCTGCCTTCAGACCAACTATCTCTCGGTGAGCACTGGTTCTACCATCCATCTCCTTAGGCGCACTCAGCCTCCGAGCAGTCCTCCAACTCCCCGAGACCCCAAAATATATTGTACCTGTGTAAATCCAGGACCATTGGTAACATGACGTGCTATCGCTCTAAACATTTTTGTTTGGTGCAACATTCCCTTTGGTGACCCACAGGATGAGATCAGCGTGCGAGGAGTTTCAGCATAAGCTTCCCACCTTCATTCGGCGTCTTGTGAGCTTCGTGCATGCACGTGTAGCCGAAGCATGGTGGAAGGCGACGAGTGCATGCTGGAGCCTGGGTGTCCGAAAGAGACGCACTACGCATCTCGTCCTGTCTGCGACCATAACAGTTATCCAAGAGTGGAACTTGCTGCCAGACAACGTCATTTCCTCAACCCTGGTAGAATGGGTTTCGTCAGCTTTAACCCGGACACAACCAACCTAGTATAAATGTTGTTGCACGAGTAAGTTTCATTTGGTGTTCTAAAAAGTGGCCAACTTTTCAGGTTCGTGTCAACTGCTTGGTCTGCCTGGGGAAACTGCTGGAGCACCTCGACAAATGGCTCGTGCTCGATGAAATTCTGCCCGTGTTGCCAGAGATACGCTCCAAGGAGCCCGCTGTGCTTATGGGGATCTTGGGTGAGGCCCCCATTGGCTGCAGCTTCAATTTGTGCTCGCATCTGCGAGGTAGCTTGAAACCTCTCGGAAGCTTTTTCGGTCGTCACTGCGCCCAATGAATAAGTTTTAGAGCTTGACCAATGAGCCAACATTGGTCTTGCCATTCAATTGTTGCACTTTCTGCAGCCTTTGTGAGGGAAGGGTAGGAAGTATTCACTGTCCGCCACAGCTGTGAGCATCTGTGTTGAGCGCGTGTTAACCACGAGCTTTCACTAGACTCATTTTGTATCATTAAAGCAAAGCTGTTGTTTCGTCATATAAAAGCAGTGTTCCGTGTCCTATCCAAGTAGATTCGAGTGACTCCCACAGGTCATATCACGTGACAATGTAAATAGAGCAACGCTGAACGCGAGTAGATTTTCGAACGATTGAAGGTACACACTTTTTACTCTGGAATGCGACTGGGTATACTTTGGAACGTGACCAATGAGTTACCTTACCCACAGCTCATGCTGATGATGACATAAGCCTCCTTATTGTGTCAAAGATAGCACTTTTATTTCTTGATTGTATGTGAATTTGTTATTCTTTGATGGGGGGAAAGTGATAGAGATTGAAAGGGTACCTCGCATCTGCAGGCATCTACAAGCTCGCCATGACGCACAAGAAGCTGGGGCTGACCAAGGACGTGATGGCCTGCAAGGTGATCCCGTTCCTGATGCCGCTCACCATAGAGAACGGCCTGACGCTCAACCAGTTCAACGCCATTATGAGTGTGGTGAAGGAGATGATCGGAGCCGTGGAGCTTGAGCACAGGGCAAAGCTGGAGCAGCTCAACTCCATCAAAAAGGAACAGAGGCAAGATGTCGTCCCTTGCATTGGTTTCCGAGTTAGGCCTACACACTATATTCCGAGGTTGATTGTTTTATTTCTGACTGTCAAGAAATGGTGACATTACATACTGAGGCAAAATTCAGAGTTGTGTAAGGAAAGCTTTTGCAAGTCAAGTCACAGCAGCCAGACAAGACCTCCTTATGTGCACAGCAACTATTGTTGATTTCATAGTTAGGTACTCTCTGAAAAGGTGAGTTGGGTGAACCATTTTTTTTTTTTGTATGACCTGTACACCTTGAAAAAGTCACAGGGTCTCTTATCCCTAAGACGACGTGAAGGCGAAAGCCCAAGCGCCGATGTAAACGTGATAGCGAACCTCCAAAGACGGCGCGCTCTCTGACGATGCACTTTTGGCACCGTTTCATTGGCTCACTCGGATCGTGGTGTCGGCTGTGGTCCCGGGGATAGCGAACCTCCAAAGACACCACGCGCTCTCTTACGGCATACTTTTGACACAGACAGGCGCCCGGGGCCGGGAAAATGCCATCTGAGCATTCGGACTCCGACCAAGCAAAGCGGAGTTCGAGCGGCACATTCGATTCTTAATCTTTTTGCATGATCGTAATCGAAATATCACGGGCACTATATCTTCAACCGTAAAGGGTTACTCCATTTAACTCTTACCAACTTATTAAAGGTGTTTCTTGCCATCATTGCTAGGGCATTATTTTCGTCTTCTGTTTGGACAAAAGAGCGCTGCACGTCATGCCTTCTATCTGCGTTTCGTGCACGCCCTGGCTCTGCCCGCTCCTCCCATTGACCAAACTCTCTAAGTACGGCTCCGGGGCTAAGCTGCCGCGATCGTGCAAAAGTATGTTCGACAGCGATGTCTCGACGCCTGCATTCACCACTCGTGCTTTTTTTTTTTTTTTGCTGTTGTCGAATTTGAAATGGAAGAAAGTATATGCATATATCAAACAGATTCATAAATCACCTCAATTAGGATACCTGCAAAAAATTTGTCGTTTACGTTAACAGCTAATATGGTTAAATTTAAATTAACCGAGCTTAACTCATGAAGGTTAGATACAACCTTCACGAGTTCAGTTGAATTTTCGCTTAAGCTTTAAGCATGGTGCACGGTAGGGAAAGTTGGAGAAACTATTTGATGTTCGATTCGAAAATATTCGGCCAAAACCAATTTTTGCCTCAAACTCAAAATTCACTACTTGCACATGCCTGTTCAGAAATTTTAAAACACGAGTCTCTTAAAAATGACGAGCCTTGCCAAAATTTTCTATTTTGGCTGCACGTAAACAAACACATTGCACTTATTTGGCAAGTTTCCAGTCCAACAGCATTCAGCTTGTGCTTGTACAGAAAAAAACATAACAAGACCGACCACCACATTTGGAAAATGCTTCCAATGTTAGACTGGTCCCATGTCGGGGCATGGACATAAAGCTTCTTACATTTGCTATGCAGCACTGCCATGGACATGACCAACCCCAATGAAATTGTTCCCGGTCTAGGGCCCGTCGGCAAGCCAACCTCCATCGTAAGTTGCTCTGCCGACATCTTGCGGCGCAAAGCGGAACTGATCCAAAGGCGAGATTGTTTCTTTGTCGTTAAACCTGCCATCCCGATTCACACTTTCAGAGCAGCAGCGTCTACGACGACCTGGGCATTTCAAACTTCTCGTCGGCGTCTCCGACCACAAGTGCCACGAGGTCTCCCGTCCAGAAAGCAAAGGTATGAGTACCAGGGCTACAACACTTTTACCCCGAAAAAAAAGAAGCTTCACTGCAGAAGTGTAATGAACTTAAGTGGCGTTGTGGGAGAGTTGGTTCACGACTAATGTTCACGAAACAGCACACAGAAGCATGAAAGGAGTACACACTGCTTGTTCTGTGTACAATAGGCTCACGATAGTAATTCAAACTCTGACATTTTATACTTTTGGTCAATTCAAACAAATTTCAAAATTTTGGTTGTCCCGCTGTGTTTTTAATGTATTCATAAGCCGCTTAATTCGAACGGCGTTTTCGTGTAATTCATACTCTTTGTTCTTGCGGCCCCGTTGAGTGCGGGGCCGCACGAGTGCGAGGCCACAAAGAACACCCTATATTGACTGTGCATAGATTTGATCTTGTAGATCAGGGGTTCTCAAACTTTTTAGCCTCACGGAACCCCAGGAAGGCTCAAAAACTGCCGCGGAACCCCCCCCCCCCCCCCCCCCCCCTTCCATATTTGCCGACCGAGAAGCAACAGATGCAAAATTGTAGGCAATATTGCTTGTGTTGCTTCCCATATATCCCCACCATATCAATCACAATGTCAGTACAAAGTGAGATGAAGGTGCTTTGCATGGTCCTGCCGCACAGCCTGTGGCATGGGGGGTGAGGGGGGGGGGGGGGGGGGGGAAGGAGGGGGTGCAATTTTGGGTGTTCGCGGAACCCATGAGACCAGCTCATGGAACCCCAGTGTTCCCCGGAACCCAGTTTGAGAACTCCTGTTGTAGATAATGCAAAACCTTAATTCTATAATTAGATGCAGTTTGGAAATGTTCCAAAGCTATCCGATAGATGGTGACCAGCTTTTAGAGTCGAACTTTAAAAGTGGCCAGAAGTTTGCTTACGAATGTACCAATCACCAACTACGAAATCCACCGATTCGTTAGCACTAAGCAACAGGTATCACCTATGAAAGCATGCCTCGTTTAAATCTGTCCTTTTTTTTTTTCAGCAGTCTCTCACCCTGGAAGAAAAGCAGCGCCTGTCCCGAGAACAAGAACTCCAGCAACGCGTACAGTCGCAGCCAGCCCTGATCCCGAAGAAACCGCCGACGGCACAAGCTCCGCCCGAAGCCAAAGACCTGACGTCGACACTCATCAACTCCAACCTGGCTTCCCTCAACATCCGCAGTCCAACGGCGCCGAACCCCTTTGCATCTTCACCAGGCGGCGACTTCGCATCGATGCAGTCTAATGTCAATCCAATGGCAGCGGCGCCGCCGTGGGGCTACGCTGCAGCACAGATGCCGCAGCAACGGTTCGCGGCGATGCCGCAGATGCAGCAACCGCCCGTCGTCAACTTGGCGCCGTTGGACAGCTTGCTTCCGCGAATGGGTGGGGGCGGAGCTCCGGGCATGTCTCCACGTCCGCGGATGAACCAGATGGTGCCGCCCCAGCCCGCAAACTACGGGATGAACTTCGCAAGCGCCATGCCATCGCAGCAACCGGCCCTGTTGTCATCTGCGTCGCCGGCGAAACCGCTGTCGAAAAGCGAACTGGACGACTTCCTTAGCTGAGTGCCCGGCCGGTTTGTGGAGTGCGACGGTATGAAAGAACGAAGTGGCTCACCGGAAAAAGCTCATGGGGTTACAGTGAGGGTTCCGAAGGGGCGAAACGGCCGTCGTCTTGCGCGTGCGCCAGCAATAAAGGTTTTTTCCGGCGGTGCTAGCGTGACCGACGTTTACGCCGGCTGGCCGTGAGCGTTTGTAAACTATGAGAGTTCTATATTATTTAATAAACGGTTCTGAAATTTATGGCTCGAATGCCTTGCTTCACCTCTGGGCACTTCGTGATCAAGCAGACAACACAACCATTCACTGCATCGTTTTATTTTAAATTCTGCTCTCTGACCAACCAAAAGTAAGAAGACTTAAAAAGTGTCCTATAAAAGGTCGACACTAAAATAAGTGGCAGTAGCCTTCGCGAGTGAGCTTCATAGAACTGAAGCCCGGATCAACAAGGGTGTAAGGTAGTCGCAATTACGAGAAAGACTTTATACAACGCATCAACTGTCCTGCAGGTAAGCCCGCCAACGCTCACCGTCCAACATCACTCGTTCTATAAACATTGCTATCTAAACTATTTGAAATATGTGATAATGTACACAGTCTCACAGACAGTTCAGACGCGCGGTGGAGTCTGCTCTGCACTAGACGAGGCACTTCCTTGTCCCTTCTCTTGAGCCTTCTTGCTTGGTTGCCTCTTTCCCGAAAACGTAAGGTTCTCCTTGTTGAACTCGAGGGGCACGACTCCGATGTCGCCATCAAATCGGTTCTTCGTTACCTACGAAAGAAAACCGAAATGAAGCTTTCAGTTGGACCTAAAGTTTGAACACTGCAAATGGATTGGCGTCGCTTCGCTGCAAACATCACCCATCTTGGACACTCCGTCAGAATGATACGCAATGCGACACGTGGCGAAGGAATTGCGAATGTCTAGGGGACTTCTTCATCCGTGCACCTCTTCATGGGGGCATTGCATCATTTTCTCTGAAATGCCACGGTGCGCACGATCTGGCTGTGAAGTGCCTCCAGGCCTACTTGATTACTCTAAAATATGCCGGTCCTACGCTACTACGCAGCCCCCTCTTCTACGCAGTAGGGGAGAGAGTGGAGTGTAAGGTCGCCGATTACCATCCTCCTACCCCCCTCCCTTTCCTCACGGCACTACGCCACTAGTCACGCAGGCTTTGACGCCAAACCAAAAGCTGCGCTTTGTTGCCGACGCACTCCCCCACGACCTCAATACAGTGCGGCCAACGCCAACACAAGCGAGCTCCCCACATAAGGCTATGGCTTTAATACAATATATTCCTTCAACTCGAGAGACAAAAGCAACAAAGACGTAGAAGCTCCCACCTGAAGGTGCTTACGGCCTCGAGATGAGCTCAGGCGTCCGTCTTGCAGGATCAGCACGTTGTCCGCTTCCTGACTGGCCTTGGCTCCCCCAAAGATGGAGTGGTTGCTCAGTTCTTCGGAATCCCGTTCCTGCAACGACGCGGGCCAAGGACGGGAATCGAGCGTTACAAGGCTGCCGTGAAACTCGATCCTGACCTTGATAAAAAGTATAGCGAACCCCCAGCCTTGAGAGTACTTGATGCCCGATCGATTATGTGCTACGATAGTCACGGACAGGATTAGAATGGCAGAAAGGTCCTTCAGTGAGCCTCAGGCGTGCGTGTGCAACCAAAACACTGTGGAAGGCAACGATCGCACGCTGGAGGCCGGGCAACTAAGAAAGGTGCCCTGCCGTTCCCATTCTGTCAGTGACAATAGTGCATAGCTGCGGCCGGGTTGGTATAGAAGTATTCATTTTGGTGCACGGGAACGTACCGTCGGCACCAACACGCAATTTTTAAGGGCGAATTTTGAGCACCAGAGCTGCCCTTCTGCTCAAGTTCAAGGCTCGCACATTCACGTTTTGACACACTGGCATTTGTAATGGCGACCTTCTGTTCGCGCAAAAACAATGGAGAAAAAATAAAACAAAAACATTTTGAATTGTTTCGCATGTTGCGCAGACAAATACACTCGAGAGTGATTACTAAAACGGGTTTCGCACAAACTCGCAAATTTTTTTTACCTCTTAAAGTCTGAATACGTTGCTTTATTGTCTAGCAGTTCAAAGGAACGCTCCAAAGTTGAAATGTCGATGCCTGTGAGCTAAAGGGAAACTGCACTCCCAAAAAAGGCACTTTATAAACTGCCCGCCAACAATGGTGTTACCCCCGTGACGTCACACCTTGGTTCCTGTGATCGCCATGCGCAGCTGAAGATCAAGTAATAATACAGTATAATGCGAAAGCATTAACTGTCTCATGGAGCGAGCTGACGTCAAGCGCAAAACTGGCAGATAGTTTCCTTCGGCTCCATTGGCTGGCACTCGTCGACAGGGCTTCCATTAGCCGCTGCGCTCGTCAGTTTCCACGACCGCTCACCCCATGGCACTGCGTGCCTATCAGCGCGGAGCATCCTAGGTCACCAGGGGAGTGCCGACCGGCGCCGAAAAGTATGCAGCAGACAAAAAAGGGAGCGGACGAGCGGCTTGCATGCTTTCGCGTTCACAACTTATAAGGAATCCTTAAGTGTACCTCAAACTTTTTCTTCTTTCGCGATTATGCAGCACAATCGCAGTACTTTGGGAGAGGGTGGCATATTTTCTTTCCTTCGCGAAGATAAACATAAAAAAAAAAAAAAACTGCTGAAATCGCTGCTATCCGCATGCAAACGAGGTGGCAAACGACGGTGGCGCTCCAGTCACCTTGCGTGGGTGCATGACGAGAGTGACGTGGCAGTTGTGCTGGGTGGCGAAGCGGCGGAAGGCCCCCACCAGGAGGTCCTGCTTCCAGAAGCGATCCACCCGAGAGCTGTCTTCCCCGACGCCCATCATGAACTGGACATTGTCCACCACCACGTGCTGGATGTCGTGCACGTACACCGCGTGCGACATTGCCTGCAACGGGACAACGCGCAGTCGGTCAGTCTGAAGGCCAGTTCACGCACTCGTCTCAGTGTTGACATGACGCAGTCAGTGCTGCGTTGCTGCTAGTGTCGGCACTCAGGTAGCGCTGCATTGTGTGTATAGCCAAGGAAAGGAGGGGTCACGTGCGTTGGAGCACCGATACGACACTGACATGCCACAAAGTCAGTGCTTTGTCCATAGTGCTTAGTTAGGCACTGCGGTGTATGTGTGAACAGGCCTTAAGGGCCCACTCGCATGGCAGCAATCGACTATGTTACATCGAGATATGACTGCAAGTTATCAGATTGCTGGACTTATAGCTTTTATGGCTACGGGTTCAACCGCTGATTGTGTTGGTGAAATTAGAGCAAAGACAAGGGAGGAAAAATGTAGAGACAGGATAGAGCACTAACTTACAACTGGCATTTAATACTGTGAGGGTGCTCTATCCTGTCTCTACTTTCTTCCTCCCTTGTCTTCGCGCCAATTTTACCAAGATGTATAGCCAACTATCCCACCAGATGATTTTAACACCGAATGTGTGACTGTTATGAGATATAACAAAATGAAATAAAGTGAATGAATGAATGGAACGTCCATGCTTTGTATACGTGTGGGCGTTGTAAGCTTTCGAAAGATGTGGTGGGGAGGACAGGAGGGGGAAGATTGCTTTCTAGAAACACCCAAAACGTCTACGTATGGAGAGGCTTATAAGTCCTAATGGCCAGTCTTCCTACTGTGTTCTATGACAGTCGTACACTTACACACAGGACTACAACATGGCCAACTGGCAAGCCACTGCTTACACGGCATGCAGAGAAACATTAATATATTTAAGAATATGTAGGAGTGACAAGAATGCAACATTTATTTTAAACCCATACAAACACATTGGCTTTACACCGAATTTCACTGTTGGAGTAAATTGTCTTGAAACCTGCAAAGAACTGGCAAACAAATCTAAGCTGTACTTTAGCGTCCAAACCGCACACTAAACAGCAAATTATGTTTGGCTGGCTTGCCGATTTTATTTCTCCGAAGTTCGAGTTATCGTGGGCGTGTTAGATGAAGGTACACTGCACTGCAACAGGTGCGAAATGTATAGTTCTGGTGCACTGTAGGATACTTTTAGTACATCCTTTGAGATGGGCACCACATGCAAATCGAATAAAGCCAGAGGCTTCACCCTAGTGTAGGGACACCAATAAATCAGACGCATCTCGTGTCAATCAACAAAGCCAATCGAAAGACCTAGGCACAACGGCTGGATCAGGTGCAGCCCTAAAAATGTTGAGATTATTTGTATTAAATAGAGGTGCACTGTTCTGTGAAGTGGCATGGACTCAAAAAGAAATGTAAGATGCCGGACCTTTGTGCGTATGAAGAGATTGGGGGTCCACTCACGTCCAAGACGTTCCGAATCGACTGTTCACCGTGGAACGTCATGAAGTAGAGCGGCAGCAGTTCAAACTTGTCAGCCCAGAAGTCAAACTCGTCTAGGTGCTTCTCCAGCGAAATGCTGCAAACGGGACAGGAGATGAAGCCATGATCCCAAAACACGTAATCCCTCCCCCCTCCCTCTCCCCCTCCCCCTCCCCCCCTCCCCCCCCAAAAAAAACACAAAACTTACAGCGAGAACTGGGTGAGCATGATCTTGGCCAAGCGCTCGTTCTGTATCTCAAAACTTCCCCAGAGCGTGTTCACCTGAAAACAATGGTTTGTATGTATTGAAAATGAAAAAAGTTGTTCACAATTTCCATTAACTTTGCCTGTTCAGAAGCTATACGTAATGCAGTAAAACCTACATCCCACAAAAACCTACAAACCTAAAGCAGGAAATTTTAGGAAAGTTTGATATTCCGGTACAGTAAATAAAAAGGAGAAAACAATAAACAAAAAACTAGGGCTAAAAATAATTTTAGTAGCTGTGTTTCAGACGTCTTTTGTTTGTCCCCTCTTTGTAGCCTCTGTCTTGGGTTTTAGAAAGTGTTTAACTTTAACCAGCTTGCCTGTCTTATTACGTTATCTTCAAACTAGGGAAGTTTAGGGAGACCTGATACTCAGGCATGCAAGTAGAAAGGAATGGAAGCAGCAGCCAGAAAACTAGGGAAGTGGAGAGAAACTGGATATTTCAGCGCTGCGACTTACCCCCTGCACACACAGATCTAGGGAGTACTCGCACATGAAGGTAGTCTTTCCCGACCCCGTGGGCCCGGTGAAGACGGTCAGCTCGCCCCTCCGAAACCCCTTCAGGAGTCGCCCTAGACTGGGAAACCTGCAAATGTGCACAGCCAAGAACCTCAGCCCTGGAATCTTGGGTCAGAACACACGAGCCACCGTGGGTGACCAGAAATCGGAGAAATCTCCCAGCTTCCACTCGTGAGGACATAATAGCGGCATTCTCTTAAAACCAATCTTAAACATTGATGCACTACCTTGGTTTTCTGCAAGACAGACAATCCTTTCGGCACTTTCCTTTCCCAAACTGTGAGGGTAGCATGAATGGAGAGGACGAAAAGGTCTGGCTTAACACCTCACCAGTAACGAAGTCACAGTGTTGAATTTTCTACGTTGCCTGTCAGATGACAGCATGGGGCACAGGTTGGAAAGAGTGCTGCGTCAACGTCCGGCTCAAACTCGTGTTCTCACCGAATGAGCATTGGTCCCAGTTGAACATTGACGCAGCACTCGTGGACAATCTCCGCGCCGAGCTGGCGTTCGGTACAAGACGTAGAAAACGAAGCACTATGGTCTTGCCACCAAGGAAGTGCTCAGCCCGTTCAGAGGGAAGGGGGCAACATTCTTGGGAGAGGAAGGGTGAGGGGGGGAAGGGGGGAGAGGAGGAAACTCCACTTCCTGTCTTAGCTGATGCTGTAGGATCTGGTAGTACCGACATGTCTCGTCAATGTGGAGACCTCCGTTCCCCCAATAATTGTCCGAAATGTATTCCGTGCATTAAGCCTTACGAAGCAGAAATGCACATAGCACCCTCTGCAGCAGCCAAAAGTTCATTATGGAGCAGCAAGAAGTACTTTTGGAGCACAAGCACACACTTCATTTTACAACGAAAGCCTTACTTGTCCCATTATGCGAAAAAGCGGCGGCGTTGTCCCCGAAAGATGGTCACACCGAAACGTCGTCAAGCACAAGCCTCAGAAATAAAACACAAAGAAAAGCACAGCAACGTAGATGCCTTGTCACGGAAGCCTGTGGGGGGCACTCAGGGTCAAAGCGGACACGCCTCACAAATATAACAGAAAGAAAAGCACAGCAATGCGGATGCTTCGTCACGGGAACCGTCGTGAAACCGGCGGGGTTCACCACGCCTGCGCAGTGTGGGAGAGCGATGTCGCCGCCGGAGCGCCGTGTGAAAAAGGAAGACGTGGTGCGCCACTTGTAGGAATGCGCTGTGAGCATTCATACACGTAAGCAGTTTTTTTTTTTCATATTTTTTTAAATTCATATTACAGTATATACTGTATGTTAAGATTCGTGTGTTGGCCTATCCAACTAAAAACGTGCATGCTTTGCCTTCACATTTTAGTGCAACAGCAGGTTTCATTTCCTCAAACACAGAACTAGCCGTTTAGTCCCGCATAAAAGCACTAGGCATGGCAACAATACAGTACGCTGATTGATGAAGGACAGTACAGACTGCTCTGAATGCTCATTTTAGGTATGAAATAAGATGTAAACCAAACAGCATATAAAACTAAAAAGAAAAGAAGAAGCCTTTTAATTTAAATAATAAAAAAACTTTTGTAATTAAATTATGAAAATCAATGACATTTTGTATGTAGAACCTCATAATAACAAAGATTGGCATGTGAACGATAAGTATGCCTTCTTAAAAAAATCCAGCCAAAGTCGGTAAGGTTATTCCCAAACGTCCTTCAGCTAAATTAGTTTTAATTTATTAAATTGACCATACCTCAAATGGATAAAAGATACATAGAGGTAACAATTAAACGATGGAGTTCAAATAAGTATAAACCTATAGAGCAGTTCATATAAATTTTCTCGCGAGTACCTTCGCTAAATCCTGAATTTGAAAAAGATATTGCCAGAATACCGCAGTCTATCAAAAATAATAGCCACAGTTTAGTTCAGAAATCTTCACTGCAACAGAGAGCTGTTACATGAACACTCACAAAGTTCCTTTTTTTAATATACCCGATGCTTGAGTGTTTAACGTCCTGCTCTGGGGGGATGCTTTTCCTTTAGCACTCGGATGCACTGCGGCGAAGCAAGATAAGCAAAATTGCAATGCTTACTTTCCGGTCGCCGCTCCACTGCAATGCACAAAAGCGCGTTGAGAAGCGCACTCAACAAAGCCAACTTACACGCCAGAGCAAACTAGGAACCTCAGAGATATTGCGAAAATTCAGAGCACTGTCAGTGTTTGACACTGACAGAGATAATAAATAGGATAGTACATTATTAGCGGCTAAAATCTAAAGTTCTGAAAATTCGCACAAGCCTACCACAATGATCCAGACATGTAGTGTGCACAATTTTGGAGCAAGTTCCTCACATTTGGTCTAAATGTAGCAGGATGTAGCAGGGTAATCCCTTTGGCACAGTTCGGTGAAAATGGTGCAGCAATCACATCACTGGTGGGTAGATGTGAAGCTAGATGCCTTTGCCTCCACTGCACTCTTCGAATGCAGCGTTCGCGTTTGAACGCGTCCGAACAGTGAGTAGAAACAGAAACGGCTAGCTTTGCATCTATACACTAATTGTTCCAAACAGAGCTTAGCACTCTGACATTCCTTGCCGCATGCTCTCATCTCCTCTCTCTTAATTTCTACCCGTAACAGCAGAGAGGTGTACCCACATTTACAAGACGTGACCGTACTAGTGCTATAGTTCAATTTCTTCAGCAGACGGCCGGGGGTAGTTTCCGTCAACGAGTTCTACGCACCTGGTCCACCGAACACCTGCCGAGGCCTCCACGTTGTGGAGCATGTCGGCCACTCCGGCCCTCAGGCTGTGGAAGGTCGTTATGGCCTTGTGGCTGACCGGCTGAGCCGCCCTGACTATGGACAGCAGCGATGTCTTCGACGTCTGGAGCGTCGCCAGGGGATAGCCGTCCTTGGGCCTGCAATCGAGCCGCCGGCGTTGAGTCGCCTCAACTACGGCACTTGGAACGCGTCCTCGACAGTCGTGTTTACCGCCCTGTCCCGCCTGCGCATCGGAAGTGGTTCCGAAGGGGTAACGGAGGATTGCGTCGTACGGGTCGGCGCAGCAAACTGTCGAATGGGGAGGTCTTGGCGGTTGGTTGTAGAAATGCGGACAGAAAAGGAGAGCGGACTCAAGGGTTGCTGCCGTTATGGCGTCCTAACTCGCATCTGCTTTGGTTTCCATCGACCACCTGGCTGCAGAGTGAGCCACTGAAGAACAGGCGTCTGTTGCACCCGCCTCCACTGCTGCAACGCCGCCAGGACCACGCCCGGCGACAGCGCAATACTTCTACGATGTTGTTGGGCGGGAAACGAGGGATCACTTTTGAGGACGCAGTAAACGCACCGGTCAGAGACGTGCTCCATGTACCCTGCTGTCGAGGGGAATGAAAGCGACGGTCGCTTTGGGAGGTTACCTGATGTAGTGACATCTCTTTTCACCCAGCTTGCGCGAAAACATCTTCACCGACTCCCAGTCGTGGAGTTTGTTGCCGAACCAGACGGTGATCTTGTGGAACTGCTCGAACAGTGGCAAGACCTGCGGAAAGGTGACGGCAGAGAGTGTGACTGGAATGAGTGACGGTGGTGGGTAAACCAACGGTGTTGCCGCGATAGAAATATGATTACTGCAGAGTCCCGCACAAGCGCCCGCCCCCCGAGAGATCGCCCATCCCACGTTTTGGGCCGAACGTCCGTGACAAAAAATTCAGAAGCGTCGCTTACCTCCCAATTTCCGCTGGATGTCGATACCGCGATGTGCGACAGGAATCGCACCAACTGCGTGATCAGCGATTTCGGTACTTGTAACGAGCATGTCCGCTGTGTGTTCCCTCGTGTTTATCGCGCTGTGACATGCGAATTTGCTGTGTCTGCAATTTGCAGTCTCCGTTTCCATGACGTGAAAGTTTGTAACTCGTTCCCGTGTTTCTTTTTTGTCCACGATTTGTGTGCGTGATATTGATTCCCGTGATACATTAGTTTGTAGCGGTCTTCCGTGTTTATCGCACAGTAAAAAGCGAATCAACGGTATCTGTTCTCGTGACGCACGAGTTCGTAGCGGGTTCCCACGCTTCTGTTCGCGATTTGCACACAATATCAGTTCCCGTGACACCCCAGTCTGTAGTGGGTTTTCGTGCGTTTATCGCGCTGTGAAGTGCGGATGTGCTGAGTCTGTGTTCTGCGGTATTCGTCCCCGTGACAGGGAAGCTCGTAGCGAATTCCTGCGTACTTATCGTACCGTGGAACGCAAATTTTCTGTGTTCGCGATCTGTGGTATCAGTTCCCATTTCACGTAACTGTAATAACGGCTCCCCTGCTATTACAACGCTTATTATTGATTTTTGATACAATCTTGCTTAGCATCCCCAAACATTGCCCACCCCATATTTTTCACCATTTATCTTTTCGTTTTTAATGGGAGTTATTCACAACATTACGGTAGACATAATAAGTTTGGATGAATGACATTCTTCTTTTTTTACATGAGGTGAGATTGGGATTTTGTCATATTGGACATGCCCCAAAAAATGTTGTAAATGCTCGCCTCTAAAAAAACGAAAAACACTTTAATAGTACGATTGACGACATATCATGTTACAAACATGATAAGCTGCTCGTAGTGGAAAGATAGAAACAGTAATTTCGTTTGGAGATTTAAAAGTGAACTCTCAGTTTGAAGCCCACAAAACAGTGCCACAAACACGTGATTCAGACCTTTGTCACATGGAAGGAGCCTGCAATAATACAGCCCTGCTGATTGAACCAGCATTGCATGCCTCCAGAACTACTTTTTTTTTTTGTAGTTTTTTTTTTTTTTTGGTATGCTATTTTGTTTTGTAGAAGCATTGGATATACATACAACAAGTAGTGGGGAATTCAAGCTACTTTAAAATTACCACGTGAACATAGGAAATAAATTCCAAATCTTCCAAGTTCCAGATCGGTGCCGGCGAGGATTGCTGAAAATCCATATTTCTAGCCAAGACTGAAACTCCGGCTGGAAATTTTAATTTTTATAATGAAGATGAGAACCGACCTCCAGTGGCAGGTGGGATGTCCCAGAAAGCAGGGACAGGGCGGGCAGGTTGGTCTCCTGGAACACGGCCAGCGCGTCTCCTTCCGAGCCCGTCAGTACAACCTCCTGGTGGTGCTTCTTCACCTTCTGCCAGCCAAAAAGGCCCACAACATTCGGCCTAGAATGGAAAGCAAAGGGTAATAAGCCCCACAACCCCCCAAAAAATGTATCTCCACAACACTGTCCTGGTCAAGTTTCGAATTCGCCTGACAAAAAAAAAAACAATATATGTACAAATATTTCACTCGTCTGTTTAAAATGTGGATTAAAAAAAGCTAACGCAATATCTTTCAACTGTTTTCCTGCATGCTCAAAGAACACCTTGTTACATATGTATTTCTGCTTCAAACAAAGTGAAAAACCAAAACCTGGTTCTTTTAGATGTAAAACAGAATGGTACTCGCACCCCCCTTCCCATATGAAAAGGTAGTTTCCCGAATTCCAAACAAGTACCTAATACTATTTCTTTACCCGATTTGATGAGTTCTACATTCAATCCCCAGAAAGATTCAGACAGGAGAGATCACATCAAAACACTAACATAAAATAACCAATACGCCATGACTACTCGAAGGTATAGTACTACAAATGAAATCTTCTGTTGAAGCAGAACTATGTGCCTCCATTTGAAGTTGCGGCATTAAATGCACTCCTAAGTAACTCCCTGACAATGTCTTTGAAAGCTTTAGCCTGAAAACTGTGTTCCTACATGTATATACCTAAAAGAAAAATCTTTTGAAATACGTTACCTCGGTAAAACATTGGAATCGAGCCGACCTTCGGTTACTGCAAGACACTTTAAGGCAACCAGCTTCTTAGCTGGACCGTGGATGGGAAAGAGGATCTTGGACCTGTCTTTTGCCAACCGCACGTCCATCAGCTTCATCGTCAGAGGTTCGATTTTCTGGCAAGAAAAGACACGCATTGGAAACCCCCATTCGTCGAGCTGAGGTAAGGAGCTGCAAGCAGGACACGAAATGACTCCTTCCTACAAATGAACATTTCAGTCCATATGTGCATCTGCATAAATAATGTACATAACATGGCTATCTAACTGGTGAAATTTAGTGCCCGTCGATTCCCTTTTAAAGGGAAGCTGAAGAGGTTCTTGATTTCGAACAAACAGTAAAAGATGTAATGCAGTTTTATTTCGAACCTATTAGTAGGAGCGTTGTAATAGTCAATTAACATTTTGACATAGAACTGCCCGTTGCGGCGTGCCGACGGTAGGAAAGTGTGAGAGGGGAGAGAAAAAAAAGCCAAAGAGACGTCATCAGCAAGGTCAGATGACCCTTGCTCGCTACTAAGCTGGCTCAGATATGCTGTCAATGACGTCGCGACACTCTGGACAGGTAACAGGCGGCGGGGAGGATAGCCGCATGCCCGGCAGCAATTGCTGCACGTATCTTTCAAAATAAATGTGGTTTACATTTACTTCTGCCCAAGATATAAGTGCGATAACTAAATTCACGGGACAGAAAGCTCTAGAAGTCCGCTCCTAACTCAGATTTCTTGAAAAGTGCTTCGGCTTCAAAGAGAAAACCCTGGCATCACAAAATAAAAATATACATATTTTTTTGTCTATAAGTAGGGTTCTGCGTTTTCGGTTTCTATTTTTTCAAAATTCGGCGTACTTTTTTCGGTGTTTATTTTAAAATTCAATTTTCGGTTTTTTTCGGCGTATATTTATGCCTGCAAAAATTTATCGGCTTTTTTCGGTGAATATAAAATAAACACCAACGGACTCCGGATCAGATGATCCTTGTACGTAGCTCTGATATTTGTGATCACTCAAAGAATAACGGCACAGACACATTGAAAAATAAATGGACATGTCATTTGGCAAATGTGTGCAACTGTAAAAGAAACAAGAAAAAAAACGCAGAAGTACAAACAAGTCAGATATGAAGCTTATGTCCCAAAAACATGGTACCTCACCTTCTGTACATCAGGAATACGTGATCTCATTATAGTACACACAAACATGTACTTTCCCAGGTTCTCTTTCTTGATCCACACTATTTCTTTCCTGTTAATATATGACCCTGAGCTTCGAGAACGCCGTGTCAGCGCTAACATTGGAAGCTGGCAGGCTGAGGAGATGACGCGCTGCCTGAGCCAAAATCGCCGACGTTTTGAAGCACAACACAACATGCAGAGCTTGCATCCAGTCAGTCTTCCTCACAACGAGTTTGAAAACACGCTCCCCACGGCTCTGCCGTACGACTGGACGGTCAAAGTGACCTTTTCTGGTTAAAACTGAATTTTAAAAAATGGATTCGACGAAATTTTATCGGTTTTTATCGGTTTAAATCGAAACTGCCGAACCTAAAAACTGACCTTTTCCGGTTAAAACCGAATTTCCGAAAATGGATTCGGCGTACTTTTATCGGTTTTTATCGGTTTAAACCGAAAACTCCGAACCCTATCTATAAGTAACGAACAAAATAACGAACGAACAAGTACTATACCCAGGAAGTATATATTTTTATAGTAGGGTACATCGATACAAAGTTTCACGTGCAGACTGTTTGCAAACACATTTCGAAAAGCTTTTCATGTTTTCTCAGAATTATATATTTTCATCACAACACAAACTTTTGCCCACGGTATCTTTTGTTCTAAAATTTTGATCCGAATACGTTTTTCAGGGTTTAATATATTTTATAAACCAGAGAGTGCAACCAGACTAACTTGTTTGGAAAATGTCAACTGAAAAATTTTCTAACTGGCAGACTATGACTAATTTCTAATTATCAGTGAAAAATTTGCAATTTATGATAACTTCTTTTAGAATGATGGTAAAATTAAAAGAATGATTTCGTTGCACTTCCTGTGTTTGTGGAACATGCTGATACACTTTTTGCCATATTTTCTTATGGGGACATTTTAAAAAAAAGGGCAAGCAGAAACATTTGTGATAAAGTTGAGGTTTTTAAAAACCCTATAATAGAAAAAAAAAGATGAACGTATGTTTGCACTTAGCACAAAAACTTAGAGCAGAGGTGAAAATGTAAAACAGATTGGATCAGAAATCAAAAAAAAAAAAGGTATGTTAGACCAGAGTCTCCCCTCAAATAAAATGCGAAAAAGCGCCAATGTCGTGTTTGCGTTAACCAGTGTCACACAGTACACTTAAAAAATGCACAAAAGTGGAACGCTCAGGAAACTGCAAACTTCAGGTATGATTGCAAAGTCGTATCTCGCACCCTTAGCAAGTTGTTCTGATGTCCACAGAAATTATGCCAATTTGAGGAGAAGACAAAACGTTGCCAAGCTAAAACACGCTTTAGCTAAAAGTTCTTTTCCACTGGACACGGTGTTCGTGAAAGTAAACCTCTTATTTTGGCGTTGAGAATCAAACAGGTATTTTTTCGAAGTGTAGAAATATTACGTTCGATAAAAATAAACCTGCTATAATTGCTTTTATAAGAAATTAGTAAAGAAAAACCAATCATGACTGCGATTTCCCAAACCCTTAAAAACAATTTTTGAACAAATTTTGTGTGTTCCCTTGAACAGTGGGCTCGAATAAGGCCAGACAAAACATAAAAGTAAGTAGGAAGCAAAAAAGGATTTCGCATTGAGAAGAGATAAACGCGCTCACTTACCCGCAAACCGAACCTGTGAACGAGTTGCTCGAACTCTGGCCGCTCGACGTCGACAAGGGCAGTGGAAGACGCATAGTGAGCCTGGAGATCCTCAGCTTCCTGGGGGGTCAAAAAGACGCCCGATCCTGAAGCTAGGCTGTCCCTGAAAGGCGCAGAAAAAAAACACATGTAATCGACACACCTGCACGAGCCGTTTCATCGTCAAGGTTCCATTCTTGCCCAAGCAACAGGGAAAAAGCCGGCTATAGCTTTCTAGGGGTATGCTGCCAAATTATAGTGGATTGTGCTAACGCTCTGATCTGATCTGAACTCACCTGTTTTTTGCGGTACCCTCGACAGAGAGGTAGTCCTGCAAGGTCTGCCAGCTCGTGACTACTTGGCAGCCATAGCAGGTAAACAAACCTGTAAAAAAAAGGAGAAAAAAAGAGAACAAAAAAATTTGCCACTGAGGTGTAGTCATAGAACATTCAGACAGCTTTGTGCCACTTTTGAATCCGTAATACCTAGATCCAATATTCATAATGCAGCTAAAAAATTTTGCAGGAAAAAGAGATGCAGAAGGCAGCTTGAGTACCGCAAGTTTTATTTGACTAAAATACACAGTGTGGCTAGATTTATTCCAAGTGAGTACAGGCAAGAAGCCTCGAAGCAAAAAAAAAACAAAAAACAGATTGAATATCTTGGCATCGGGTTTGGACGACGGTGGTAGTTCCAAAGTATTCCGAACACTGTGAAGACTCTGGTAAGGAGCTGCACACACACACCGTCGTCGGGCCCCGACGTTGAGGAAAGACAGTACCCAGCACTAGTTCCGGCACATGTAACTTTATCTAAACTCTGCTTGAGTTCGCGACACAGACAACTGCTACGACTTTCTCCGTCCGAAAGCTTGCGATGGCTAACCACCCTTTTTTGCTGTCCCTCTTCTTGGTTCTCTTTTCTTCCCCTGGCCGCGAGGCGAGGATTCTTCGTAATCTGGCGCGAATGCCACGGTGGGACACACACACACGTGCCCGCACGCACAGCACCGAATGAGTCGGTAATATACTCCGTCACACTTGCCCACACAAAAAAGGAGTTTTCTCTTACACAAAATTCACCTGACAAAACTTAACGGGATGTTCATGTTCAGGTTCATAAAAACACTTAGTTTTCTGACCGTAATGAACTCACTATGGGATACCTATCGAAACACTGGGTAAAGTGCACAGAATACACCATCACGTGGTCGCTAAGAACAGTGAACAGACTGGGACAATACATTGAACCCAGAACAATAAGGAGCACACTAAGAAAGTTCCCGCAGACTACAGACCACCCGGTGGGCCCCGCAGGTTTCTCGTACGTGTGTCCATTAAGGTCGATCAACTGGTCCGTATTTTCTCAAAGCATAGCGTTGTTCCCCCACGGGGTTAACTAAGTATGAATTACATTGTGTCAGTTATTGGCTCAACAAAACAACTTGCAATATAAATATACTGTAATAAGGTGGTGAACAGAGCCAGTTGGTTGACCTGTAACATGATGGGGAAAACAGCTCAGAAAACGTGAACTATGAAGAAGGACACCGTGCTCTATGTAGTCCGCGTTTTCTGAGCTGTTTTCCCCATCATGTATATAAATAAACATTCTGCGAACACCGCATTCCACGGTAAGAACTTCCCACCTCTTGCTAGCACAGCGGCTCTCCTGAACCCTTCAAGTGCCTCGTCTCTTCTAGAAGCCTTCATTCAAATCCAAACATTAAAAAAAAAAAAAAAAGCCATATTTTTTTATTTTTACATTTTACATATGTATAATACAAAACTCAGAAATAAGGAAGCCTCTGGCGGGTGATGCACACAACTTTCTTTTACGCTGGTTTAATACCAGTTGTCCAAAAGGGATACAAATTACTTTTACATTGCATCTGTACCTCTAATAACATTGTTTACCTACCTGTAACAATGTTGTTTTCCTATCTGCAACATTGTTTACATACTTGTAACATTATTTTCGTACCTATAACATTGTTTTCATACCTATAACATTACTGTTCTCATACCTGTAACAATGTTGCTTTTGTACCTGCAACATTGTATTTATACTAAGAACGATACTGTTTTCATAACTGTAACAATGTTGCTTTCGTACCTGCAACATTGTATTTATGCCAGTAATGACACTGTTTTCATACCTGTAACAATGTTGCTTTCGTACCTTCAACATTGTATTTATGCCAGTAATGACACTGTTTTCATACCTGTAACAATGTTGCTTTTGTACCTGCAACATTGTATTTATGCCAGTAATGACACTGTTTTCATACCTGTAACAATGTTGCTTTCGTACCTTCAACATTGTATTTATGCCAGTAATGACACTGTTTTCATACCTGTAACAATGTTGCTTTCATACCTTCAACATTGTATTTATGCCAGTAATGACACTGTTTTCATACCTGTAACAATGTTGCTTTTGTACCTGCAACATTGTATTTATGCCAGTAATGACACTGTTCTCATACCTGTAACAATGTTACTTTTGTACCTGCAACATTGCATTTATACTAGTAACGACACTGTTTTCATACCTGTAACAATGTTGCTTTCGTACCTGCAACATTGTATTTAATTATTTTATTCTATTTATCAATACTGTCAGCCTTCTCTCGAAGGCTATTACAGGAGAGGGAGAAATAAAAGGGAAAAACATACAATCTTAACGTTTAACAGCAATAAGGACACACAAAATACTATTACATATTCAAATAACAACAATCAACCACAATTTCTTTTAATTTGAAAACAGCTCTTCCAAGGAAGACTCAAAATGAGATGCGCCTGTTAAATTTATGACACACTCCGGGAGACTATTCCATGCTTCAATTGTTTGCGCGAAAAAAGAGTATTTAAAGATGTCTATTCTACTACAATAAGGTTGGACCATTTACGTATGATTTAGTCTTCTTGATCGTTTATGCACTTCTTTCAAATACAATGCTGGGTCAATTTTTAATTCTTCGTTTTAGAGGGAAAAAAACAACTTTAACCTTGCAATCTTCCGTCTAGTTTCTAGTGGCTGCAAGCCGCACTCATGCAACATTCTAGTTACAGAGTCTGTAACTACTAGTAACGACACTGTTTTCATACCTGTAACAATGTTGCTTTCGTACCTGCAACATTGTATTTGTACTAGTAATGACACTGTTTACATACCTATAACAATGTTGCTTTTGTACCTGCAACATTGTATTTATACTAGTAATGACACTGTTTTCATACCTGCAACATTGTATTTATACTAGTAGCGACATTGTTTTCATACCTGTAACAATGTTGCTTTTGTACCTGCAACATTGTATTTATACTAGTAATGACACTGTTTACATATCTGTAATAATGTTGCTTTCGTACCTGCAACATCGTATTTATACTAGTAACGACATGTTTTCATACCTGTACCAATGTTGCTTTCGTACCTGCAACATTGTATTAATACTAGTAACGACATTGTTTTCATACCTGTAACAATGTTGCTTTTGTACCTGCAACATTGTATTTATACTAGAAATGCCACTGTTTACATACCTGTAACAATGTTGCTTTCGTACCTGCAACATTGTATTTATACTAGTAACGACACTGTTTTCAGACCTGTAACAATGTTGCTTTCGTACCTGCAACATTGTATTTATACTAGTAATGACACTGTTTTCATACCTGTAACAACGTTGATGAAGGCCATCTCCATCCCTGAATAAGTTCCACCTGGCACGTCTGAGCCCTGGCACTTGGGTTGGCACACTGGACATGGGATCTTGAGGCATGTGTAGCCTTCCTCGAACCCAATTGAGCTTTCCTTAAGGAACCTTTTGATTTTGGATACCGTGACTAAGGGTGCAGTGTCTGGGATACTGAGTGAGGTTGCCAGCCACCTCCTTTGCGAAACCCCTTTCATAGGTTCTGGAGCACATTCCTGGGCCCCTGCAAAAAAAAAAAGGTATAGACAGACAAATGATGTTATAGTCGGCTAACAATTGTAGAGTCTTATAGGTGAACGTGGCTTCAAAGAATGCCACTAATAACCAATTCCAATCCAAGGATGAACAGGAATTTCTAGAGCAGACCTAGCTATGGTCGGCGACGGGTTAAGAACAAAGCGGGAGCTTTGTCTTCACCATGAGTGCTTGTCGCTCTCCATCGTGCCTTAGCTGCACGCACTCACATGACACCAAATCGTTATTGAAGGTGGGAAGTTCGCACTGAAAACAGCTTCTAGTGCGTTCTCATCCTGGCCTCTCTGCATACGAGTTCCCATACTGTGCAACATTACAAGAACTCTTCGCACATAGTAATATATGTCTACCGACACGAGTAAACTATATTAACCATCATCTGCACGTGACAAGAAATGAAAAGCAAACAAATTTGTCTTTTGGGGGGATGGTGGTTCTCAAGTTGTCGTCCTGCCACATAGTTGTTTGCTGCTTACGTTTTGAGATTGTATTCTAGGTGGGTGCTTGCTGCCAGGGAAGCTCACTGTCAGAGTGGACCGGCAGTGGACAATGAGTAACGGTGGCAACAGAAGAGGCAACAGAATAAACCCCATAAGCCAGTGAAACATTTAGTCGGTGATAACGATCCTGGAGGCTGGTCACAAAAGTGTTGACAAAGAAGGCGAGCAGACGCAGGGACCGTTGTTGTCACTGCATACAAACTTTTGGCTGACTTGTTTTTCGTCAAATGGTCGGCTGCAGAGCAACCTCCAGCAGGATTGGCATCTGCCCTATTTACTTCCCCTGCTGCGCCGCCGCCGATTGTGACCTGCGACTAAATGTGTCGGTGGTGACGTCTGCAAGGCAGAAACCCAGAGACCAAAAAATAAGATGCATTCCAGGCACCAAACCTCCAATATACATCCAGCAAGCGAAGCAAAGTCATTAGTCCACTCCACAAACAAATTAAATAGATAGAAAACGTCATAGGAGCGTAAGTTCTTTTGCAAGATTGTCTCCTACCAACTCGAATCGGCTGGCGCTCCCTCGACGCGGCGTATGCCATCTGTTGGCAGAACCTTTCTCTACGCGTGCATCGTGTGCAAAGAGAGGCGACATGATTGCCCAGAACAGTTTTTTTTTCTTCCTTTTTAAACGAGGTAAGTTTATTTCTTGATTTTTTCACTGTAAACTTTCACAAAACACCTGCTTGCACCTCTGTAGTAAATCGCAGCGAGATATGTCGAGAAACCGATTTTTGCAATGTGCCTCGTTAGTTTGCATGCTGTAAAGCAATTCCTTAGCAACCATTCCTTTTTTTTTGCAGTTCTTTTTGCCAGGTTTTTTCTTTCTCCTTCGTTGAAATTCAGTTTCAAGAAGAGTAAAGCTATAAGCACCAGCTCGTGCAACTCAACCAAAAAGGGGTATACGCACGACGCGAAACTTATATAAAATGAATTTTTACAACGAATTTCTGAAGCGGCAGCGTAGCTTAGCGGAAAGGTGTCTGCTGCATACGCAGCGGACCCCAATTCAATCCACAACATAAGCTTACTTTTTTTTGTTGTTGTTGTTGTTGCGTATTTGGCAATATTTACGACATTTCTTTTTTTTTTTTTACAATTAACACTGAAAAAAAATTGATGTTGTCGACAAAACTTCGCTGAACTAAATGCTATATGGGACTCCCTTCCGGAGGTGCAATGGTAAACAGCGGGGCTTGGTTTGCTGGCTGGAAGCCGCGAAGCAGTATGTATGGGGGGCATACCTCGGCAAATTCATTCATGAACTCGCTCATTCACCTTCAATCACATTCACGGCATGAATCTGAATGGCTCTGAATGAATTCTTGAATTTGAAAAAAATCATGATGTGATGGTGAATGACTTCATGAATTTGAAAGAATTCGTGATGTGAGGGTGAATGACTTCGTGAATTTGAATGAATTCGTGATATGATGGCGAATGAATTCGTGAATTTGAATGAATTTGTGATGTGATGGTGAATGAAGTCGTGAAGTCGTGATGTGATGGTGAATGACTTCGTGAATTTGAATGAATTCATGATGTGATGGTGAATGAAGTCGTGATGTGATGGTGAATGACTTTGTGAATTTGAATGAATTCGTGATGTGATGTTGAATGAAGTCGTGATGTGATGGTGAATGACTTCGTGAATTTGAATGAATTCGTGATGAGATGTTGAATGAAGTCATGATCTGATGGTGAATGACTTTGTGAATTTGAATGAATTCGTGATATGATGGTGAATGAATTCGTGATGTGATGGTGAATGACTTCGTGAATTTGAATAAACTCATGATGTGTTGTGATTGTGAACGACTTCGTGAAGTGAATAGAATTCATTGTGATGTGAATGACTCAATGAATTCGTGATGTGATGGTGAATGGCTCGTGAACACGATGAATTTGTGATGTGCGTGGCTCGTGAACTTGATAAGTTCGTAATGGGAATTAATACCGTGAACCTAATTCTCGACGTGATAGTGAATACGGTTATGAGTTCAGAATAGGCGGAAAACATGCTACGCAGGTGCTTGCTTGCTTGCTTCACCTTCACCGCAAACCACAGGAACCCATTTGACCTTAGCAGTTTGGGCACCAGTCTCGCTGCGTAGCCGTGCGCGCCTCAGCGCGGTGGCCCTTTGTCGAGCAGTTTCGTAGTAACAGCTGTTTATAAGGGAAGTGCGGTGGCAGTGGCAATGAAGGGCAGGGGACGGGGGAGGGCAGTCGTTTTCTTTGGCACTTCATATTTAATTTTGCCGTTGTTCTGAGCGGTTCCTCGTGAATCAATTAAGCTCCTTGCCGACCTTGTCCTTCCGCGTCTCAGGGCATATGGTCCGGAATCCCTGAAGGCTCTCGCTGTGCCGTTTCGCTCGTGAGTCGTGCGTGGTACAGCCGCGCTGTCCGCGGGCACTAGTAGCAGCAGGCGCCGCTTCGTCTACGCGGCGCAGCCATATATCATTTCAAAAGAGACGAAGCCAAAGCCGACGTCACGAGCAGGCACATCAATCCGGCGCCGAGACCATATCACGTGACCTGCCGGTTCCGCGCGGTGGCGCACGGAGCACATTCACGTGACATGATCGCAGCGTGGCATTGGCTGGGTTGGCGCTCTATCAATGTGCTTTGCGTTTCGCGCACGCACTCGAAATACCCCACTTGCCCGGCAGAGTCAGGTCCTGGTTTCAACTGGCTGACACAAAAAGGCGCCACAGTCCTATTCCGCAAGAATTGCGAACTCGTGAAGGGCCACCAGCCGTGAAGTCGAATTTAGTCAGAATGAACCTGAATGACTTCGTGAATTATGCGGAATTCATGATGTGATGGTGAATTCCGGTGATTTCGTGTTGACCGTGATGATGAATAACTTCATGAAGTGATGGTGAATTCGGATGAATTCATGATGTGATGGTGAATTCCGATGAATTCGTGATGTGATGGTGAATTCCGATGAATTCATGATGTGATGGTGAATTCGAATGACTTCGTGAAGTGATGGTGAATTCGGATGAATTCATGAAGTAATGGTGAATTCCGATGAATTCGTGATGTGATGGTGAATTCAAATGAATTCATGATGTGATGGTGAATTCGAATGACTTCGTGAAGTGATGGTGAATTCGGATGAATTCATGAAGTGATGGTGAATCCGGATGAATTCTTGATGTGATGGTGAATCCCGATGAAATCACGATGGTGAATTCCGATGAATTCATGGTGATGGTGAATGACTTCGGGAATTGGTGACGTGATGGTGAATGACTCCGTGAATTCGGAGGAGGCGGTGATGTGATGGAGATGAATTCTTGGCGCGGTTGAACGCCGTGGTGTGAAAGGGATGAATTCTCGGCGGAGTTTGAAAGCCGTGATGTGAAGGGGATGAAGTTTTGGCGCGGCTGAACGCTGGGATGTGAAGGGCCGTGACTTTGGGAGGTCGGAGTACCTTGTGACGTGAATGCGAATGAATTGGGATACGTGATTTTGTTCGTGATGTGATGGTGAATGAAGGCGCTCTGAAATGCCGACCTATGATGGGGGGCCAAGTGGGTTAACAGTTTTGTGATGAGCAGCCGTAGACTGCTGCCGCAAAGCGGCATGAACACAGGTGGGTTAACATGCCCCCAGTGACACACGCGCCGTCCGAAAAGGGTGACCCAAATGGCAGGAGCTCTCCGCATCGTGCGTATAGTCATTTTCGGACAACGTGCACAAGCTTGTGCGTATAGCTTTACTCTTTTGAGTATGCTAACAGCTAGCTTCCTTTCCAATTTGTGTTTTCTGGGCACGAATAAAGCGTTCTAGCAGCCTTAGAGATCAAACTCTCAGCCTTTCTATTTCTCCAGCTGACCAGCACGAGCTCCCACAAGCAATGCGGTCATTGAGCACATCGTGCAAACCAACATGGTGTTTATTGAACTCACCTCGGATTTGTGTCATGAAATGATGGTATCGCATGTAAGACAGGCCGCTCCAGCCAGACGAAAATGAGGTGCCGTCCACCACTCCATTTTCAGGATACTTGGTCAGAAGGTAGGCGTACCTGAGGAACTTCGAGGCCATCGCTCGAAGAGTCCATGAAACTTGGTCTTGACCGTCAATACCTCCAAAAGCAAAATACACAAAGGTTCCGTTTACCACCCGCAAACGATCTGCCGCACTCTAAAGTGAGCTGACCGATTCACAACCCAAGATGCTGTTGCATACAAGGCATCAACGAAGTTGTAAACAAAAACAGAACTTTCCAAAACATAGTTTATAACCTATGCAAGCAAAACCAGCCAACCGATACATTTAACCGAAATTTACCGTTTTGATAGTATATCTAACTAACAATAATACTTTATTTGTACTCAGAGGAAGGGAGGGGAAGGGGGGGGGGGGGGGGGGGGTTACCCAGGCGTACAGGGCCGCAAAAGGCAATGCTGCCCATACCAGATAGGCGCTGCACAAAACCTGGGGCCCGTAAATATTCATATGCATCAACTAAATGGGGGGGAAAAAAAAAAAGACGGTGGGGGGGGGGGGGGGGGGATAGGAAGAGTCAGGCTAAACATCATCTCTCCCCTGACGGAAGGCGACCAAGGCCCCGGCCAGCCCGGACCAGCTTTGAGCCCGCCAGAGACAGTACTGTGTCCGGCCTCAACGTGCTGTCGAAGCAGGACACCACACAATTCCCAGCCGGCCTACCACCGAACACAACACCCACCAGCCCGAGACGCAGTCCGACAGGGGCGACAAGGGGCATAGGTAACCTCAAAGACTACCGCAAGCGCTGCGCAGCCTTCATGATCAGTTCATGATATTCAGGAGGAAATGTCACTGCGAGTTCGGAGGGCAGCTAACGCCATAAAGCGACAGCTCACGGCAGCCATAAAGACCCGTGCCTCTGTGTTCGGGTAAGGAGGGGCTAAAGGCAGCCACTGCGACTGTTTAAACGTTGAGCGCCCATTAGGATCTGATGCTCAGGTGCTTGGAGTTGGCATGGCAGGTGGATCGAGGCAGCCTGCAGCACCCTTGATGTAACCTAACGCGAGTCGAACAATGCCTCTCGCGTGCAGGGATGTTTACTCACCATCTCAAGTTTCTCGAAAGTATGCTCATCCTTTAATGTGCGTCGTCAAATGAATTCAGGCGTTTCATTTAGGTGCAAATCACACGTGCAAACCGTCTGTAAATAAAAATAGCGCGCGATGAAGCACGGGCAACCAGCAGCCATGTGCTTCCCAACGTTGCGAACATAAAATCCTGTTTTCCGCTAAAAATGATCAAAAACAAAGTTGCCCAGTTGGTTAAATAATAAACAACACAACTCGATGTTAGAAAATGTTGCCATGCTCAGTATAATTCAACGGTTATAAAATTTTACACGATTAAATAACTGAAGTAATTGCGAAGTTGCGATTTAGTAACTGGAGCAACGTCATGCATCGTTGGTAACGTCCACTGACCAGTGGTAACGACCTATTCTTTCGTTAGCATTCTGTATTCTGTTTCTTTGTTTCTCCCGTCGTGCGACAGCACAAATTTCAAAACACAAAATATGCACCGAGCGAGCAGAAATCAAAATGTGCAAATCGAAACAAAAAGCAGTGCACCTTCCCCCTCCTCCAGATCGGACCGGCGGCGAAGAGAAGCAGCCCCCCTCCGCCGCCACTGCCAAAACCGAAGGTCACCAAGGGGGCCCTCAAATATAAGATCGTCGTGCGATGTCTTCGCGAATTTCTCGGCGATTTTACCGGCTCGAAGGCACAGAGGACCTCCTGCTCGACCGTGGGGCCACCGCGGAGGCCGAGAACCGATGGGTCTTCGAAATATCCTGGGAAGTCTGCAACAAAGGTGATTTTCTCGCTTGCCCAACCCCTCGCCGGCCCGTCTTGACGCATACCACCCGATGCACCATGTAATGCCGGTTTTGCGAAGCCACGCAGACCGGCCCAACTGGCTCGTTTTGCCCGAGTGCTGAATATTGTGAAGCGTAATTTGGGAACATGGACCGTCTCGCGCTCATCAAAAACTGCGTCAAAGTTGCACCTGTTTTCGGTCCAGGTTAATAACCACCGCGAACCTAGCGAGACGTGATGCGAGCTTACTTGTAGTACTCGCATCTTGATGAATGGCGTTACGGCGGCAATTTTTGTATACTTTTTTTTCTTTTCTTTTTTTTTTTTTTTTTTTTGCGAGCGTTTGGCTTTGAACGACGAAAGTTGATAGTTAAGATTGTCGCGTGGGTTTTGTGAACGCCGATTTAGAGGTTTCGCCCTTTTCTAAAGCTCTGGTTAGCTGAGCTCACGATTCAGATGCCTGCTGACACGCCCCCCTCCTCTTGGTGCCTCACTGGCGGTAGCTCCTGTGATCAGGGTCGTTCGGTGGCAGCTCAAGGTCACGGGGACCGTATGTCCTCGCGACAGTGGTCACAAAGTGGATGACATACCGTTCTCGATTTCTGGAAAAAGCCAGTCTTCTTAACCTGGTGCCCTAATTAATTATTATGTGATTTATAGTAAACCAAACCTGTCACAGGGTTATAAAAAAATAAAGGATCGTTCGGCAGTGAGATGGCCGGGTCGTCGTGGAGTAGATGAAATTAATAAAATAGTGCAGCCCCCAGATTAACAAAATTTATTTCATGAAATAGAATAACTGGCAGGCGATAGGGACACACAAGGTGTAAAGTCAGGTAAGCATCTGATAACACAAAGGGCTAGAAACAAAAACAACAAAATTTAAGAAGGGAAACATCTGTCATACAGAGAAACCATACTTACTCTGCAAGGGGAACGCTGCTACGCTTATGCAAATAAAGTATTATTATTATTATTAACAAAAAAAATGGCTAAGTTGCAAAGATACATACTGGAATTGTATGATGATAATACAAGGTGCAAGCGAGTTGGACAAGAATAACTATAATAATCCTTGGAGAAGGGGAACGGGAGGGACAAAGGACAAACGAACACAAATCTTACAGAGCTAGGTGAATGGTGCACCACCGAAAAAATTAGCCTAGTCCTGGTATCGAACCAGGGTCCTCTCCATTTCCATGGGAGCTATACATGATGATTGAAAACCTGAGACTGTGGTTTGAAAAACAGAAAATTGTGAAGTAGAAAGAAAAAGAGACGGACAACGTCTCAAACTCAGCTAAAACCTTTATTGCCTCTACGTCTTATATACACCTCCCCCGGACGTCGAACGTCGCCACCACCACAATGGTTGATCACTGAACTACAAACAATACACCGGAATGACAATACACCAAACCACAGCTAATACATAAAAAAAAAAAAAAAAGTTTTATACAAACAGAAACACAAGGTCGTCACCACCGCACCCGGAAGGACTTCAACGCGGACAATGTAACACCAGCACTTGGGAACACAAAAAGACCGTCTCTAACTTACCCCCCTTCCCCCTGAACTGCACCATGAATCACACACAGTCGCCAACAATGCCCCCCATTACGATCCCGAACCCAACAATGCAAACAACTGCGAAGCAGCCTCCTCCCCTTTTACGTTCACCCCACACTAGGTCTTTACAGTCGAAGAAACTTTCTTGGCTCACTTTTAATTTGCAGTGACGCTTGGCTAATGCAATTTCCCGGTGTTTTTATACGAACAGTTTCTCGCACAACATGTCTCATCTCCTCGCGCTCTTTGTGTACGATTTCTGTCTCTGACCAGTTCGCTGTACATGCATTACACTCCTGGAGATGCCTCGCTAGTTCATATTTTGAAGCGTTAATCCTAAAAAAAGGAAACTTAGGAAAGTTAAGGAGAGACATTTGTACCATACTAAAAGATGAGGAAAAGGAAAGTGTAGTGAAGAGCATCATGTCCCAATCCAAGACGACTCTATGTTTGAAATTCTTTTTAAAAGACCACAAAGTTGGCATGCCTCTCCGAGTTGTTATAAATGAAATTTGCACTTGGCAGAACATTGTCTCTTCTTTTCTCCAACGTAGGTTAGGGCTAATCTCCTTGAAACATTCTCTATCCTTAAGAAATTCAGGAGAGCTTATTGATGTCATGAATAGCAATCACGGTAGGAAGTGTTCAGTTTTCTCAATGGACATAAAGGATCTATATTATTCTCTTGAAAAGAAAAGACTGATGTCGGCGGTAAAGGAACTGTTAGAGCTAAATCTAGTGAAATTTCAGTCAGAGTAGGGAGTGTCGGTAGATGGTTTCCTCATAGTTCTGGACCGATACCTGCAGTCAACAATTATGGGGTATGATGAACGGATGTACGTACAGTCCGTATAGGATCGTCGGTTGCGCCGCGTTTGGCCGAGTTTTATCTCAACACCCTAGACAGAGTTGTGGTTGAGAAGATGAGAGATATGCCCCCAGATGTAGGTTTTGTCTGAAGATACATAGACGATATAATTGTGTGCACTTTTCGAGATAACCTTTCGGATACTCTACAAAATGTAATAAGTCCAGCGGCCCCGGAGCTGCGTTTCACTGGGGAAAAGCCGGAGGAAAATGTCATTTAATTTTTGGATTTACTCATTCATGTGGACAGTGGGCTGTGTTGGGAATATGGGAAGCAGGCACCAAAACCCGTCCTATCGAAGCAGAGTTGTCATTCTAAAATTGTAAAGGCAGGGGTAGTGAAGTCTCTGACCCAGAACACTCTACGAAGGTCATGCATTCATTACATGGAGCAGTCTTTGAAAAGACAATGGGGAAGACTGGAGAGGGCCGGCTATCAAGAATCCTTCATGAAATGGCAGCTTGCTCTACAGATCGAAGATAAGCAAGATAAGCGAAGTGTCAAGAACTTTTGAGGCAGGACAGAAAGAATGTAAAAAAATTCATCGCGACAGATCTGTTCCATGTGTCAGTGGAGTACAGGGCAATTCAAGGAGAGGCTAGGCTCTTTAAATCGACCGCAAAATTTGGTTTCTTAACCTATCGCGCTACGACTTTGTTCGGCGTTGCCCACAAATGGTGCATTTTTTTTTTTCGTAAAATTTGTAAAGAGCGAACTTACCTGAGGAAAAAGTAAAGAAAGAAAAAAGCTTCGCTCCTATGTAAACGCAGTGAAGCCACCGGTCTTCAAACAACACGGCACCGTTTCGCACGGGAGACAAGAGATGGCGCAAGCGGTCGCGACGCCAACTGCCGCCAACGAACGAGCATACGACACCGAGAGCCGGCGTCTTTAGTAGACAAGGAACTGCAGTTCCTTGCTGTTGCCGTGCCTGTTTGTGTTTCTGCGACTGTCGCCGCCTGCGGAACGCGCACCGCTTTTGAGTCGAAAAGATTGTCTGCTAAGACGCCGGCTCTCGGCGCCGTATGCTCGTTCATTGCGCCATCTCTTGCCTGCCGTGCGAAACGGCGCCGTGTTGTTTGAAGACCGGTGGCGTCGCTGAGTTTCCATAGAAGCTAAGCCTTTTTCTTTCTTTACTTTTTCCTCAGGTAAGTTCGCTCTTTGCAAATTTTACCAAAAAAATGCACCATCTGTGGGCAACGCTGCAAAAAGTCGTAGTGCGATAGGTTAAGAAACCGAATTTTGCGGTCGATTTAAAGAGCCTGGCCTCTCCTTGAATCACCCTGTAGTGTATGAAATTCCTTTGGAATGCGGCTTTAAATATGTTGGTCAGACTGCAAGATGCATTAACGATAGGTTGACAGAACATAAACGGAATGTGCGGATTAACGCTTCAAACTCTGAACTAGCGAGGCATCTCCAGGATCAATGCATGTACAGCGAACTGGTCAGAGACAGAAATCATACACAAAGAGCGTGAGGAGACGAGACGTGTTGTGCGAGAAACTGTTCGCATAAAAACACCGGGAAATTGCTTTAGCCAAGCGTCACTGCAAATTGGAAGCGAGTCAAGAGTTTCTTCGACTGTAAAGACCTAGTGTGGGGTGAACGTAAAAGGGGAGGAGGCTGCTTCGCAGTTTTTTGCATTGTTGTGTTCGGGATCGTAATAGGGGGCATTGTTGGCGATTGTGTGCGATTCATGGTTCAGTTCAGGGGGAAGGGGGGTAAGTTGGAGACGGTCTTGTTGTGTTTCCAAGTGCTGGTCTTACATTGTCTGCGTCGAAGTCCTTCCGGGTGCGGTGGTGACAACCTTGTGTTTCTGTTTGTATAACATTTTTTTATGCATTGGTGGCAGTTTGGTGTATTGTCATTCCGGTGTATTGTTTGTAGTTCAGTGATCAACCGTTGTGGTGGTGGCGACGTCCGGGGGAGGTGTATATAAGACGTTGAGGCAATAAAGCTTTTAGCCGAGTTTGAGATGTTGTCTGTCCCTTTTTCTTTCTACTTCACAATTTTCTGTTTTTCAAACCACAGTCTAAGGTTTTTAATCATCATGTATAACTTACATCAGCTCACCTGCACTTTAACCATTTTTCCAGTGGAGCGCTATACCAACTAAGCTAACCAGGAGTTTGACGTCAGTAGAGCAAACGGGTTTTATCGGCTGCCCTTAGTCTAACTTCAACAAGGGTGAACGACCTGCATTTTAAGATTATGATGATAATGCAATTTTTGCAAAGGTGTAAGTGAGCTGGGCAAGAATAACGATTTGTGTTTGACCTCTGCCCCCCCCCCCCTCCCCCCGTTCCCCTTTCCGGGGATTATTATCGTTATAATGAAATTAATTGTTTCCACAGCTGACTAGCCAAAGAAAAACCTCAATACGAAACAGAAAAAACCATTTTGCTTGCAAAAATTTGTCCGAACCGTTTCTGTGAAATGCCGGAGCAAACCACCAGAAGAAAAAACGCCTTAGCTTTAAGATGTGAGGTTCAGTCCGATGTAACTGAAGTTTCCAAAGGTTGATTGGCAGTCAGGATCTGAAGTTGAAGACACGGTTGTCTTCGTCACTGTCAGTCACAGCGTCTTGATCAGTTGGAGGAAATGACACCACACTGCACACAGGCACTCATACCGATAAAAGCCACAAGCTAATGAAGGCAAGCCAAAACAACAAACTAACAGACAATAAAAAAAAAAAAAAAGTGAGCAGAGCTTTGGGTGTTTCCATTGCCATCCTCCGGGAAAAATGGTGCTTATCTAGCGAATTGTGACAAGAACTACAAGCTTAAACTCAATCTGCCCCAAACCTTCTTCAAAAACCTCAGCAGACTAAAAAAAAAGTTTGCCTTCACCAGCACCCAAAGACCTGTGATTGACAGACCAAACAGTCTGCACTGCTTCAACTCGGCTGCCATGAGAGTGAAAAATACAAAGATGTGCACAACAAGAAAGACAGATTACTCATTGCTTGCCCAGCAGACCAAGCTTTAACACTAAATGGTAAAAGACAAACATAGGCTGGCCATAAAAACTAGCTAGGAAACACAAATAAAAACCAGGCCACTGAAGTTCATGAAAAATAATGCATGACACTTCTGCAGATAAAATTAAAAAAAAGAAAAAGAATATTGTACGGTTGAGACCGGTTATAACGAAGTCGGTTATAACGAAATAGCGGCTACAGCAAAGCGATCTCCATTTCCCATTCCCTTTTGCACTTCGTTATAATTGAAGTTGGTTGTAACAAAATAGCGGATATAGCGAAGTGATTTCCGATTCTCGTTGACTTCGTTAATAACCGGTCTCAACTGTACTACTTTTGTAGATAACTCTGCAAGAATGACTCGGCTCTTTTGAAACCTTACAAGAGTTAATCAGCTTGTTCAAAACCTCAGAAATAGACGGCTAATTGGGATAATCTGTAATGATTACAGATGCATTAAGTAAAATAGAAAGACCAGTATTTCCTGAAGCTCTTGTGAAGGGGAGGCAGCCCTTTACAAAAATACTTTATTCGTAAATGTCCATCCCTGTCTGACTATTGTCCAGATGGCAATGTCTTCCAGTTCTGACACACTGTTCATAAAATAATCCGATCCGACACTGTCTAGCTGTCCTGGCCCTTGGTACCTTCTTACGTAGTATTTTGCTACACTGTTAAGGTATTCACATGCTAGGCAAACACCATAAAACAAGGAGTACTATGGTGTGTTATAGCCCTCAGCTTAAAGTTGGAGTAAATGTGACCGCAAAATCGTGACCACGTTTGGTGCGGCAACATGGCCGAGAACTGTCTTGCACGCATCCCATGTCCAGCTGGAGGTATCTACACAATTGTCAGGTCCAAGGCTGTCCTGGACAGTGTCATTGGTACTTTCTTAGATAGCATCTTGAAACATTGCTCAGATATTCACACATTATGAAACAAGTAGTTTTATGGTGTGTCGTGACACTCAACTTCAGAATGGAGTAAACATGTCTGCAAAATCTTGACCACTGTTTGGTATGGCAATATGGCTGACAACTGTCTGGCATGCATGTCCTGTGTCCAGTTGGAGGCATCTACACAGTCATCAGGTCCAAGGCAGAGGTGACAGTGGAGGAGTTGGGTGACCAGTTCTGTCTCATAGGGCCTTACAATGAAAACCTGGTGCGCACCGAAGTGGAGGTCCTGGAGCCGCCTTACAGTATCTTCTGGAACAGCGTCAAGGCCCTGAAGGAACAAGGCATCAAGGTGAACTCTTGGTACTTTGGAAGCGACGACAGCAAAAGGTTTTTTTCGGAATGCTCTCTACAAGGTGTCTCCGAGAGAGTATGCAAGCATGCAGTAATTTGCCGACATGGGTAGCGCGACAAAATGACGAGTAACAGTGCCAAATAATTAAGATGTCACTCGTAAATTCTTTTTCACGTTGCTGGCGAAATTAATTAAAGGTTAAATGGTAGACAAGGACCAGTACATAAAAATTGGCATTGGCAACGTCGCCCGTAGAAGCCAGCCACAGATGATGATAATGCTAGACTTCTTCGCTCTGCCACTAACTGCTATGCTACTGTGAGTATGATCTTAGTTGCGTAAATATTTTACAGTTGATGACCCTCCCAGACAGGAATTACGTTAATGTAGCGCTACCTGTTCACTTTTCCAGGTGGTGTATGGGCGGTGGCTAATTGACGGCTACCCGCAAGTGCTGCTGTTCGACATTGGGTCGGCGGCGTGGAAACTGGACGAGTGGAAGAGGGATCTCTGGAATACATGCAACATTGGGGTTCCCTGGCACGACCGGGAGTCTAACGACGCCATCATATTTGGCTACCTAGTCGCATGGTTCCTCTCCGACGTAAGTAAACTCGCAATCCAAAATTCATTCTTGACCAGTGTACCAAAATGCAAGGAGGGGCAAGCCGATCAGCGGCTGTCGAGGCAGCAAAGTGCGCGTCATCATTGGTGGGAACTGGGGGTTAACAAAAGCACGCAGGCGCATTTTGTGGGCAAACAAACGCACAAGGTGCAAAAGAAGAGAAGACGAACTTGCACGCCATATCTGGAAGAGGTCTCTCGGTTCTGGCCCGGCTTTGAGTTGAACCGCAGCCCGAGCTTGAACATCAAATTTATTGACTAACTGCATCATTCAGACTTTATGATTGATTTGAGATTGCACAACGTTGTGTCAGGGTAACAGGGTCTCCGATGAAGTATTTACGCGTGCCTCAATTTCTACTGGGGTCCGACTATCGGAACATTTGTGGCTCAAAATAGGGTTCCATCACATGCAACGACGATGATGAACTTGAGATATTTGAGAGGCAACAAGTTGTCCGAGGCACATCTTGTCTATAGAAGTAATTGAATTCATTGAACATAAATTATGATTACCGAAAATATGCTTCCTTACAAATCCTTGAATGCATTGTTACAAGGAACAAGGAGTCAAACCTCCTAAATGTACCTTCTGGTGTCTCTGATGCTGCATTCTTTTGTGCTCTTCAGTGGTTTGGGTTCGACTTTGTTAGTTTTTCTCAGGAAATATATGTGGCTTTAGGATGAAAAGTTATATTTGGTTGCTGCCTATCATCATAATTTAGCGCTTCCCCTCGAATGGGATGCATTGAGATGTGCCCGCAAGGTAGTACTAGTATATGCTACCTGCCAGTACGATTGGGCGGACGTCTTGCAAACCAAGCGCCACGTTGTTCTTTCAGTTCATGAAGGCAGTGACAGCGGAGAAGGGCCCGCCATTTGTGGTTGCTCAGTTCCACGAATGGCTAGCCGGCATTGGGCTGATGCTCTGCCGCACCAGGCACCTGGACGTTGCGACAGTCTTCATCACGCATGCCACGCTCCTCGGAAGGTACCTCTGCGCTGGCAACGTGGATTTTTACAACAACCTCGACAAGGTAAGGGCGTTGCGCACGGTGCAGTTGTGAGGCGTAATTTCAGAGAAATTTTGCTTTGACTAGATCACGGGAAAGGTAAAAGCGTGAAGGGATGGAGGCATTTTTCGTGACGTTGGGAATGCACAAAACATGTGTCGGTGAGCCTTCGATTTTCCTCACCAAAAAAGGAAATGGAACTACCTGAAAGAATGCCGCAGAGACATAACAATGCAGGTTTGAGTACTTTTGATAGCGGAAATCGCAAAAAAAAAGTTTTTCTATTCTTTATGTTTTTTTACTTCTCTCCCCTTTTTTCTTCTTCCTTCTTTTCTCCGCTTCCGTGTGGAAGGAAAGATAAACAGTTGCTAGTTTGCGCACATTTCTGTTTGTTGCATTGCCTTTCTCGTCTCGGTGTCGTTGATTGTAATCCCTTGCAGCGCAGTTTAATCGAGGAAGGTGAGGAAGCGTACAATGCTGTCGAAGCTACTGGTGTGAATGTGTGGATTCTTCATGGGAGTATGTGCAAATGATGCACTACATAAAGCCTCATGGCTGTGTTGGCAGCATTTTAGCAAATATATCTTTGAAATGAAGTACTGCTATTGGCAACGAAATGTTTTGGTGGCGCTGGTAGGTTGCGAGCAGACGATGCGCAATGTCAAAGCACGAAGTGGCAATGTTAGTTTTCATCTGTGCGGATTAAATACAGTTTATTTTTCAAAGAAACATGTATAACACTTCTGTGAGTGATCTTTCTAATGAATAACAGTGCCTCAAAGTTGCTTATTATATTAAAAAAACTTTCAAATGTTTAGAAACCAAGCCTGGAACTTCATATTACAGCTTGCGCAGCGTGCAGCCTCCCTGATTCTTTTTTTTTCGGATCTGTGGAGGCTGCTGTACAAGAAGGTTTTGCATTCACCAGAGCAAATTTCGTGCTGTCTTCTTAAAGGGATACTTCTACGAAATTTGAAATATACCCATTGTGTTCAGAAATGGGCTGAATATAATCCACAATATCCATAAAGGATAATTGCACGTTTGTATTTTGAGTCTGATGGCTGTATTTATCGTTATAAACAGCCCACTCTGGCAAGCGCTCGGAGAGCAGCCAGCGCGTCACATTCGGCAAAATCGTGACATAGTCTGCTTAGGATGAGCAAAGCTGTGGCAAGGCTGACGTTATCGGGATGTTTTAGCCGTTCCAGCCACCGAAGGGGTCGAAGCACGGCAGCGATCGGGCCGTCGCAACTAACCCCAAATCTGCTTTTGTATGAATTTTGATTGACAGGTTAATCTTCTATAATTTTGTAAAGGGAGAATAGCGACGTCTGGGACGCACAAAAGAGAGTTTCGTTGAGAGGGGAGTTCCTCCCTCCCCTCTTTTCTTGTGCTGGCCGTAGAGCTGTCAGGATGACGTCACAATCAAAGCATGTATAGTACATGGCGAGACAGTTATCATCACTACCTGTCAAGGTTCCTAGACGGTCATTACAATTGAGGCTTTAGTGCCATCCACCAGGTGCTCTTTGCTAATCGTTTAATCTGTTTTAAAATTCCCTTTTAACAAGATATTGGTGTGTCTGATGTGATACTGCTCCTTTGAACACTTGTAAACCCAAAAAATAAGCTCCGAAATTTCGTTGTAGTATCCCTTTAAGGCTTATTCAAATGATGCATATTTTCAACGCGCCATAGTTTAGTGAAACCAAGATTTAGCGAAATCGGCCTGTTCACACGTGGAGTTTGATGCGTGAAACCTGTGACTTACGAGAATCTCGCCAAACCTTGTCATCTGCACCGGGAATGTCGAGCGTTTTCCATCAAAATGATATGAAGTATGCACAGCGTGAAGAAACAGTTTGCTTTATTAATACCACTCCATAAACTTCATTAGATCTGGCTCACTGGGCTTTCTAAGCCCGTCAAACCCGGAAAAGACTGCGAACGTCAAAGAACAGGTGGATATCTGGAAGCATTTCGGACATTTTTGCACCGCTAAAAGAAAGCTATCCCGTCATCATGTTTATATGCGGTGATTGCACTCATTGCGATTGTTGATGCACTGCACCACCAACCCGTACTGCTAACATACATTGCTCATATGCACTGCTCCTCCGCTTGTCGCTCGCCGCCATGTTGGCTTTTCTTTTCGGCTTTGGCTCGGATATATCGGCCAAAAATCGGACTCCTCCAAAAGCTCGCTCCGCCTCGAAAGTCGGACGTCGTAGCGAAGTCGAGCCGCCATTGGCAGCGTCCGCATTTCTCCTTCAGGTGATTGACAGGCCTTCGTGAAGTTTCAGTAAAAGATTGCTCCAGAAGCAAGGAAATGCGCCACTTTTTCGGTCGCAAACAACAGGGGAAATCTGTTTCCCGAAACCTAGTTTCGCGACACAAGATTCGCCAACAAGATGCATGGTGTGAATAGGCCTTTAGCTGTGCATGCATGCACAGTTGTGTTGAAAAGCGCCGCACACTTGTTTTAGCTACATTGAGCTTGCCTATACGGACGCTTCTATCCAAATGTACCTAACTCGACAGTTGCTGACGTGCAAATGTTTGTCAGCAACTGAGGCTTAGCTCCTCCCGTATCGAATACATGGCAAAGAAGTTTGTCACATCGCGACTTCTGCTTAAAAGAAAAGCAGAAATTTTTATAAATTCTTAAATTGTCGGACACGGCCCGGCAAATTCAGGCGACTGATTAATTTGTTCTATTCAGCCTCTACAAAGAATTGTTTACAAATTCAAAGTTGCTCGCTAAGAAGGGCATCACGTATTAGGGTCTGCAAAATTAAACATACAAACGGTAGTAATTCATAGCAGGTGTATACCTCATTCTTTGGGACGCTGAAGTGTCACCGAATTACTAGATTTAAGACTTCAATTGCGAGGGGTTCTCGCAGGTCGACCGAGTGAATAAGCAGGGATTCAATTGAAAGGACTCCAGAAGCCAGCCACTGTTTCTTCCTGCCAGTTATTTTGAGGAAATGTTTGTTTACTGGTTTACAAAATTCAAAGAAGAATTAACTTGGAATTAATAAGAGACCAGCACTCGCAGAACAGACTAGAACCAAGATGATACAGAGTCTCTCTCACTGAAGTGTTTGCCACACACGTGAGAAGTTCTCGAGTTTTGCTTCCCTATTTTCAATCTGATGAGACATTCCTGTCTCAGTTTTACTTTGTTTGAATCATAATAAAAAAAGAACACACCCGTCTGCCATGGTAGATGTTGTGGGGTAAAGTGCTGGATATTGTATCTTCATCATCCAGCTTTTTGTACTGGGGTAGAGAGCAGCCCACCACCGTCCCAGCGCTTCGACACCTTAGCGCCAAAAAGTGTTTGATAGCACGACGGTTTGGTAAAATGTCCTATTACAAATATCACTTCACCGAATAAACACAATGCATTAAACAGGCTTTGCCGCGCGTCGCCCAAACGGCGCATGAAGCGAGCTGACGAGTCAAGTGGTCCAAGACCTGCGCGGTCTGTCCCAGTCTGTCCTACCCGTAACGTCACAAATGACGATGATGATAGGTAGAGAAGCGCCCCTGGAGTTCGTGCACGCCGCCAGTATGCGCCAGAGAGGGTTTTAGTGCCCATTCTTGTCCACTGAACAATCGATAATAAGGGAGCTGCAGCTTACTGTGATCATCAACACGACTACCATGACTTGTGCTGCGAGAACCAGGACGGTTGCCACAACTTTTATATCAATCACCAATTTGCTTTCACCCCAAAACTTCTCTTTAATTAACGCACACATCTCAAATATAGCAATTGCGGTCACTGTAGCCAAATCAATTAAGTGTGCAGCGGCCTAGGCGAGCAGTTTTGGCTGTAAGCAACATGGACACCATAGGATTAAGTTAACTATCTTAGGAGCACATAATTGTAACAATCGGTGAAAAAAATGAAAGACGTTTACAACTCCCTGTAATGCCGAATTAGAACGCAGCTCTTGAGGAGGAGTGGAGGGTACGGAGAGGGGGGTTCGCCCCTCCTCCATACCCTCTCCTCCCCCTCCTTCATCCTCCTCTCATTTTCGCCTCCGCATCCCTCCCTCATAACTCTTGTGAAGGTCGTGACCTTCACGAGTGAAGGTCACGTGAAGTTTGTGACCTTCACGTGACCAGTGAAGGTCACATGACTCACTGGTCATGACCTTCACGAGTGACTTTTGTGACGTCATTATGGGAAACGTCCCATAATGCAACGCGCGGTTATGCCGACGGCGACGCTGCTCAAGCTGGAAACGGGTGTCTAAGAGTTGCGCTTTAAAAAGACCTAGTGCATGGGCTAGTTGGTGATATGCAAACTTACTGAAATCTCTGACCAAGGAAGCTGAGATGAGTCATAGAAAGTAAGGAGGTACATGCGGTGGCATCACTACGGTCAGCGGCACCCGGAGCAGTGGCCCACCACAATTCCCCTTTCCCCCCCTCCCCCTCCCCTCACTGCCCAGCTGCACCCGGGGCGGTCTGCCTCCCCCCCCCCCCCCCCCCCCTTGTTACGCCACTGGGTACATGCAGTATGTGCACACGTTCTCTTTTCTTTAACACTCAGTTCGGGAATTTTAATGCATTCAATATTTCTTTGGTACTTGATTGCAGTTCAGTCTCGACAAGGAAGCGGGAGACCGAGGCATCTATCACCGCTACTGCATGGAGCGAGCGGCTTGCCACAGCGCGCACGTCTTTGCCACCGTCTCCGAAGTGACTGCCATGGAAGCTGAGCACTTGCTGAAACGAAAGCCAGGTGCCTGATCTCAAGCTTTCATCCCTAATCAGTGCTGTCACTTAGCAAGTTGTTCTTCCTACTTGTAAAGTGCAAAGGTCCATTTTCGCCAGTGTTGCAACGGGGGTCTCCTTACAGATGCTATCACGCCAAACGGCCTCAACGTCAAAAAGTTCAGTGCCTTGCACGAGTTCCAAAATATGCACGCCATTGCCAAAGAAAAGATCCACGACTTCGTACGGGGCCACTTTTACGGGTAAGCCTTCGCTCTTGAATCTAAAACGATCCCGAACAATACTTGCTCTCCAACCCGGGCAAACAGTAATCAGAGTGGCAAAATCAAAAGGGCCATGCATAGACATTTTGTGATGCCATTTCTGGGGGCGCAGCTAGGGTCCCGGTAGCTTTGACTTTATTTTCTTGTAACGTCGAATCTATTCGGCACCTCTCAGGCACTATGACTTTGACCTGGACAAGACTCTGTACTGCTTCATTGCGGGTCGCTACGAGTTCTCCAACAAGGGGGCCGACCTGTTCATTGAGTCCCTGGCTCGCCTCAACCATTATCTCAAGGTAATGACGACGTCTGCCTGCTGTGCTGCGTACAAACTGATTGTGTCACTTCCTTTTGATTCTTCTCTCGATGCAGTCTTCGGGAAGTGAAGTCACGGTCATAGCCTTCCTCATCTTCCCTGCCAAAACCAACAACTTCAACGTTGAGTCGTTGCGTGGACAAGCCATCTCTAAGCAGCTGCGCGACACCGTGCAGCAAATGCAGTCAACGATCGGCAAGCGGATGTTTGAAATCTGCCTGTCGTAAGTTTTCAGAAACTGGTTTAGCTCATTTTAATGTAGCAGTATTTTTAACATTGGCCATCTACATTGTTTTTTGTGTGCCTGTGTCTCGAGGTACAAAAGGGCAGGTATAAAAAAACATGCTGTGTAAAACTGGGTGTCGGGCCGAATTTGGGAGAAGTAAGACTGCTTGAAATTGTCTCTTGAACCGAAATGTGAATGTTACGGTAGTGTTTGAAGAACTCGGTAAAGATGCTTTTGTGTCTACCAAATGTCTCTCACAAAAAAATGCAACCTCGCTACACTGGTGGAGCATTCATTGTATAAAGGCGCAATGGGTGCTTGCAAAATGACGAGAATCCATGCACTTCTGTAAATCGACGTCGGATAAAGGCAATTTGGCCTGGACAGTACACGACCAAGCTCCCCGTGTCGACCGGGTTTACATCACAGAGACTGGGTAACTGCGCATATGGATTCGAAACTTCTCTCGGCGATTTCTTCTTTGCCGACAATTGAACTGTAATGTTAAGTTGGGCTAGTTGGTTAAGCATATTAATAGATAACACGAAGGGCAGACAAGGACACAAAGAAAGACAAGACTATTGATACCCTTCTAATTGCATTAAGGTGCTAGTTGTGAGCAGGCTGTTCACAATGGTTATATGTTAATTGTAGCAGTGTCATGGGTTCTGCTTTATGAAAATCGGAAGCATAAAACATTGAATGTGATCTGCAAGGAATTCTAGAAACTCGTAAGTAAATGCAACTATAAGTATACAGATGAATCAATTATTCCATTCACGACCTTGTGCAGAAACTTCAAATTGTCTTATTCTTCAGTTATGCAATAAATCTATTTTCATCAATCTGCATATTCTATCATAACTGTGGTAATAATCTAAATAAAAGTAGCGATCAGAAAGTATGCAAGTGAATTTTGTTTGAAAAAGCTCGATGATACATGAATTTGTAACTCCAATACAGTTCCACACCACCCAGGGTGTATTCAATACGACTATGCACGAGTGAGCAAAACGAACATAAAAAACAAAGTGAATTCGAAAAATTGCGTGATAAACGTGCAATGGCTCCCAAAACTTTGCAAGATGCATTCGTTATAGCAATGACATGGTGATTGAAATTAAATACAGGATCCATATACACTCCCACATCTCCAATCACAGAAACCCGAGCAATAGCGTTGTCGTCTAATATACGAGAAAGGCTCACAGTATCGCGCGTTCCCGAAAATGACAATTTTTGTCTTTGTCTCATTCAAAACAAGGGCATTCAGAGAACACCACGCCGAAATTGAATTTACATCACGCTGTAGATGCTCGCAGTCCTTTACCGCATTAACCACACTAAACAACCTAATGTCGTCAGCAAATATAGTCTAAACTCGTTACAACAGACCCGGTTACAACAGACGTTTGGATATAACATACCGATTTGTGAAGTTCGTTTGGTTTTCCTCTATGTACCATTGACTGAACTTCATACCTGCATTCAACATACTCCTTTTACAACTGACCGAAATCTTGGTCAAAATCAAGGTCTGTTATAACGAGATTCGACTGTACCAGCAATTGCGCTCACTTTTGCGGAGGGAACGCCGGAGAGGAGGAAAGCACCAATTGGGTGGCGAGCAGAGAGCCTTGTGGGAGGGACTTGTCCTGCTTTTCTTAACCTGCAAGACTATAGGTCTTTACATCCTCGTCTGTCCTTTGCACAATTAATGTTTAATATATTACTTGTGATTGGCCGCAGGGGCAAGATCCCGAAGGGGGAGGAGCTTATCTACTCTGAGGACCTAGTTCGGCTCAAGCGCTGCATCTACGCTTCTCAGCGCACGACGTTGCCGCCCGTCTGCACGCACAACATGCTCGATGACTCGTCGGACCCCGTGCTTTGCCACATCCGGCGCTGCCAGCTCTTTAACCGGAGAGAAGACAGGGTCAAGGTGAGGTGGCGGGTCGTTGGCACTGCGACGCCTTTCTTCTCGAAATTGGTTTCTAAACCGTGAAGCAAAGTTGCGAGCTCTTATGGTTCATTCTGTGTATCTGCATGTTTTTCCTTACTAGACAGCCTTTTTCTTTATGGATTCTTTCCTGCTAGCTTACCTGTCGTGCAACTGATGTGGAATACTGTAAACGACTTATTTTTCGCTGGCTCATTATTTCGCGATTTAGGTAAAAGCTGAAGTTCTGGGATAATTCGCGGGTTCTAATTTTCGCGACGCGGTGGGATCTCAATATAGATTCAAATGTGTTTACATTTTACCAGAATTGTTCGCGGGACTTATGTTTCGCGAATTGTGGGCAATTCGTGAAATTCGCGAAAATTAGGTCCTTGCGAAAATTAAGTCGTTTACGGTATTGAGATTTCAACTTTTTACAAATCCTGCATTTATATATAATGATATTTGTTGGTCCTCGCCCTTTCTATAAGCGCAACACAATGAAAACAAAAATCGTTGCTGGATCACGGAAGCTTAGCAAAAGAAAATGTACTACGAGAACCCCAGACATGTCAGCCGGTGGCAATGTGCTAAAGGCCAAGTGAGGCCGTGGTACCGAAGGACGGAAGGCCTGCAGTAAAACTACTAAACAGTGGAAGGACGAGCCATGACCAGGACTTGGTGTTCATGCGAACTGCTGATGACCATAATGAGCAAGGTCGCCCTTGCTGCGGTCATGACTCGGCTTGCCACTGTCAGGTAGCACAGCAGAGCTCGGGCACTGCAGTCTAGCTGGTCTTTTATCGCATTTCTGCCGACTTGATTGAAGACTTGCTTGCTCCATACTTTGGACAAGAAGGTTCTTCCAAGAAGCCATCTCCTTGCACCAGGTCATCTTCCACCCGGAATTCCTGTCTTCAACGAATCCACTGTTCAGCATGGACTACGAGGAGTTTGTGAGAGGCTGCCATCTAGGGATCTTTCCCTCTTACTATGAGCCTTGGGGATACACCCCTGGTAAGTAAGCTCCCCAGAAGACCCGCCACAAACGATACCGACCTGCTCACCCTGTCCTTTGCAGCCGAGTGCACCGTCATGGGCATACCCAGCGTCACAACCAACCTCTCTGGCTTCGGCTGCTTCATAGCAGAGCATGTAGCCGACCCAATGTCGTACGGAATCTACATAGTCGACAGGAGGTTCAAGAGTGCGGAGGAGTCCGTGCAGCAGCTGGCACAGGTATGGAAGAAAACTTTCTGCCCTAGGACCACAAACATTTTACCGCTGCGGTCAATATTCGCCTATGCCATTCCCCTAGTTGCAATATGAAGTCTGCTAGTTTGAGGCCAATATACTTGGGTCTGGCAAAGAGATGTTATTTAGCACTTTCCTGCTTCGTTTATATTCTCCAACTAATTCTTGGTTTTATCTTTTATTATATTTATATACAAGGTATTTGATTGAGGAGCCTACCATGTTTTTCACACTGCATGAATAAGCTAAACATTGCAGGCAGGTCAGACTTTTGCCCAAATGCAACATAAGTTAGGATTAGTAGATGGCAAAGTTACTCAACATCTGTAGATTCAAAACGTGAAAACAATCTTCAGAAATCTGCTGCGAGAAATCGGTGGGTGTCATTTGCAGGAGACTCAATCAATCTCCATTCTTCATTTCATTTCATTTATATATCCTTAAGAGCCCGATAGAGCATTACATAAGGTAGGGATGTGAGCAAATATAATATAAATAATTTGAAACACAAAAAACAAAGTAAAACAAAAGTAGAAACAATAGTAACAAAAAGCGCATACAATGACACTCTGGGTAGGACTGACTGGCAGAAAATGGACGGATCTGAAATAAGTACTATATCCTCGGGGAGGGAGTTCCAGATAGTTATAGCCTGTGGAAAAAATGACGTATTAAAGGCTAGTGTTTGGCCTGGTATACATTTGATGCAGTGACTGTGGTTGAGGCGAGATTATATCCTATCTGGAGGTAAAAGAAGGGTGTCATTTGGACTTGTGTTTTTGTGGTAAAATTTATGTATTCGGAAAGTTAGTCTGCAGTCAGATAGTAATGGAAGTTATAGGGCTTGTTCAAGTTGTGTTACACTGACGTCGTAGGAATATGTAGATGTAATAAATCAAGCTGCACGGTTTTGGATTGCTTCAAGGTTATCAGCGAGGTAGGGTTGTGATATGTGCCAGATGGACGATGCATATTCTAGTTTTGGATGGACAAATGTTATGTAGGCCAGTTTTCTCAGGTGAGAGCGTGCTGTTTTCAGATGGCGCTTTAAGTATTTAAGGGTGAGTGATGCTTCAGCTGTAACGGTGTCAATATGCTGAATCCATGAGAGGGAGAGTACCAAATGAACACCAAGGTACTTATATAGCAATTATGCAATGCCAGTTACAACGCCACTTAGAGAGTATGGATAAATAATAGATTTGTTCCATGTGAATGATATAAGTTTGCTTTTCTCGTGGTTAAAAGGCATAAGCCATTTATCGCACCAAGCATCAATTTGTGTTCGGTCATTTTGTAGAGTGAGATGACCTGAGAGATTTGAGACTGGATGGTAAATAACTCAGTCGTTGGTGAAAAGTCTGATTTTTTAATTGGTGTGACAGCGCTTGCAAACAGCAATGTTCCGTCTTGTTCCAGTACATGTTTGACTTTTCGTGCCTGTCTCGGCGCCAGAGGATCATCCAGAGGAATCGGACGGAACGTCTAAGTGACCTCCTCGATTGGAAGAACCTTGGAATAGTAAGTGCATTCATTGAGGTTCTCACTTTCGGTGAGGTTTACTCCCCGTGATAGCACAGTGCGAGGATATGAACTTTTTATTATTTGTTGCTTGTTCACAGAAATGTACAACAGAAACCGTTAGTAATTCTACTATCTCAGAAGGAAGAGTGCATTTAATTGGCTCAACATTTTCAAATGTTTGAAACCTCATTATGAAAAAAAAAAAGTTGTAACAAGCTTTAACGAGGCATTAACCACAACTAATCACCGTGACCTCTTTGGATGCCATATTAGGTTGCACCCCTTCATTGTTGTCGATTAACTTTTTTTTTTATGGAGAAAAAAAAAAACACGACTGTAGGAAACATTTTTTAAGGGAATCTTGACACATCATTTAAACACCTTGCAAGGTAAAAAAAAAGAATTTGCGTGTGTGTGTGTGTGTGTCAGTTCTTTCTATTTTTTTATTGAAGACCTGAAGACCCAAACATTGTGTTTGAGCCTCGAATGTCTTGCTTCCACAGTACTACCGGAAGGCACGGCAGATGGCGCTGCACAAAACACACCCTGAACTGCTTGAGAGCGACCTGGGGGTGAGTGTCACGAAACTTCCCACCCAAGGGCTTTTATAATATATCTGGCAAACATACAAACATTTATTTATTTTCTCCATTCTTCAGTTTTTTGTTTCCACTGGAAAAAAATTGCTTTCCTTCCTTCATGAAAGTATACCAAAAAGTGGCATGTCTGGTGGCACAAAACTGGTTCCCCCATCTGGTGATCTGGTGGCACCAGAGGGCTCAGTGTTTCTCTCGCCTGCCTACGACAGCTTATATTATCTCGTACCAGCCTGGTGCTGCATACATAAGTGGTATGATCAAGAGCGTGCGGCACAACCTAAGACACACTGTGGGTTGTCGGACAAGCCTTCGAAGGTCTTTTTTAAATGCACGGCATTCTTAGCGTGAGCTCTTATTGTTTTTGTGCTTGCGAGATGTAGCCCGAACGGTGACACGGTGACAATGCGTCAATGTGTTTTTTTTTTTTTTTTGCCGACAGCAGAAATGGTCACATCTGAGAACTGGCTCTTCTCCTTTGCACCCCCTTCCCCTCCGAATGTTTCAGTCCTCCAAGCTGCAGCTCCGCTACCCCAGGCCCATGTCCGAGCCGCCATCCCCCAGCGCCTCGCGAACGTCCACCCCGGCCCCGTCGGAGCACGGGAGCGATGAGGAAGAGGATAGTGATGAGGGGGAAGAGCTCAAGCACACATGAGCTCTCCAGTCCCCACCTCCGCCCCCTTCTCCCACTCCATTCCCCACCCCCCTCCCATTGTTGTTGGATATTCTGGTGGGTTTTTCTTGTCCATCTTTCTATTCCTCATCCGACGGCATTCAGAAATGAACTCGGTGAGTGTGGGTGCGGTGGCTGAAACTTCTTGCCCTGTGGCTAGTGCACTGGCCTCTCTCCCTTTCCTTCTCTTAGTTTAGTGTTGCTGGCACCGGCTTCTTCTCCTGGTGAACTGGAATGAACTGGCGTGATAGTGGGTTTGATTGCTGAGAAATCTGGTTATCGTCGCAGATGCAGTTAACAGGTGTTCCTTGGACAGGTGGTGGAACGGTCCCTAACTGAAACAAAATCGAAGAGCCTCTCTTGCCTGGCAAGGGAGCTTAGGAAAGAGTTTCTGCATCCCAGTACGCAGTCAAGACTCGGCGTTTGTCGTGGCTCTTCGTCTGTTGTCGTGGACACTTAAAAGACGCAGTACGTGACGGATGAACAGAGAAGTAGAGAAGCGTCGCATTTCGGAGTTATTTTTTTTGTGCGAAGGCACGAAAGACATACTTCGTTAAAAATCTTGCCGCTGGCCCATGTTGTTTTGTATAAAAGTTGCCAAGCACTTTTATACAAAAATGTTTCAATTGCTTTCGGAGAGGCTGAATAATGTTTGTGCTCGCAGACTGTTACAAATTTTATGGGAACGGGCTGCTGAATTGTCGATAGATTGTGGAACATTTGATTTGGGACTTTTGTTTAATCTGAGCATCCCTCGTTCATTTGAGATTTTAACCTTCGATGCCGGGTCTCTATTTGTTTCAACAACAACAAGCTGGCACGATCGTATTTTTTTTTTTTTTCTCTTTGGTATGGGTTTTGAGCTGGATGTTTGATTCTCAAGTCTTTTGGCTTGTGCAGCCTTTATACTAATATTTGTTTTATACATTCTAACAACTTTGTGCCATACGTTTTTGACTGTCGAATTAGGTTTAGAACTATTACTATATATACAAACAAATACAAGTGGATCTGTATTTTTTGTGCGGCTTTGGGAATGCCTGTCGAACTCCAGTGTGCAAGTGTTGTCCCGCGAAGGGATGTGTACTGCTAGTATGTATTTACAACAAAAGTGGAAGCTAAGCTATTCTCGTACATGGGTTCCAGGTGAAGAGATTTGTCCATTTCTATCTTAAAGTGACCTAGGGTGACAATAAATTTTCTAAGTATGTCCGTGTGGTTTCTTCTCAAAAGGTCAAAGCATGTTGGCCTATGCACAAAGGGTCTGTACGCATTCCTGTACAAGGGCTGTTCTGTCTGAATCAAAGATGCCAATCTGCTTGTCAGTTTACAATAATTTCGTTGCTGCTTATAAAATACAGTAATTGTCACCAATTTTTCGCTAGGTAAAAGCAGTTTGCAGCATATACATAGAGAACTAATGATCTGTCTAGTTTCAATTTTGTCTAATAAAAACGGAAGACAAGGATCTTTAATCCAATAGTTTGAAGTAATAATGCTTTCTGTGTTCATGAATTTTGGCTTCGACAACAAACAATTTTAAATTCCGTTATCGGTCAAAAGTTGCTGCCATTTTTATTGTGTTAAGTGGGATGTAACCAGCAGACTCCTTTAAAAAGTTGCATGATTAAGATTACTGTACAAAATAGTGAAGTCAGCTAAAACGCGGCATCTTTGCAGCTTTTTCTGCAGCACAACATACAAAAGTTCAAACGCTCTATTACTGCACGTTTTGACAGGTGACCTGAGGAAACTTCATCGTTTTAGATTGAGGTTGTGCTTTTGTAGGCAGCAAGCATGTTAACATTGCCTTAAGGCAAAAGTTTGCAAAGCAGGGGGGGGGGGTGTTGCAAGAAGTTCAAGGGCTGCAACATCCTGAAGTACTAAGGTCGCAACAAACATTTAGACTATGGGAAATGGACAAAGAATGTTCACCACTCTGATGCTCCTCGATTAAAATGCATCTGATGTCTAGGTTCATACAAAAATGTACAATTTCCGAAAAATCAAGTAAAAAAGAAATTGTAAAATATTGTAACATTGGCACTTATCGACAATATCTTTTTCAGCATAGTTATTTTCCCAATAGTGTGATGTGTATGTGCAGCCAAAGTGTGGCAAAAGGCAACAAATGTTTGCTGGAGGCCAGGCATCAGAAACAAGAAAAAGACACTTGAGACTGCTTACAAATAGAAATGCGAAAACGTTATACTCCCGCGGGTGAAATAATTTTGAGTAATGTTTCTACGTGTATTAAAGTTTATTTCTGCCGGTATTGTATTCAGTCTACCACCGCAGATGTAGATGCTGCTGCCAATGTTGAGACCATAAATGTAGACGTAGTTCATCGCACGAAGCACGCAACGAGGGCAGATGAAGTCCGAAGCGCAACTGACGTGTCGGAGGCATCGCGCCACGTCTTCCTTTTGCACACGGCACTCCGGCAGTGGCATTCCCCCACTGCGCAGGCATGGCGCTTCCGCCGGCTCCACGGCTTCCCTGACAAAGCATCTGCGTTGCTGCGCTTTTCTTTGCGTTTTATTTCTGAGGCGCGTCCACTTTGACCTTTAGCGGCGCGTGCTTGATGGTAGAAGGGCCCGTCGTACGTGTTTTCTTGCTTTGTCCTCGTCTTTTGTGTGCTTTCAAATCGGGATGACATGTTTTTATAGTCATCTTTCGGGCACAACGCCGACTTTTACCGTAATGAGAAGTATAAGGCCTTCGCCTTTAAACGTTCTGCTGTTCTAATCTTTGGGGGATCAGAACCGCAGTTTGCAGGTGCTGCATTTGTTTTTTTAAAAAATTACTGCACCTAAGTTCTGCACCGCAGCGATTCGTTCCCAGTTGGATAGCCCAAGCGTGCGCCGAGAGTGCCAGGGTCAGGGAAGTCTAACCATAGATCGAATGGGAAGTTAATCATTCTGTTCCAGAGGGCAGAACGTTGCAAGCAAACATGGAAACTTCCAAAACAAAAAAAAGCGCTTGTTCCTATTACAGACAGCAACCACACGTGTACAGACGTCCAAGGAAGCGCTCAAGTGAAGACGGCTTCAACGACACAACTCTTCAATTTCAATAAAATGCACATTAGCATCATTTTAATGGAAAAAAGAGAATGTCTCGTTTCGTGTTGAGGAAAACATACAGCTTAATATGATGTTGAAAAAAAAAAACAAAGCAAACAAATCCTCTTTCCTTGCAGGCCTCTTAAGGCTGAACGTCACATTTGCATTTGAGTGTGATCTACTGCATTGCAACTGCTCATGGTCACTCGCCACGAGAGAACACTAAGGCGTCGTTTGTCGGGTAGTCCTAGAACAATTCCGATCTGCGTATATCTCGCTGCGCCGTGCGCTTAAAATAACTCTGACAATGTTATAAGCAACCATTACTTGCTGACGGTGCGGAGACTTGATTTCGCACACGCTGGGAAACCTTTGGTCTATTACTTCGTTTCACCCTAAGTCCAGACACAGCCGACGCTTGGAGCTGACAGGACCAATCACACGGCAACAAAAGGGCACCATCGTGGTGTTCGTCGGTGATTCATTGACACTGAACCAGAACAGACCCAGTGACTTGCGCTTTTGACGCTGCTCAATTGGTCCAATTAGCCCGTAGCGTCAACTGCGTCTGGACTCGAGCTGAAAGGAATTATAGATGTACGCAGATCGAATGGGTGATGCAAGTGTGTTCTCTTGTAATCGGTTAAGGCCCATACAGACAATTGCATTTGGGAGCGTTTGACTGCGACGCGACTGCGCGAGTAACCGGGACATCCGTGCCGAGCTGCTACTCCAAATAATTGCCGTGCTCCTTACGAGGCACGGACGACCCGTTCCTCTCGGCAGTTTTTCGACGCAACGCGCTCAAATGCAACCGTGCGTACGGGCCTTAACGAGCGATTGCAACGTGCTCGGTCGCACCTAAACATAAATGTCTGAACCGGCCCTTGGAACGCCTACTCCGATAATTTAGCACCCGTGGCACGGCTCGCCGAGCCTTTTGTTCCCGAAGCGTTTTACCTGTCCATCTCTGGGGCCTCGTGGGAACGGTCATTGAAACAAGTCGCGAGGATCAGCGCGCAGTGGTCCCTCTCTTCGCGACACTCTTCCCTGCCGCTCGCCGAGCCGACGCACTCTCGGAGGGTGGCCTCGAGCTGCAGCTCTGGACGACGGCACTCATCCCGCGCGCTCGCGCACTCCGTGACGAGGGTGGCCAGCGTTCCCAGCAGGTGCTCCCTGTGGGGGCCCTGCTCGTGACGGAGCAGAGCAGCCAGCTGCTCCACGAACCCCATCTGGAGCAAGGTTTCTGCGAGGGAAGATGAGAAGGGTACACTCGTCATCTGCAATGTGTCGGAGATTATAAGACCGTGAGGTCTGGTAAACTTGTGGCGTCGCGGCAAGCGTGCCACAAGATGCGGCGTGCTCTCCTGCTGCGGGGTTCGAAGATCGGCAGGAGAAACGCCGGCAGACTGGGCCAGTGATCGGACATACTCAAAAGCATCGCTAAGTACATCTTCTTTTGTAAATATGCCAATGCGGTATGTTATGGATATGTCGACGTCTCCATCCCCCATAAACTCTCCTTCTCTTTCTATACAATATAGTGGTAAAACGGTTTGCAATCTTAGGAACTTTGTTAACACACGGTGGGAAGGAAAATTGGATAGTTTGGCTCGAAAAGTATATTATGCGTGGCTCAAGTAAATAGTTTAAATTCAGTCTGAGCTAGAAAAAATGAAATGCTCGGGGAAGCCCTAGGGATTACACCAACAGACTCTTCGGTCCCTTGGAACCCAGTTTCAGAACACACCGTGGAGAGTTGGGTCAACTTAGGCCCACATTAAGTTGACTTCCAAACTTTCAAATGCAGCAGCCCCTTTCTTGAGATCCGAGCAACGAGAGCTCTAGATGGATCTCTAGGTGGTCGGAGGCATGCAATAGCAGATGCCCAAAGCAACTTGATTTTTCCAATAACGGAGCACTTGGGGAAAAAAATGTGTATATCTCTCAAGCAGTTGCTCTGCAGAAACTGACATGCAGCCATCGTTCGAACATGCCACAGTATTTCCTCCGGCGCAGTTGCGAAAACGACTCCTCCGGTCCTGAACCGCGTTCCCTCCAAAAGTCCAGGAGCCCCTCGATGTAACCGCGGAACGGTCCTCGAATGCGTCTTCGACCGGTGCGTTTGGCGTCACCATGCTGCCCGTGCATCTAAGGTGGTGCCCGGGTGGCAACAAACTTTATATCACAGGAACGGCTTATCTTTTTAAACTTAGGCAAGGTGGCACTAGCTACCGCCCATTACAAAAAGTATAACCGTTAACATCCATCCATCCAACGATGTGTCATGCTGTCGGGTGACGCGAAGCTGGCAGCTGGCCGTAGCAGTTCCGGCAAAAAAAGACCGGCAAATGTGAGTGTCGCCGTCATTGGGAGTATTCCAACTTCCGGCCGACGAGCCTTCCGCGGACTGTCATTCCGGAGAGCGACCTGTAGTAGAACGGGCGTCTGCTGCATCCGCCTTCCCTGGTGCGACACCGCCAAGATCATGGCAGGCAACGGCATGACACGAGCGCGACGTCGAGGACCCCGAATGAGGACGCAGCAAACACACCGGTCGAAGACACGTTCCAAACACCGTACCCGCCGGGCACTATGATGTTGGAAGCAAACCTAGCGCAATTAAGATCTGCTCCATGTGCTTAAAGTATCGGCACTTCATTCCTCGATTTTCCTCCGTGCGCCGGCGGTGCAGTCGTTAGCGTCCATCCATCCATCCAACGGCTGAAGTGTCGTCACCTTGAACCCAGAGTTAATATAAAATGTTACAGGAGTACACTTACGACTGCTTACGTGTAGGAAGACGAAAGCATTATAGTCCCATGAGAGAAATGTTTTCGAGTAATGTTTCTACACGTATTAAAGTTCAGGATGATGTACAGGATGACATCGAGAATGACGTCCTAGAGATCGATGCCAAGTACGGCATCTAGAACGACCTCTAGGATGACGTTAAGGATGGTGTCTAGGACGACGCCGAGGACGACCTCTCGGAAGACCTGTTGGACGACATCTAGGAAGACCTTAAGAACGACGCCTAGGACGACGTCCTAGAGATCGATGCCAAGTACGGCATCTAGAACGACCTCTAGGACGACGTTAAGGATGGTGTCTAGGACGACGCCGAGGACGAGCTCTCGGAAGACCTCTTGGATGACATCTAGGAAGCCCTTAAGAACGACGCCTAGGACGACTTCTAAGATGACGTATAGGACGACGTTTGGGACGACCTCAAGGATGACGCAAAGGACGGCGTCGTCCTTGAGCATACGACTCAGCGGCACATGCTTGATTACCACACCACCTTTTTGTGCAATGGGACAAATAAGGCTCTTGCCTTTATAATCTAGAGGGAAAGCTCCCACGCATTTGGGCTGCTTCGGAACCGTTGGCGGTCCCGGTTGGTGGTCCCGATGGACCCGTATCGCCGGCGACGCCTTAATATACACAAAGAAGCAGCAAGACACAGCCCGTAAGATCTGTACCTCATTCTTTTCTAGCTTACTTTGCAGGGAAGACACCGGAATTGCGCGTTGTATGAAACTGAATAAAGTCGACGAGCGCTTGAGCAACTCGACCCGTTGCAGCAAAATGAATGCGCCTAACCTTTTGTTTGCTTTCTTTCCCCGCTGCTCTGTCGTTCTCCCGGCGCCCAGGATTCGCCACACTATGCTCCCATCTTTATCCCCTTGCCTGAAGCGTAGCCTATTTAGTGACTATAGCGCAAGCTTTCAGGCCACGAGCAGCCGACTAACTAGCCGGCTATATGCCTCCGTCTATGCGTGGAACAGTCACCTCTGCTTTCCGTCTGCTGTGAGCACAGGGACGACAGCAGGAAGCAGGCCTTGGCCTTGAGGCGAAGCACGTTGCTCTGCAGGGTCCGCATCAGCACTGCCAGGCCGTTCTGCTTCTCGAACTCCAAGTATCCCGGTAAGTTGTGCCGCACCATGCCTGGACGAGAAAAGACAATTCTTCACAGTCGGGCCATCCAGAATTTGGGGATTGGTAACCAAGTGTGCCAGTGCACCACGGCTTAGAGCCAAAGCTTGCGCTGCAGGACCCAAGGTTCTGGGCAATCCCCTACCTCTCTGCCCGTTTCGATCTGTATATGCACCGTATTGGCGTGCGGTCGTGTATTGCTACTGCGTGGTGCACATTAAAGACCCTAGGCTAGCAGTGGTACCACGCTTGCTAAATTTCTCGTCTAGAGCAGACACCAGCCGACCATTAACTGGCTGGCTGACTAAATTCCCGCTGTCTAAACACACACACTACACAATTACCTTAGTTATTTAGAAATCATAACACACTATCTCGCAAGTTATCTTTAGAGCTGGCAGAGGTACGGCTCTCTGTGCTCTCTGTGCACGAGCAAACGCGCATAGAAAGCACTTTCAAAAACCACGTGCTGGTGCCCCTTGCCCCTGCCAGTGCTGAAGATAACTTGTGAGACAGAGGAAACTCAAGCTGTGAACTTACATTTTTTTAAGCTACCAATATTTTTTTAAACCAGTATGTAATATATTTTGGCCTTGAAAGTTTGAAAACCTGTGAGTGCAGCACCTACTGAATCCTGTAATTTCTTGTTTGTGCGATGAATTTCTCAATACTGGACGGACAGAAGATAGATTATTTCCTTAGCATCAAATGACCTACCTTCCAAACACGAGCACATGACATTACATATGCAACACAAGTGCAGATAACCTAAACAATGTGAACATCTCGCCACAATATCACCTCATACCTCGCTGCAACATCCTCCACCACCGTACTTCACTGAGAACGACAGCAATGGCTTCCCCACACAGCATGCATGATGGCTTCCCCACACAGCATGCATGATTAAAAAAAGTTAACCAAAGATTAAGGTACCTTCTCCCGGTAAAACTCTTAGGATAATTCTAGACAATCCAATGCTGTCTCCTTTAGGGCAGCAACAGAATCAAGCCTCCTAATCAGATGAAGTCTGTTTATTTTGTGACAGTGTTGGGAAGTACTTAAAGGGAAGGCTACGGAGCTTCTTGAGAAAAATGAGTTAGAAGTGAATTCTAGTGTATTTTTACCCCGTGAATCCGAATACCCAAACCATTTGCTGCGCAAGTATAGTTAAAGGCGAGAAAAACGCAAAAGACAGTCGCTGTACGTGACGTCATCGACGGATCGTTTGGCTGCCCAAGGCTAGGGAGGCGGGGCTTCAGCCCTATTTTGAAATAGCTCGTATGGCTCTCCGGTGCGTCGCATTGAAATATAATTGTGATATCTGTTATTCTGAATGCCAAATGAACGCAATTCAAGCGTTTTTCCTCAAATGTAGAAGTGCCCCATCTTCCCTTTAAGTACATTGGTCTTAAAGTACCACTTCAAGCACTAGGTTAAGAAAACTTGTACTTTAGTCAAGGTAAATTCTCTGAGTATGTACTTGTACAACACTTAAAGTATTCTTTCCAGTGTTTTGCGAGGAAAATACAGTTCCAGACTTCAAAGTTCATTCCCCAAATTTGGTCTTGTTAGTTTTGTATTACAAAATGACTCTTTATCGACAGATAAGTCATTTATGAGTTGAGTGCATTAAATAGTTTGCCAGTGAGTGTAAAACTACTACTCTGTGGCCACTTGACTTTATCCAATATACATTGTCATTTCCCGAAAATAACTGATGCATCCCCGATTACCCCTAAGACAATGCATACCAGTTTAAAAAAACAAACAAAAAAACATGCATACCAGTTTAAAAAAACAAACAAAAAAACGTTCAGCCTTTCCACTTATGTGTAGAAGGAAGACCAGCGGAGCTGTACTCGATACACTCTGTGCTTCTTCTTCGTCATCGTCAGTTTTTCGCACTCTTTCCTACGATGAATTCTCACCAACGCGCCCAACTATCCATTCTTCTATTATAGCTGGAAAGGTTGCCGCCATCTACGAGCGACGGCGGAAACCATACTGGTTGTGTGCTTGCCGCCGTCGCTTATTCGCGACTCCAACTAACTATAAGTGGCGCCACTCATTTTCCAAAATGGCGGGTTTAGTGAGGGTCGGAGATGCGCGCCGCTGTTCAGCCTGTCTGGTGTGCTGGCTTCACTGAGCGACACAAATTATTTCTGGTAATACGAGGAAGCTAGGGTGTTATGCACGCAGGTCACCTCTTTACCCTGAAAACAAGAACGGTGTTTAGTGTTAATATTTACGCAAGGATATGCGTTTTAATTCTGGAGCGAAACCGAAACTAATCTCTATTTTGGATTTAATTTCTCGATATAGGTCTTAGTTTCGGATTCTTTCGTAACTCAAGATGTGTCTCACATCGTAATTATTTAGTTAAAGAGGTAGTTCGCAGAAACTTTATATTGTGATATATATGTTCGATCCAGGCTGATATTTGTAGTAGTGGTTGTCGAAAAAATCATTGCTGATATTTGTGCGTTCTCGCTACCTTTTCTCGCTCAGATAATTGTCATGGGAAATAATGAACTGCGGGCCTTTTAATGGGTTTTGGGGTATTTAGATGATTAATTTGTTTAGCATTATTTCCAGCACAAAAATAAGAGAATAATTCCAATTTTTACAATATGACCACAAAACGTATAAATTAATAAACATTGTTCTCACTGAAACAACCCAAAGGCGGAATCCGAGTCAGACAGCTGAAGTGTGTGTGTGTGTTTTATAGCAACGCGTGACGCATATTACATCCAGTGTTTGACTGTTCGTCTACCTTGACAATGACGTCAGAGTTTTTATATGATAAAAATAAAATAGAATTATGCCTTTCTGGGAAGACTATTATGGCTAAATGGCATATTTTAGTGATCTTGGCATTAATTGGGGGCATACATTGCCGCGACTTGAATTAATAATAATAATATTAAAATTACGATATCTTAATACATAACTTTTCAAGCTCCAATACAATTTGTTGCTTATGATCTAATTTCAAACGCGCGAACAAATATGACAACGGAAAGAGTTCTAATTATCATCACTGGTGCCAATTGCAGCATTTTTAATTACCAAGTAATAAAATAAAAATAGTCTAAAATCAATTAAAACATTCTAGCTAATGTGAGAAATCCATGTAAAATTATGTTAATTGTGAGTAAAATATATTTTGATATCAAAGTCGAGACTTTTGACAATCGGCAAAACGTCCAATATCGCCGCCAACATCCTTCCAAACCAAGTACCCAAAAGTAAAAAAAATCTAATTAGATTACCACTTTTTTTATAACATTAAGTTACTTTCATTTTTACGCTCCGTCGTTTTGCCAATCTCAGCCTTTCCATTTCGAAGGAAAGCCTACTTGCTTGCACATCTGCTCACTGCCGCACGTTTCATTGGCGTTGGAAGTCGATGAAACAGTTGTAAGCTTTAATATTGCGTATACGAGCGAACGCAAGCGCTGTGTTTGCGTTAGCTCTGCGTGTTCCACACTGCGTGTTCCACACTGTGTGTGCGCGGAGCCCAAAATTACGGTCTTGGATGGCGCACGGCGATGAGGCACACGCACAACGTAGGGCTTGCAACTCTAACGCAAATGCACACCGCTTGCGTTTGCTTCTATGCACAATACTAAAACTCTCCAGTAAGGTACAATCCCATACCAGCTGCAGCACTACGTTGGGACAGTGAAGAGTGTTGTTTGGGTTCGGAAATGACATTTCGCGAGCCATGATCGCGCGCAGTTCCGCCGTGCCCGCTGAGCAGGAGAATCGGGGGACCCTCACTAGACCGCTTCCTGTTTCAACCGCGGGAGGGCGAGCGTCGAGCTGGAGAGGCGAATAGATGGCGGTAGCTGTCCGGGCAGGTTTGTGTCGACATACACGGACACGGTCCTGGGGAACCTAGCCCTCAACAGCTCCGCTGTAAAAAACACTGTATAGGTGAATGAAAAGGCATCATGAAAGATTGTGTTAAAAACTACTTTGCTTTGAAAGTGCATTGTACTCATAGTACTTTACTTCAAATACAATGTGCCCGGCATACTTACTACTTTACTTGAAGTACATAACCTCTCACTTACTTTGTACTTTACTTCAATAACTTTTTAGATGTACTTTGCCCAACACTGCTTCTAGCCAGTATTTGTGCCTTTGTACACTATACCAGGGCCTCAGGTAAGACATTCGAAGCTGCAAGAGTTTGTTCCAAACACTTGAGCCAATCCACGTACGGCGCAAAAACTTGAGAGAGCTTACAGGATACCGCATAGAGGGCCTTGATGCGGACATTCTCGTCCTCGGCAGTGTCAATCAGCTTGAGAAGTGTCTTGAGGTGCCCGGCTGCCTCCCGCTGACAGTAGGGGTTGTTCTGGACGAGCTCTGCGATCAGAGCCGACGTTCTGGAGCACACCACCGCATCGGGGAAGTGGAGCAGCGGGTCCAGCACTTCGAATCCACCAATCTTGTGGAAATCTACAACACATGGAAAAATAAAAAATTGCAAAAATATATATATAAAAAAAAAAGACATCACAATTTAGTTCGGTTAGTACATTAGTATTGTGTGAACTGCAATATTCATAGGTTTCTGATCGCGGCAGGTTAGCCGCATTGAGTGCACTTCTTACCGAGCACCGGTGCACTGCGGAAAAGCAACACCCGCGGAGCTCTCTTCCGCGTGTGGTGCTTCTCCGCAGTGCATCGATGCTCAGTAAGAAGCGCACTCAACGGAGCTAAAGCGCCACAATCAACACTTTGAGAGGTACAAAATTACTGCAGCCACATGCTTCGGAGGAAAGCACACTTTTAAAACAGGATAATGCATGTGCACGCCTGGTGTACTTAAAAAAAAAAAAAGAAGAAAACTTTGTGGATGTTGATATCTAAATTGCAATAAAATATTCAAAATTAAACTGGCTATATGCGTAAGTATATGCTGGGCAAAAATGCCCTGACAACCTGCATTAATCACTCCTAACTGAAGAAAAAAAAATATTTACATGAAGCCAGAATATCTATATATCCCCTCAATTAGGCATAGATGGGCAACTCTTTAGGTTTAATTGTATGTCAAATATGTCATTTACTTGTCATCCCAATGTAGGCACAGGACTTTTTGAGACTGCAGTCGATAAATATACCGTAAAATCCCGAGAGATGCCCCACCCCCGAAAAATAGCCCACCCCTATTTTTGGCTTGATTTGCTATATTTTTTTTAAACACCGAAAGATAGCCCACTCCTAATGTAACAGTAGTGTTGGGTTCAATGAAGACCTCGGCATAAATGCGGCTAGTTCGCTATGGTGGGATATAAGCAAACATTGCTAACTGGGAAGTACACTCATCTTTGCTTCGTTGCCCCTCGCCATCATAACAAGCTTGGAAGAGACACAACCCAAAAGTAGCAATTTTTTAAAACTTTTCTTGATTGTACACCGTAAGTTAGCCCACTCCATATTTTCAGCTGATTTACCTTGATGTTAGATGGGCTATCTCTCAGGATTTTATGGTAGTTAAATTATAACTGACTTAGTTTCAAAACGGACAAATGGGAGCTTGCAAATAACCTTCACGAGTACAGCTGGTTTTTGTTTTAATTAAGCATGGTGTAGTAGCGAAAGGCTTAGAGAAACTATTCAATATTCAATTAAAAAATACTTGGCCGAAACCGCTTTACGCATTGAATTAATTTCAAACTCAAAATCCACTATTCGCACATGCCTAGTTAATTAGTATGCATGATTACCGGTTGCAAGCTCCAAACTGCCTTTCATTGCCGAATATTTGGCATACTGTAAAACACCAAGCACGCGCCCATGTCACAGTGAGTTCCCACTCTGCTACTTTTAAAACGATTGAAAACTAGGCAAAGGACATATCGACCGCCCAACCAAAACTTCTGAGCCCACCTCACTAAATGAGATGCTCCTCCTCATCAGCCTCTTCTCCTGAGCACTCTAGCGCAAAGAGAAAAGCCTACCCGTCATGTGCCCGTTGTACACATCGCGACACTGTTAGCGCGAACACGACATCGGTGCATTCTCTAGCGAGCACAAAATTTTATCGCTTACACTATAAAACTAAATGAGCTCTTTCCCTAGCAATAATAACTGGAGCGACACCCCTTGGTTTCAAAGAGAAATACTGAAAAAAGTGGCGATCGCTTGTTCGCGCTAACAGTGTCGCGCTCTGTACATCTTTGCTTTTGGGCTCAGATGTCAAAACAGGCTCGGATGTAGGACAAGATGTTCCCAGACAAAATGGTCTTAGACAAAACAGTTCCAAGTGATTTGTTGACATTTTGGGTGCTCTGTGAAATTTGGGTGGCCTGCTACATTAAAGCTTTATTTAGCACATGTGTAATGTGTATTTTAATCTTTTTGTGATATATCTTAAAAAAAAACTGAAGCCCCAAAGTTAATTTAAAGTCTATTATTGCTCATTTGGCACTGAAGATCCTATTTGCATAAGCCAGAGCACGGTACAAAGCTGGGGCTTGGAAGTCACTAAACAAATACACACGTACACACTGCACAAGGTCACAATGTGCTCTGCACTTGATTGGACTAGTGGGTAATAACACGCACAAAAAGGTCAACGAACGTAACTAGTACGTTTTGTTTTTAGCACTGCTCGATTGGCCCTATCAGCTCGTATCATTGGCTGCACTGTGACTTTAGTAAAACGTAGTATAGGTGCAAATGTGCTACAAGAAAACACATGCACATGATGAATTGGGCATTATCATGCACATACTATGTATTTGTAATGGCGTGCGTGCAGTCCTGTATCGCTACTGCGTGGTGCACTTTATAGACCCCAGGCTAGCAGTGGTACTGGAAAAATTTCTCAGCGTAAACCAGGGTCGCCACTCCTCAAAGGCAGACCGATCCTTACTAGGGATGCCGCAAACTTTTTTCTAACCGAAGTTTCGATGATCGAATTGAGCGGTTCGAAAGATTTCGATTTTTCGAATTGTCTATATCGTAAAATTCAAGGGAAGTTGAATTTTCGAACTTGTTAAGCTAAGAAGTTCGACGCTTTTCGAACCGTCCAACTTATCACGCTAAAAAATTCTATCCTTTTCGAACTTATTGCGCTGCAAAGTTCGATACTTGTCGAACTTCCGAACTTTACTGACCAAAACATTCGATGATTTTTGAACTTATTTATCAAGAGAATTCGAAAAGTTTCGAACTTTCGAATCCTGAAAAGTCAGAAGTTTGACGAACTTCAAACTTTTAGGGTAAAAGTTCGACGTTCGTCGAACTGCGAAAGATCGGCGGACGGTTTCATTTGAATTGAAGTAGTGAGGTACACTTGTGATTTTTTTTTCTCAAACTTTTACACGTGGTGCTGCGTTCCTTACGAAAGACAATGCCGTTTATTTCAATGTTCTGGCATGTTTAGTTTTAAAGAAATAAATTCTCGAAGGGGCGAGGAAGGACGACGGGTTTTTGACGATTATCGTTTGTGCCAGATTTGAAGGGCGCTGTAGCCGAAGCTATTTATGGTAGAGATGTTAAACTTTTTTAAGAATGATCAATGTATAGCCTAGGTAAGTGTCGTCTTAAGATGTGATTATTCAAGGTGAGTTTCAAAGAAATGGCCAAACATGTATCTACAGGGTGTCACAAAGAAAATTTACACGGACTTTTTAACCGCAAAAATGAACTAGGCGTCGCCGAACGCGTATTCTCCGCCTAGAGGTAGAGGTCACAACCAGATGCCAAAGTTTCAGCCCGATTTGATAACTTAATCAAAAGTTATAAGTAATTTTCTGAAATTTTCAATGGGAAATGGGGTCACTCTGCACTGGCAAATATTCCAGCACATCCGGGACACTCGTCGTCTGATTAATTGCCTGACCACCTTTGCAGAGCCTAGATATCACACCCTAACTTTTCTAAACTAGATTTCGTAAAAACCAGTGAGTCGTGAAAACATTATTTGAAACTGAAACTGTGGAGGAACTTGAAAACCGGACTTCGAATTTTGAAAACTTGGACTTGAAAGAAATTCAAAATCTTCGAAGCTGTTCTTTTTTTCGAATTTAGCAAAAAAGAGAATCGAAACCTTCAAACTTTTCGCAAAAAGAAATTCGAAATCTTTGAATTGTTCGAACTTCATGTCTACAAAAATTCGAAGCGTTCGAAGTTTTCGAATTTTATTTCCAAAGAATTTCTAAATCTTTGAATTTATTGAACCTCAAGTAAAAAAAATATTTGAAATATTCTAATCCGAAATTGTAGAAACCGTGAAAGCGTCAAACTTTTCGAATTCGAAACTCTACTGTGATCGAAAGTTGCGAATTTTTCGAAATCGAACCTCGGTCGGTACGAAAATATCGAATTTGAGTTCGCTTCGCAAATATCGAAACCTTTCGAAATCGAACCTAGGGTGATTTGCGACATCCCTAATCCTTACACTGTAAAAACACTGACATCAATATTTTTTTTTTTATGTGAAAGCATTAATTGTCATAGAGCGAAGCCAGCACTGTTGGTAGCAGCAAAAACGGCACCTGAATTCCCATTGGCCAAAAGAACAGCAACACAGATGCTTCATCACAGAAGCCCGCGGGTCGTTCAAGGTCAAAGAAAAGGTGCCTTAGAAATAAAACACAAAGAAAAGCATAGCAATGCAGATGCATCGTCAAGGAAGCCATGGAACCGGCGGAGTGCCACGCCTGCGCAGTAGAGGAGCGTGATTTCACCGCCGAAGAACGTGTGAAAAAGGAAGACGTGGCGTGCTGCTTGTAAGAATGCGCTGTATGTAGGAATGCATTTGCATTCCCACAAGTATGCAGTCTAAGTGTCTTTGTTTCATTTTGTCTTTTTTCTGATGGCATGTTATGGAACGTTTTTCGCCTCGTACTGAATATGCCAAATATTATAGACACATTATTTGATATGTGTACTTGTAGTATTATTTCTATAGCATACTTTTCCTTCTCCTTGGCTGAGCTACTAACATGCAGTGTCTTGAATTGAATATGTAAACTTGAAAAAAGTTAGCATTTCATAACTTATGGCGAATTCCACTGGTCGTTTTGGATCACTAGCTTAAATCCGCTACGGAGCATGAAATCTATGCGGAGCCACCACACCTCCGACTCCACCAGCGGAAGATGACAAGCCTCCGGGAGTGGCCGACTGTCTACAATGGGGAATGCCCAGCACAATGGGCATTCCCCATTGTACTGGGCTCTCGGCTATTCCGGAAAGTGCCTGCATGCTCCGAGCCGCTGTCGGCCCCGTGCCATTTCCGCCGCGCTCGGCGAGGCAGGAAGTTATGTGCCCCCAGAGATTGGGTTCTGCTCGGCTCTGGGAAATTTGGCTGATCGAGATCTGGGTGCTTTGAACCGAGATCCGGAGTCGGCGCTGCTCCAAAACGACACGCAAAAGACATTCGCGTTGACCCCAAATGACCAGTGGCGGATGTGTTCTGGTGCACTGAATTCCACGTTTTGGTGCAATGCTCGTTGACAGGGTCATTTGGTCCACCGTGTTAGTGGACTGTACAGCTAATATCTTAGACCATTATTTTACGATATTTGTTTCAAGAAGTAAACACAAAAAGCATGGTCAAAGTTCAACTAAAATAGTAAGGTGGGCTGGTTAGTTAAGCATATCAAACATAAACAGTGCTAGTCTCGTGTTTGTGCTCTTGTCTATCCTTTACACTATTTATGTTTAATATCAAAGTTTGTCTTTGAAGATTTCCACATACACCATCCTTCGTTCTCACTGAATAAGACAACGTACCGTTTGCACAGTCGATGGAGCACACATATTCCACAATGTTTTCGAGCGCCGACTGAAGTGTGCTGCAGGCCTCCTCACTCGGCGGTGACGCAGACTCGTTCACTTGGTCCAACGTGTCACGAATCATCTTGAGGTTTTTCTGCATCTCCTCCACCGGCGAGATGGTCATTTCCAAAAGAGCATCGTCTAGCCATTTCCTTCTCTGAAATATAAAAACAAACACAAGTGCCCAATTACGCAAAGCGAAGAGTGGAAAGTTACGGTTCGGGCAAGCTGCAGATATCATTCCAATAGACCACAGCCAGGTGTACTCAGCAACGCATGACGGCATATGCAAAAGAAGCTGTCAAGCTGACAAGCCCACATGCCCTTTCTAAGCAACTGTATATATGGTTAGAAATGTATGTTTTAGGGTGTTTGCCATTCTGCCATTTTGCAGTACTTCTCGAGCTTTGAGAATATAAACACCATACCTTTTTTTAAAGGGGTCTCTAATGTATTTAACAACAAAAAGTGTATTTTTCCAAACAACAAGTGATTTTCTTTTTTTTTTTTTTTTTTGAAGCATGTATTAACAAGAAGTTGACACCTGTTTTATAAACGTGAAGATTTTATTCTGAGCACCTCTAGCAAACGTGAGATGTCGCACACTAATCAACGGTCTTCAGTCGGAGGTCCCTTCAAATCTTTGACTACACCCTTTTAATAATAGTAATAATAATAAATTTATCTGCACCTCCAAGGGCGCCGGTGGTGGTGTGCGAGGCTGAACAGATAGGTGAGAACCCTAACGCGGAGCGCCTGTCAGCCCACCACCACCTGCGGGAACAAAACAATAACTTATAACAGACTGAATAATAACTAAACCTTTGGACCTCTTTGGTCACCTGACCCCGCGTGGGCATCGACGGGAGCGTGAGCACGTGGCGCGGGATACATGTATGACTGATCCAACAAGCACATAGTTTCCACCTCGCTGTCAGCTTAGGGGTGAATGGAGGAATTGGCTGCTCCATTGCGCGAACGAGTTTTGCGGCTCTTTGTGCTCATGACACCAGCGCTGAGTTCGATTATTGCCATGCTTATTGATATGTGTAAAATATTTTTGTGCTATTCGCGTCAAAGACGCCGATCAAACGATGAAGAAAATAGAAATCGTTCTCCAAACCTCGGGGTCCATTTCTCCGGTCGGCGCGCTTGGTGCATCTTCGGTTGCCGTGTTCCGAACGCAGAAATTGAGCAGGGCCGGAAGGTTGCCCAGATTTCTCGGAGCCTCACCACTCATCCTGGAAATTGGCAGGTTTCTATGAGAAAAATTCGAAAATTTTCCTTACACAATAACGGTAGAAGAACGAAGACTCCTCGTGAGAAACACAAGCTCGTAGTTGTTTCTCTCGTCGATTTGGATTGTGTTGGATTGGATGGATTTGAAACACACTGACGGTGCTGCCTTCTCCAACAACAAACTCGATGAACGAAAAACACATATCAACAGGCAGTAACTTCACCATAATTCGTATTTAATTAGTCTTAGTTTTGTATTATAACAAGCCTACTTTGGTTTGTTTTCTTGTTATAAGAATCATGAATTTTTGTTTTGTTACTCGCCCGACACCAGAGTGACCAAAGGTCACAAAACATGCCGGCTGCTCGCGAAATGTGGAGGTAGCTACACATGCTGCGTTGAATTTCGTCGTACTCAGCGCTTCATAACCTCCCGGTTATGGTTATATCAACTCGCAAGGTATTAGAGAGGTCGAGGATTTCCCTGACGAAGAAACTGCCGTAGCACTGACTAAACAGAAGCCATGGGAACGGTCCATGCAAAGGTAAACTCGCCAACTCGTCTATGCTCTTTATTGAGTGTAGGTGTGGTTAAATTTTTATTCGCTTTTATTGTACGATTTATCAGTGTGCACAGGTCACCACGGGCTCCGTGCGACATAATAGATGTCGGATAATACGCGCTCTTACGGATATGAAGCCACACAGACGCCGGTTAGGTTACGAAGCTCGAGGAAACCCATCCCCGTCGCTGCAGAACTCCAAACTTGCAGCTTCATAGCACCTCCTGAGATTGCCTTTATTGTTGAGATGCTATGCCATTTTCGAGGCACATATATTTTCCCACCTCTGCCCGTTTCGGTCTGGAAGAGCATCGTATGGGCGCACGGCGGTCGTGTACCACTGCGTGACAGACGTCAAAGAACTCCAGGCTGGCAGTGGTCTGCACTGGATAAATTTCTTGTATACAGGGAACTTCCTTCTGTGTAAGCATATATACATTTTTATTTAATTTTCTTTCAGTCGGCCGAAAGGCGCGGGGGCCAGGAAATGCAGGTACCATTAGATCAGATTCAGGTAAGGACTCGAATCTTAAGTCGCAATCCCTGCGGTTAAATTCGTGCGATTAAGTCCGCTTTTGTGTGCACAGGCTCGTGTGGACAAGGTGTTCGTAGACGGAGTCATCCGCACAAAAGACGACATCCTCAAGAAGGCTGTGAACGACTTGTTCCTTGCTAGAGATTTTCAAGAGGTGGGTAGGCTACAATTCACGCGTCCACTGTCAGCACACAACACTATCTCACTGCACGAATTCTCTTGAAGGTGATTTTGAAAACCCGCTATGTGAGGAAACAGTTGGAGACTTTGGGTGCCTTTAAACAAATCTCTGTCGTCATCGACACAAGCACTGGTAAGTGTTGCCTGTTTTTGGCTCATTTATTTAAATTTGTCATGGTAGGGCTAGACTGAGGAGGTGCGCTTTCTTACTGCGTTTACATGGGGGTAGTCGAGGCGGCAGAGAGATGACGCAGGAGATGACCTTTCCGTGTTGTCCTCTTTGCGCCGGGACCAAGCAGAAAAAATTTCCAGACAGATTAGCCCACAGGGTCATGAGACCGCCCGTCTTCTTGATAAACGCGTTTTTTATAATTAAGCATTTATTTATAGTACGCCAAAATATTTCTCATTCAGCGATCCACAGTTACTTTAGACGAGCGTATTGGCATAGAATTTTGATCACGGTGGTAGGGATAGTTGTTCGGGCTGGCCTGGGCAGTGCGAGCTAAGAAGGGTAGCGTGTTCACCCCCAGCCGGTTAGAAAAAAACCCATTACTCCTAGGCGAGAGCAAAGGCCATAAGGAAAAGTAGCTTTCTTGCATGCTACTCTATACATACTGGCATTTATTTTAATTCCTTCTTTTTATTTTTTAATCTAGGTCCACAGTCGAGCCCAAATGGTTTGGACGTGACCTTTAAAGTTCAAGAAGTAAAACGCATGGTGGGCGGGGTCAACACCCTTGTTGGTAACAACGAAGGAAGCATGGTGAGTGTAGCTCGCAACACTAAACACTTTGGTACTTCTAAACAACTCACTACGTGTAAGCGTTAGATCAGTAGAACACCGGCATTGAATATGTGCGGCGTTTCGCCATTGCAGGTCATCGGTCTCAAATTCCCAAACACCTGGGGCAGGGGTGAATTTGTGCAAACTGAGTACCATTATGGGACCAAGCACTCAAGTGGTTTCAACGTCACAGTCAGCAAGCCTTTCCTTGGGTGGTTGAATCCACGGTAGGTATAAGTTGAAACAATAATCTGCTCGGGTATATTATTGCTATTGCAAACATACAGTCGGCAGCAAAAGCTTGTGGGGCGCGGAAGTGCCAGCTGAAAAGACTGGCTGCGCCTTCCGACGACGCATTGACACCCTTAAGACTCGCACTTAGCACATGCGCTTCCTTTCATATTCACAGACATGTTTTCTGCTCGCTTTCCCTTCGACGCCCATGAGATGACAGGGACTGGCGCAAGGTGCCGCAAAATGTTATCTGTAGCATGCAAGCTCCGTTACCCAAGGCAGACGTGCAACACAATGGCTGACAGAGCCTCACCGTGGCCGGTCCCGGTTATCTCGGGCATGTTGGATGCAAGCAAGCAAGAAATGCACGACTGAGAGCAAGAAAGGAAGTGCATTCTCGAAGCATGAATCTTGAGAGCGATTTCGGCCAGTCCTTCAGCTCCCTGCAAACTTTTGCTGCCGACTGTAAAATGTAGAAGCCTTGCATACCAACTTTCTTTCAGTACAATGCGAGCACATTGTTTAAAGAGAAGTTTATACATGTTTTGCATTGCTGACGATAGTGTGAAGTGTTTCGTGAATTGGCATGCACCTTTGGAAACTTAGACAGGAGTGCATGTCGCAGTTGAATAAATTTCAAGCTTTCGGTGACTCGGGCTCTTTTCATGGAAATAAGATCTTTCTTGTTTGCTACAGACATAGCTTATTTACCACTGGCAGAAGTCCTTTCATGTCATCTAAGAATTGGACTCAAGGATTGTGCTTTATTGTGCCTTTTGAGGAAAAGATTTAACTGTGCTCCAGATCTTCACTCTTTGTATAGGTCTTCCAGAGCAACACCATACTTATTGTCTTGAGTTCTTTAAATACCATGTCCTGATCCACCTTGCACTGTAGCTAGGCATATGATATTCCATCATTCCATTCAAACATCTCTTACCCTTTCTTTAAAAAGTAAGAAATCGGCCCTTTTCACAAAGCGAAACACTCGTTTTTAACCAGAGTCGACTTGTAGTAGACTTCTTCTTTACGCTTAACTATACCCTCTTCATCTTACAATGGACCGCCGATGACACTACGAGCCACCTAAGCCAACCCAATGACGCGCGAGTGTCACATGACCTTCGGGAGGGGAGCAGCAATGTGCGGAGCCCGTAGTCACGCGACGTATTCACAGCGCTGCATTGGCTCGGTTGTCTTATAGCATTTGCTCCAGTTCATCGTAAGGTGAAACAGAATATGGTCTGCCACAGCATGGCTGTTCTTGTGCCATGAAGCTCGCACACAATACATTTCATCTGTACTCGGCACACATTGTGCACCCTTTCTTTCTACAGGATCACCGGAGCTGTGTTTCAGCAGGCCGCCGATTTCACGTGGAGCGGCTTCCGCCAGGTGGACCGTGGCCTGTTGACAGAGCTCCTGGTAACATTCCCTCACAGCTGACTTTATCCGTAGTTATGCGTTGTGGCAAAGTCCTCATTTGTTTGGAAACTTCCATGGCACGCAGCAGGACGGCTTTACCTGGGCGCAAACTAAGGCTCAAACTAAACCAGACTCCTGTTGAGCCAAACTCGCTTGACTAGGATTCTTGGACATGGTGAACAAATTAACAGAGTTACGTCACTTTCCCATGGATTCAAGGCAAAAGATGTTTGCTTAGGAATAACAACCTCACATGCACGTTTTGGTCGGTTTGAACTTCTGCAGCGTCTCAGCATCTTTTCGGCTGAACAGCTGATGAGGCGAACAAAATTTTGAGGTCTTTTCGTGTTCATTTTAATGGGAGTTAAAATTAACTCTTGCATATTTTTTAATCTACCCTATTAGAAGCACATTCTTGGCGCTAGTGCAGAATCAGTCTGATCGGGCGAGGAGTTTATTAGAAAAATTACTAGGAGGGTTGCACGAATATTTGAAATTTCGAATAGTAGTTTCGAATAATACACTATTCGATATTCGCTTCGAGCAGAACTGTACTATTTTCGTTTTTCTAAGTGTTGATTGTGGCGGGTTAGCCCCATTGAACGCGCTTCTTATCGAGCTCTGGTGCACTGCGAAGAAGCGATGCGATACCCGCGAAAGCGAGCACTGCGGGTGTTGCTTCTCTGCATTGCATCGGTGTTCGGAAAGAAGCGCACTCAACAGGGTAGCCCGCCGCAATAAACACTTGGAAAAGTATGAATATTGCAATTGCATGCTTGGAAGAAAAGCATACATTCAAATCGGGATAGTGCACACGTGCCGGCTCTATTTGAAAATAAATGGAAACTTTGTGATTGTGTATATCTACATTGAAGTTTCAAAATTAAACTGACTGTTATGTAAGATTGTATGTTAGGCAGAGATGCTCTTACAACTTGCATTCATCATGCGCAATTCTTCTTTTTAACTCGAGATTAAAGAAAGAATATTTTATATAGCGAGATTTGTAAATTCACTTATAATTAGGTATAATTGGTCATCTCTATAGTATTCATTTTATGTCAAATCCGTCGTTTACTTGCCATCCCAAGACATCAGACCTTCTGAGGTCACAGTTCATAAATATAGATTAAACCTAGCTTATAAATAAATAAGGGGAACAGCCTTCATAAGTTTAGCTGGGTTTTCATCTAAGCATGACGCAATGGTAGTGAAAGGAGTGTAAAAACTATTCAATATTTGAATGTAAAATATTCGGCCAAAACCACTATTCGCTTCGAATTCGCTTCGAACTCAAAGTGCACTATTCGCACAGGACTGAAAACTAGGTGTCCGTACTTGCCTGAGGAAGTTAGCGAATATTCAAAAAGGACTTTGCAGCTTTCCCGGTCTTTGAAAAGCAGCACCAACAGCTGGCACCAGCATTGTTACAAACAGGTATGAGGTGGCACTGCTGGATGTTGCAGCACGAAGAAGGCGAGGTCTAATGATCTGGGAAAGCAGCGGCCGAGTGTGAGAAGCCGCGAGACCGGAGGACCGGCAGTGTCATCTATTGCAGTAACTTGTAGCTATTGATAATATCAAAAAGCTATCTGTCCAGCTTCACAAGGAGTATGTGCTCATACTATTATTAATGCGAAAGCATTAACTGTCCTATGGAGTGAGCTGACGTCATCAGTTTGAAATGCGAAAACGGCACCTAGTTTCTTTGATCCCAGTAGGAGCGAAGTAAAGCTGATGAATTTCGCCTTCAATTCCATTGGCTGGTGCACGTCGACGGGGCTCCCATTGATCGCTGCGCTTGTTAGTTTCCACGACTGCTCACCCCATGGTGCTGCGTGTCCATCAGCTCGCCGTTAGCACAAAGCGTCACAGGTCAGCATGCCATGGGGACCACTCGCGCTGACCGGCGACGAAAAGCAGACGAAAAAGGGAGCGAACGAGCAGCTTGCATGTTTTCGAGTTCACAACTCCTAAGAAGTGCTTAGATGTACCTCGAGCTTTTTATAAATGAATCTCTAAAAAAGTTGTGCAGCTCGTTTTTTTAAATTTTAATTTTTCAAAAGTGTTCTTTTTTTTTTTTTTCGGAATTTCACAACATTTGTAGAAGACAAAGGTTACCATAGTTTGTTTCATTTTGTGTACGAGCGATGCTACAAGTGCGAGCGTGATGGCCCAAATGATGCTTGCGCTACATGAGCATGTGTGCTCGCCAGGGATTACGGAAGCCCAAAGCTCACTCTTGTAGCTCGTGCTATGCTCGCATTTTTAAAGTGAAATAAAGTGTCAGGCGGAAATCGGCAGAGCTTGCATAGCTTCGACGTTCAGGGACTGCGGTACGCTCATTTGCAGTTTGAATCCACGCCGGGCGTCCACCACAGCCTGCGATGGGAGGCCCTCTGGAGAGAACTGTCCGGTCTCACGCCCACCATCCCCTTCGTGGTCCGGGAAGAGATGGGACACTCCCTCAAGTCTTCGCTCAAGGTTGGCTACCAACGAGCAGTCGAGTGTCCTTGGACACTCTAGTGTGTGTTTGTTTGTTTGTTGATAGCCACCAACAGCTACCTACATGCCTTTCCAGTGGTATGCCACAACACGGACAAGAAAAGCACATCTAACATTTCAGCACTATACTATAGTACATAAAAATACTGGAAAAGTAAAATATCCAATTATATTATGATGGTTTGGACGTCGCCAAGTTTTTAAAGATATTCAAAGGCATAAACATATCAATTGCAGATGACACAAAACTATTACAAAATAAGTCTTTGATTTGTGTGAGAGGTAAGAGCTTGGAGTGTTTACCAACATAGAACAGTCTAGTTGAGATCAAGACAGCACACAAAAACTTGTGGTGGATTGGGTGCAGAACACTTTGTTACTTAAAAGTTTGAAATTAAAGAAAAATAAAAGTGCAACTTTTGGGGGTTTGAGTGTAACTCAACTCAGTCTGTTTGCAAGACATGCCTGGAACGTCCCTGATCGAAATCAGTTTGGCTTGTTGTGCGTCATGCTCCAGTCTGCATGTGTGTGATCTATAATGGATGAAATGCCTAGCAAGCTTGCAATGCAACAGTGACATTGGAGTGCATAATACCAACACACCTGGAAAACTAACTTTTGTGGTGCGATGTTGTTTTTGACTATTGTACCCATCTCAGTGCTTGAACTATGGTCTGTTGCAGGTTAAGAATAGCGGGCTAAGCTCCTCGCACAAGGTCCTGCACTCTTTCCACTTTGGGAGTGCAAATGCTGGAGAGTAGAAAGCTACTAATCACGACAAGAAGAGAGCTTTGTGGGAGGGGCTTGTCCTACTATACTTAACTTGCAACAGACTATAGTATGTCAATTCCCAATCAACTGGCCTGTGTCCTTTCTCTACCATACTTGCAGTTCTCTTGCTTTACATGGCTAAGTTGCCTTTGTGGCAGAAGCAGACAAATTATGATTCATTGAGGAAATACTGATCCTAGAGACCCCTACTAGTTTCTTTGAACTGTATTAATACATAATATCCCAGGCAGCACACCAATGTTGGACCTACATTGGGCCAACAATGGCAAACACTGGCTCCGGAGGTTGGTCCAACATTGGTATTCTATCCAAGCGCAACTTCTTCCAATGTTGGCCCAGCCATTGGCACCAACGTTGGGCCATCGTTCAACCAATGTTCCAGCCATCATTGGCACCAACGTTGGGCCATCGTTCAACCAACCTTCCAGCCGTCATTGGCGCCAACGTTGGGCCATCGTTCAACCAATGATCCAGCCATCATTGGCACCTTTTTTAGGCCATCGTTAAACCAATATTTCAGCCATCGTTGGCATCCACACTATATCATTGGCTATGCCAATTTTGGCTTTCACACTAATTCAATGGCTATGCCATCATTGGTATACAAGTTCAATCATTGTATAGGCCGTTATCGGCAGTCAAGCTGATTCATTGGCATGTCCCAGTGTTAATGCCATATCTTTAATGCTGGCTATGCAATGATGGCAATGTGTTTAAATCCTGGTTATTCCAACATTGGGTTTTAAGAACCCCTGGCCTGTTTCTTATTAGCAGCCCACTGCAAGAAAAACATTCTGGGCACAAATGGCAAGGTCCTCCTATGCTTTGTCTGTGCACTATTTTATCTGGCGAGCAAATGACTAATTCAAGATCAATTAATACTTTTTTCGGAACTTTTATTGAAAGGGGCTAGGGAGGGAGCTCAGCGGGGAGCCTATGCCTGGTCTTGGGGAAGGTCCTGGGGCAAGTCCTGGGGCTGGGGAGCCATTACGGCTTCCGAACGCCACTTCCTGCAGCCTCCCCTGTCGCAAGACCCTGGCAGCCACTTCAGCACCATTTTTAAGCTGCCGATTCTTCAATTGTTAGCTTCGCACTGATGGCATCTATGAAAAGATCCAAAGGTCAAAGATCAACGCTTTCAAATTCACATTGGTCTTAGTAAAGCACACTCCCAAGCAGCACTTCAACAAATGTTAAGGTTTGAGTGTCCCCTAAAAAGTCCCTCGCTCACGACTTTTCAGTCCTTGCGGCGTAGCACCCGTGGTAGCCGATAATCAGGGGTCTACGACGTCAGGGCCGAGGTCCGGACGTAGTGACGAGGCAGTTGACCGATGGCAGAAGGCTTGAATCAGGCCCCGTACGCCGGTGGCAGCCTATGACCAGGTGTCCGCCAAGGTCTGGGCCGAAGGGCGTAGCGACGAGGCAGTTGGGCGTTGGCCGAAGGCTTGAGTCAGGCCCAGAACGTCTGTGGCACGGAGTGGCAGCGGGTGTTCAACTGCGCCACGCATGCAGTCTTGTCTACCTCCGGAAGGTTGGCGCCCGGACTGCGTGAGAAGTGGGTTGTGGGTCGGGCCTCTTGACGTCTGGTCACGCCGACGGAGGTCCGGCCTGGTCGCGTCTGCACCGTCCTTTGTCAACCGCCCGAATCCCCTCTCGCGCTCCTCGCATGCCCCCACCTCGTCTTCTTCTTTCTCGTTCTCTTCGGCTGGTCGCGGGATCGCTCATCACATTAGACTAAGCCAATCAATTACCAACGTTGGTAGGCCACTGGCTAAGACAGGCAATTGGTGGCCAGCTTAAACCAATCGATTGCCAACTTTAGTAACCCGTTGGCTCTATTACAGCTTATATTTCTGAGGGCGTTGTCACTACCGTAGTCAGTACTGCAGTTGCCGTATTTTGTACGCACTTTGAAGTCAGTTTTGGACAAGCAGGCATAATGCTCACGCAACATATAACAGCTGTTATATGTTGCGTGATAACCTTTCTTTGCAGATTGAAATGCGCATCAGCTTTATGTCACCTCCTACCTCAAACATAGGGTGTTCGAGATGTTAATTCAACGCAATTTTTTATTCGTGAAGACATGTACCAGTCGCTGGATATTTGTTTAAGGTTTTATTTTTTTGCTAAAATTATTAGTGCTTTTTATTTATTTTTTAATTTTGTCCGGTTCAGTCTGAATTATAGGCTGCGTTTTGCGGCTCAGCAAAGCGGGTTGCCTTGAGATTTTCAAGATCACATACAGCTGACAATACACCCCGTGTCCTAGGTTGGGGAGGCGGGTGGAAATTTCGGGGTTGAACCCTGCCTCCCCCCCCCCCCCCCCCCCTCTTTGGAAAGGTTTCCCGGCTGCGTCGCTAAATGGGCATAAGAGAAGAGGCACTATGCTTTTTGCCGTATAAACATATACACAAATCGAAGGAAGCGTGCATTTTGTATTTCGTGTGGAATTTACTAAGCATAACTATCAGTTTTGGGAAGACGCGTGTTAGTTATAGTCGGTGACAGGTGGTAGAAGCTCCTCCCATCTCTTTCCATATTTGTAGATCGAAAGATCAGGAGGAGTCGACCTCCTCCCCAGCGTTTATTTTTAACCTGTCACCGAACACGGTTTTTTTCTGTGTGGACGTTCAAACTTGCTACAGCTCGCAATGCATACAGCGTTCTAATTCAGTTGCTAACTTGCTCTGCGTGTGAAAACAGAAGAATCGTTCCCCCCGGAGGCATAGCTAGAGATTGTTCTCAGCGTGCGCGATCAGCACATTAAAAGAACTAAGCCAATTATATATAACATTGGTAAGCCACTGGCTAAGGCAGGCCAATGTTGCCCAGCCTAAGTCAATCGATTACCAATGTCGGTAATTGATTGGCTTAAGCTGGCCAACATTGGCCTGTCTTAGCCAATCGATTACCAATGATGGCAACTCATTGGCTAGCATAGACCAATGTTGGCCAGCCTAAGCCAATTGATTACCAATGTTTGTAATCAATTGGCGAAGACAGGCCAATGTTGGCCAGCCTAAGCCAATCGACTACCAATGTTGCTCACCCATTGGCTAAGACAGGCCAATGTTGGCCAGCCTAAGCCAATCGATTACCAACGTTGGTAACCCATTGGCTAAGACAGGCCAATGTTGGCCAGCCTAAGCCAATCGATTACCAACGTTGGTAACCTATCGGCTAAGGCAGGCCAATGTTGGTCAGCTTAAGCCAATGGACTGTCAACGTTGGTAAGCCATTGGCTAAGACAGGCCAATGTTGGCCAGCCTAAGCCAATCGATTACCAACGTTGGCAACCCATTGGCTAAGGCAGGCCAATGTTGGCCAGCTTAAGCCAATGGACTGCCAACGTTGGTAAGCCATTGGCTAAGACAGGCCAATGTTGGCCAGCCTAAGCCAGTTGATTACCAACGTTGGTAACCCATTGGCTAAGGCAGGCCAATGTTGGCCACCTTAAGCCAATGGACTGCCAACGTTGGTAAGCCATTGGCTAAGACAGGCCGATGTTGGCCAGCCTAAGCCAATCGATTACCAACGTTGGTAACCCATTGGCTAAGGCAGGCTAATGTTGGCCAGCTTAAGCCAGTGAATCCCCAACATTGGTACTACAATGGCTGTAATGTCCCAACCCTGGTCCATCGTTTGCCAATTGAATTCCAATGTTGGCCCGACGTTGTGTGCTGCCTGGGTATCCTTAACGAAAAAATAGTCAAGAGTGCAGGCGAGCTGGTGTAACAGACTCAGGTTTACCATCATGTCCATAATATCTTTGTTCTGTTGTAAATCGTTTCTTTACATCATTTAAAGTACATTCGGAGAAAATTTTACTGGAGCTGTGTAGGTGACTTGTGTGCTGTCATGTTTGATTTGATTATTTGATTAACTGTTATGGAAATGGATACATCTGGTTCGGAAGTATAGTATGTATAGTTATTGGCCAACAACATGTGGGTTAATAGCAAGAAAGGGGCAAGACTATGTTTTCCTTCCAAAACAAGCCACGGAATTTTCTGTCTCCCACAGCACGTGGTGACTGTGGATCGGCGAGACAATTCCGTTCTGCCAACCGAAGGTGGCTACTTCAGGTTACACCAGGTGAGACATCACAGTCTTGATCAGAGCGGTTTATTTCACAAATATTGCTATTGCCTTTACTGCCTAAAAGTTCCCATTATTTTTACTGTGCTTGTGAAATAGTTTACATCTTTGTATAAGATATCTATTCTAGGTTTACTTCCTCTTATTGTGACAAGAAAAAAAAAAATGAAACTCTCTTCATTTTAGGAATTGGCAGGCCTTGGTGGTGACATTGGGTTTCTGAAGCACGAAGTGGAATGCCAAGTCAATGTGCCTATCAGCCGCGACTTTGTGAGTGCATCTGCATGCCACACAAACATTAAATTTGAAGAGCACGGTTGAGCAACCAGAGAATACAAGAACTTTGAGAGAAACAGAAGGCTGCAAGCATCCTTTGTGAAGTAGCATTAGCAAACACTGCATTCTGCACATTACCACTATTTGCAACAAGATTTTGTGTAATGAATCTGCTGTGGCAGAGCTGAAAGGGACCATGAAATTACATTTTTACTTTGGCTAATTGGTACTCAGAACAAACTCTTTACTTTTGGAAAGCATAAAACACCTGTCAGTTTGTGTTTACTCAGACAGAAGTTTGATCAAAACAAAGCATTGATGAGACCCGAATTTGTCTTCATTCCTCAACACTTTTTTCTCCCACAACTAAACAGTCGTGTAAATGCAATGTTCCCTTTGTGTGCTTCCATTTCATTGTCTAAATAGGAAAGTAACCGAGCTCGCCTACCCATATAAAGCGTAAAAGTTCTCTAAAATCTCTGGGGTTTCACAATGCCCATTGGCCACAGGTGCTCCAGGCCAGCTGCATGGCCGGGCACGTCATGGGGTTTGGCCAGAACAAGACCTTCAGCATCTGCGACCGCTTCTTCCTCGGCGGACCGCTCAACCTCAGGGGCTTCCACCAACGCGGCGTTGGACCCCACGCCGAAGGTGTCATTCACTAACAGTTACATTGTTAGCAAATGCACAGGCCTCAACTCTAGTAGCTCCCAGCACTGTTGCTGCTAGGGTTAAAAGGGTTAGAGAAACAAAATGGCATGGCCGCGAGCTCTCTACCTCTTGCTTCAAAATGGGCCAGCGACGAGCGCAATGCGTATCGCACTCGTAATGTCAATGGCTCCTGCACAGCCAAGGCTACTGTAGTTGCGAGCATTGCCGCTTGGTGGCGTCGACGCGTGACAATCTCGCCTAGTAGTAATATGTGGAGACTGTACGCCCTATGGCCTATACAGTAACATCATTCGCGGCCATGCCGATATTTTATGGGCCGCGAGCATTTGGTTTACTGTGTTAGTTTTGCACTCAAGGGAACCAGTAACTAGAAAGAATCGTCAGTACCCAGCAATGGCGACACCTGCAAGCTATGTATACGTATAAGGTATTCACTGGGTGCCACATTGGAGCGCGTTGTTCAGAGCGCATCTTTGGGGGGTGGGACCGTTAGGTTGGGCTGGCAGAGGTCATCTTTATTTTACACCACCAGGATCGCCATTCTTTGCAGAGGGCAGACGTCTGCAAAGAACGGCGATCTTGGTTGTGTAAATGCATGTTGCAGAATCACCGTGGAAGTTAACATAAACAACATAGTAGACTCATTAGCGTTCTCCGCCAAGTCAGATTCAGGACTAAGTTACTCCATGTAAGAGCCATACTGCCGCGAACTGGCACTGCTTCTTAAAGGCTTTTTAGGAGCTTCACAGACCACCACCAGGCGCGATCTTGAAATCTGTTCATTCGTTTTAAAATTAGTTTTCTTTCTGTCGGCAGCCCAGAAACAATAGTCTAGACTAGTGTTTCTGGGCTGCTGCCACAACATAGTTCATATTTAAACAAAGAAATAAGAGCAAAAGTTTCGTTTCCCTAACCCTTTAAGGATAATGTTACTTTCCCAAAAGACATACCTTTGGATAAAGTCGGGAGCCGCAGGACGCGCGGCGTGTGTTGTGCTCCACCCACGGCAACACGAGTACATACATGCCAACTATTACTGCGCCGTCACCAAGCCAATCCGCTCACGCAAGGGACAGTTTATCGGACTACCGAGTTATGGTCATTGGCTCGATTCCCTCCGGGCAGCCATATTTTGTATAGACAACCAGTCGGGTTATCGCATTCTTTTATAACAACATTTTGTGGCGCTATATAGGCTTGCAAGTTACCCTGCGATGCATTCAGTGTTAATACTGTCATCGGAATTCGATTTTGGAGTGCCCACGACACGAGGTAGAGTCAGTAAAACTGTGTCCTGTTGACCACACCAGATGGCCTCGAATGCTGTGCACATTGCATTTGTCGTTTTCTCGCACTCAGGTCACTCCCTGGGCGGAGAGGCGTACTGGGCCAGCGGCCTGCACCTATACACTCCCCTGCCTTTCCGGCCGGGGGAAGGGGGCCTGGGGGACTACTTCCGCACGCACTTCTTTGCCACGGCCGGAAACGTAGACGACTTCAAGTTCAGTGAGTGTGGAACGACTCTCTCTCTCTCTCTATTCACCAGCAGGATTAGAACGACAGGGAGCTCCATCAGTTGTCCCGCCTTCCGTCAACCTTCGAGCGTGCACGCACAGCCAAAGCAAAGCGGAAGGTAGATAGTTTGTGTGCTGGAGACAGAGCATCAGAAAGAGATTCCATTCCCATTCTGTCAGCAGCTATAGCTGCTACTACGTCTTTGTGCGCAGAGTACGCCAGAGACAATGGAAGCTGCCCAAAGTCTGCCACACATGAGGATACTTTGTGTGGCAACGTGCTGGGTAGATGGATGGATGGATAGATGGGTGGATGTTGCTGGGTGTACCCTTTGTAGCGGGGCAGTAGTTTGCGCCACCTAGCCTAAGTCTAAGAAAGACTAACATTTGATTCCTCCCGCACACTTCTAAGCCAATTTTCTCCCCCTAACTATCACCAGGTAGTGTGGGATAACACGAGGATGACCTTTGGAGGATCGGGCAAAAAACTACAAACATAACCCCCTGCCTCTTCCACCCGGCGAGGGAGTCGCCAATTTTTCTCTGGTCAAACCTTATCGGCGTTACCCCTGCACCGGACCCACCGGGGGACAGGGTTGAGACTTTGGGCCGGAGCCACGTGGGAGGAAGTCCCCATTTTTCTCTGCCCCACCTGTCCCCAGCTCTGCTAGTTAGTTGTGCATCATTCAATTTTCCCTAGATAATTTCTTCCCATCTTCTAATCGCCTCTTTGTGACTATAATCCCTTTCTCTTCCGTGCTTCCACCGTCGCCAGCAAAACCCAGGGCCCCAGCCAGATCTGTTACCCCTTCAGGGAGGGCAGGGTGCACTTCAAAACCAAGTGCTCTAGTGTCTCACTCTCATTATGGCGGGCAGCACATAATGTGTCTGTCTCCTGAAATCTAGCCCTATACGCCCTCGTCCTCAAAACTCCCTTTCTCGCCCCAAACAGTAAAGAAGTTCCCAATGAATTGTCAAACACATTTTCCTTTCTTATATCCTGTTTTTGTTACTTGTACATTGTCAGAGCTGATTCTTCCTGCATTCTTACCTCCCACATTTTTCTCTCTGCCTCTTTCACTCCCTTTTCCACTGAAATAGTCTGCTCAGCCCCATCACTAGTGTGTAGGTATTTAAATAGAAGCTTTCGAGTTCAGCTTGTCCATTTTGTGTTTTAACTTTTCACGTGTAAATACTTGAACACCTTCCGTGCCCGCCGCGTATCATCCATTTCGGTCAACCTTTGTTCAAATTTCAACTTACTAATTGCCTCCCTGCTTTCAAAAGACGACCAGCCCATGTCCTCCTGTACTCCCTCATTTGGTGTCTTTCCATGTGCTCCCAGTGCCAATCTGCCTACGCTTCTTTGTCGAATTTGTAATCTTGATTGAACTTGATTCCATGGACAGTGCCCTACTGCCAAAAGAGTCCTGGTACCATCACTCTTTTCCATATATCCCTGACCACCTCATATCTATTATAGTTTCATAGTGCCTCGAGCTTCATAATAGATGAATTTCTTTTCCCTTTCCTAATTATATTCTCCTCATGTTCCTCTATTTCATTCCCTCACCGAGCCAGACTCCCAGATATTTTTAGTTTCCTACATGGTCTATTACAATGTCTTGTATCCTCAGGGGTTCCCTGTTCGTCAATAAACGCCATTACTCTAGACATATTACTACTAAAACTCATGCCCAAGGTGTCCCCTTCCTCTCCACATATTCCAGCTAGTTCCTGTAACATATCCTGGTTATCTGCCATAAGTATTATGTAGTCTACATACATCAGTTCTGGACCATATTACCTGTACTACATTTCTCCCTCCTTCCATATAACTCACATCGACACCTAAGTTGCTAATTTCTTTTCCATTTCACTGAGATATATCATGAAAAGTAGAGGCAACAATGGACAGCCCTGCCTGAGCCCTGTTTTTATTGCTGCGGATTGTGTAGTTTCTTCTTTCCATGTTATAACTACCTTATTGTCTGTGTACACCTGCTGAAGAAACCTAACCAAATTAGCATCTAAGTTATATTCCCTAGCTGACTCCAGAGCTTTTCCTGGCTCACATCGTATGCTCCGTTGATGTCCAGATAAGCTAACCATAAAGGAGTCTGGTTCTTCATTGATATTTCTACACATTGTCTGGTGACGAATAAGTTGTCTTCCAGTCTTCTATCTCTTCGTAATCCGTTTTGGAGCTTACCCAGTGTCTGCATATCTTCTGCTTAATCCTCCATTCTCCACTTTACTACCTGCATAGTTAATCTGTATAGAACTGAAGTTACCGTTATTGGGCGATACGACTTAATGTTGTCTTTGTTTCCTTGGCCTTTATATATTAGTCTCATTTTACTTAGTTTCCAATCATCGGGCGCCTCTCCTCCCATAATTATTTGATTTATCACATGTCGTAACTTCGATTTGCTTGTTTTTCCTAGTGTCCTAATGAATTCCATGGCTATATCGTCTGGGCCTGTCGCTGTACCTGCTGGAACCTTGCTTTCTGCCTTATCCCATTCTCTTGTGCTCGCGTCCATTGTTACATAACTCTGTTCCTCCCAGTCTTGGGTAGTAAGTAGTAACGCGTTACTGTAATTTTTGTTACTTTTTTGGTAACTTGTAACTGTAGTTCTATTACTTTTTTCTGAGGTAACGATGAAAGTAACAACGTTACTTTTTTCGTTACTTTCCAGTGTTTTATGAATAATATATCACTGATCGAATACAATTTAGATCTTCCTTGCACTTCTCAAATCGTCCATTCCGACATTTCGAGTGTCAAGTTGGCCTTGCACAAACTTGTGAATACATTCTTTTTCACGAGTCACGACCCGAATATAGCCACGTGTAGATTTCATGAAAAAAAATCTAGTTATCATTACGCACGCGCTTGTACTTTGTAACTGAACACTTAAGGTTCGTTCACAGACCCATTTTCTTACATTACGTTACAAAAAGTCACCGGGAAATGTGTGCTTCGTATTAAGCGTGGCAACCAATTCAAGGAGATAGCCTGGCATGCGACATTTGAGACACGAATGTTTCGGTAACTTAGAACTAACGTAAGTTGAACCGAGCTCAACTCATTACATTACGACGAGCCTTGTGTCCTTCAGGTAACTCACCTTCCTAGCTCGTCGTCACCGAAACATTTGTATCTCGAATGTCGGGTGCCAGGCTATCTCCTTGAATTGGGTGCCAGGCTTAATACGAAGCACATATTTCCCGGTGACTTTTCGTAACGTAAGAAAACGGGTCTGTGTGAACGAGCCTTTACATCTTAGTGTCTTTAAGCACTATCTACGTTGTGGTTTTTCCTTTTTCTGTGAAAGCGCTTTTTAATCTGGTGAATCAACCGCGAAACAACAATACATGCGGAGGGCACTGTGCATGTTTCGTATTTTGATTAGCACCAGTACTCCGCACTGCGTATGTTTCATATTTTTATTTGCGCCACTACTCTGGCGTGGAAATTTTCAAACACTAATTTCAAGAAGCAACTTCTGCTAAGTTACAATATGAAGTAAAAAGCATACTTTTTAATTTTATGCAATAAAACTTGGTGAAGGACATTTTTTCTATTCTTTTTTTTTTGTGTTATAGAAAAGTAACTGAAAAGTAACGTCGTTACTTTTTAAAAGTAACTAACTGTAATGAGTTACTCTTTTGTTGCGGTAACTGTAACTTCGCTACTTTTTTTCTGAAAGTAACTGTAACGAATTATTTTTAAAAGTAACTTACCCAAGACTGGTTCTTCCTCTACACTGCTGCTGCCAGTGCTATCCACTGTCCCCCTCTGCTTGCTGGATGGGTTGGCAGGGTTGCTTAACTACGGAATTAGTATGATGCACTTCCCCAGATAGCGTTTTTCTCTCAAATTATACTAGTCATATTCTAGAGAGGCACGTAGTTCTAGAGTGAAAACTATTATTGATGGCAAAGCTACGTCGACGAGATATCACACTCGCAATTGACGCCGTTGCTACCGTTGCGAGATAATTTCAATTCAGTAAGTTCTATAAGCTTCTGCCTACACTAAGGAAGTTTAACGAGTGAATTTAGCTTGAGATGACATAGTACTTCGCACACGATGCAGATATAACTCTTCTGTGCAGTAGTGGTGGCTAGTGGGAATGTGGGCCTAACAGAGTATCTCGTCCTCAGCTGAAGATATGCAACACAACCTGGAGCTGGCGATGAGGAACTTCCGGTGGTCGCTGGGCATGGGCATTGCACTCTCCATCGGGCACATAGCTCGCTTTGAGCTCAACTACTGCGTCCCAATGAAGGCAAAGTCCGGAGACAGGCAAGTCCCTATGAAAAGACTGTGCAGGTTACCTAAGAGTGGACCCTTGCCCAGCACAAATGTTTCTCAGCTTCTAACCCTTGCATATAAAGTGCAGACAACAAGGTGCTTGTATTCTCATACCCACTGGCGAGCTATCTCAAAGTTTAACACCGAAAGAATGTGTATTAGTAGGGCATGCAAGTCTGCCAACTCTACAGTTCCACAATAGTTGAAGCACACTTTATAGACCGACACGCTGTTTACAAACAAGCCCGCGTTTGCCCACACCAGGTGTGGGCACTGCGCATGCGCAGAAACGGAATTGGAGTGAACTGGAGCGTCTGCGCTTGCGCAGTGCCGTCGACAGCGCCACCGCAGCTGCGTGACGTCAGGGACGCGTGTTGGTCTATAGTGTCAAGTTCTTAAACGACTTGCAATTTCTGGGAATTTCACAACTTAAAACTATTGCAGAAAAGTTGATCCCACTCTATGGCGAAATCTTGTGCCCTCGAGATACGCATTTCCGAACCGCACGCATTGCAAAATTCGCGGAAATAGTCTCTTATAGTATTCGGATAACAGATGTGCACATAATCATGCACAAGTTTGCGATTTCTTCCAGGTTAAACCACGGCTTACAGTTTGGCATCGGAGTGTCGTTTCTGTAGCACTGCCAATCTCTAGCCAAGTTTTTAGGTGAGTTATCAGACGATGAGTGCCAAGACATCACAATGATTCAACCCCAACTTTTTTTTTCAGGTTCAAAGCAGCATGTTTGTCCAGTTTACTGCCCCATTTCTTTGTTGACATTAGCATAGTCGAAGTAAGGGTACTTACGCTGTAAAGTTCAAGCATTATTTTTCTCTGTCGAGTTTCAACCGATTAAAGGATGCAATGTCAACATCCCTGTGTCTGCTTTTCGTACCAAGTCTGCCACAAAGCCCAACCTTTCTACGAGACAAAAATAAACTTTCGCTTCCCAGTGTCCTTTTTCCGGACGCTGGCTCGGCATATCTGGGGTTTTAAGAAAGGAAAACATGCTTTGCACCAATGGAGGGTTTAATTTTGTAACAGATGATATACAATGACAATGTGAAAGCATACAAATCTCCTAAAACTTGAATTCCTTGTACTTCTTGGCCACCTTGCCACTGTCTTGCTGTTGTTTCTTCCGTTTGTTCTATGGGGAAACAACAAGACATGAATAGTGAGAAATTTGACAATGGCACAGCAAACACCTCCTCCAAGGGTAAAGTTAACCAAGAGGGTCACATTTTTTGCAGACACTAACACTGACTATACCTTTAAACTAAATTCAGTGAGGCTTTTGCAAAGATGATCTCTAACCATGCCTTTAAAATAACAGACTACTCAAGAACTCTGAAAAAAATGGAGGAAAATAATTTCAGTTTGTTTCCTGGAATGTGGATTGTTGCACTTATGATACAAATAAATTTGGTCTTTGACTGAAAACTAAAACAGCTCCAAGACAAGCACAACGTGCTTGTCTTGGGAATGTTGTAGTCCTTATTCAAAGTCAAGCACCAAGCTCCCCTCTTTAATTTAAATTTCATACTGATAATGTTACACTCGAAAATTCAGATGCACCGATATAAAGCCCAGCACGGGCAAGCGGCTCTTAGACTTTGCTCACACTAACGCTTCTGCAAAAAAAAAAAAAAAACACTTCGTACAGTTGTATATTCATGCTCGTGCTCTTGACAGCACTGCATACAGCTTGCAAGATGGAATAATGGTAGACACTGGCAATTTCAGCAAACTTTCGATATAACTTCACAGCTCCATCTTCTTTTGCTGAAGTCTGCAATCTTTAGTCTACTGCAAATTACTTAATTTTCGCGACTTGGAAAATATTTTAAAAAATTGATCATGTGAACATGTCACCGCGTGGTTCCGGTTTCGTACCTTATCACTAAATCGCAAAATGCTGATGAAATACGCACTTCACAAAACATTGAGTCCGCGAAAATAAAGCAATTTACAGTATATCAACCACTCCAACTGTCAGAGGCCACTGCCCGACGCAATGGCATTCGTTCGGCTTGGTTTTCAGCCAGTTTGGCTTCTGCAAGCAACCTCACCTTCTGCCTGGCCGCATGCTCGGCAACCATGTCGCTGAGATCTTCCTTGGCGAGGTGTGACTGCTGTTCCCGCAGCGTCTGCTCGTAGCGGGCAGCCATGGCTGCCGAGTCCATCTCCAACTCGCTGGGGTCCAGGGCGATCTCCACGCCTCCAGGCCGGTCCGACCCGCCCGCGGTAGGGGGCAGTTTCGCACCCTTGGCCATTGCCTGCAAACAGATTGATCGATCCATTGCTTTTAATGGCCGAAAAGTTGCCAAGGTCAAAGAGTGCCACGAATGTTACCCATCGAAGGAAAAGAAGTATACCGGGAAACGGAGGACATCTCGATTTGTGTTTGCCCTCCCTTAGCTTCTTACCTAAATAAAGTTTCGGGACAATACACTTTTCCAATGTGCTGTCGCCTGGACAAAGATTGATTGATTGCCTGCTTGCTTGCTTGTTTTTAGTTACAGAAAAAAAAGTATGCCTGAAAATCAAAGACATCTCGGTTTTGGTTGTTTTACTAAGTTGCTGGGCTGTGGATTCAAGCACGGTACCTCGCTGTTTCGAAGAAGAGAGCTACTGCACGTGCCTAGAACGCGTTCCTACACCCATTAGACGGACACCAGCGTGCAGAAGGCGATTATAGGAAGAGCTTTCAGGGCAGTTTCCAATCCACCTAATACAGAACCAATGTTAACATCCCCCCATCACGAATGGGCCTGAGCAGCATTGAACCCGGTTGAAACGACTCAGGAAGACGCATCAAGTTGCTACACACTACATCCTAGTACAGCACAGGTGTTGCTGCAGGCACGCAACAAGCCTCCCACAAGCAAGTATATTCTCAGCCCAGCCCGTACGCCCAAATGTATTTTAAGTCTGCATACGGCTCGGCATGCGAGACTTGTAACAAACTCTACGGTCACCGAAGGGACGAGAAGGGCAGGGAGTTCTCATTCTGTTGGCGACTCTAGGCTATTATCCAGAGCGGCGAAGGAGCAGGACTTACGGCACTCATGTCATAGACGTGGGTGGATCCCATCATGGCGGCGCCCACTCTGTCGGCCTTCTTCTCCGGCAAGATGGTGTACAGCGCCGGGGTATCCCCACTGCAACGAGGAAAAGACGGTGACAAGGTCGCCTTGCAAGTAGAAAATGCGACAACCTGGTACAGGCTACCAAAGACCGGTTGACTCTTAAAAACAATAAAACTATGCCGACAAAGAATGAGCATGTACAAGGGGCGTCCTAAAGGTTTTCAGCGCTACGCAGAAGGATTGCGAGCATAGACGCGACACTTTATTTTAGCACATAGGCACTTGAGATTTGCGACACCAAAAATGGCGTATGCGCCAATACGATTTTCTTGTGGCCAACAGGTGGCAATCCGCGCAATCGAGCTAAAACCAAGGAAGTGAAGACACATTCGGTGATTGAATATTTGTCTCGGGCCCAATTCCCACAAGCATCCAGAAAGACACGGTGGCGACGTAGGCACAGGATGCCCCATCCCACAGCACGACGAAGAAGCGGGCCACGAAATTAATTGAGGATGGAAGAGTCACAAAGACGGCCCTTGGCAGGCCCGCGGAAGTGACCGCGCAAGAAAACATGGTCCGTGTGCATAATAAGGTAATGGCCGATCGCAGAGTAAAACTCTGGACCATTGCACAGGTCACAGGCCTTTCCAAAACCAGAGCTTAGTGCACCTTGATCCAACATCTTGATATGCACAAGGTCTCCGCCAGATGGGTTCCAAGATTACTCTCCTGCGACCAAACGCGCCCCCGCCGCACCACATCCAGGGACAATCTCTAGCTGCTCAGATCAGATCCTGCAAGCTTCCGTGCCCGATTTGAGACCGTGGACGTAACTTGGCTCCACCACTTTCAACCCGACAGCAAAGCCCAGTCTAAATGGTGGAAACACTCCTCCTCTCCACCACCGAAGAAGGCTCCGTCTGTTTTCATCAGTAGGCAAGGTGATGGCCTCGGCTTTTGGCATTCAGAAGGCGTGCTGCTCAACGATTACCTTCAGAAAGGGCAGAGCATCACCGTATTACGCAACCCCGATTCATCGCCTGCGGGATGCCATCAAGGCCAAACGTCGCGATATGCGCACCCACACCGCGCTGCTGTGGTGATGGCTGCCATCCACTCCTGCGACTTTTCTGTTGTCAACCATCCACCGTACTTGCCAGATCTCACCTCATCAGACTTCCATCTCTTCCCCTCAGCTAAAAAAAAAAAAAAACTTTCTAGTGTTAAATTTTTTTTTTTTTGCGATGATGAGGTTATTGATGCTGTGACCCGCTTTTTCGGAGGACCAAACTTCCGATTTCTTTTTCCCCCAAGGGGATCCAGGCATTGGAGCACCGTTGGACAACGTGTGTGGACCTCCAAAAGGGACTATCTCAAAAATCACCTAACACAAGTTCATTCACCTCTATTGCCCCCTTCTGGGCCAGGCCAAAAATTTTTGGAACGCCCCTCGTAGTTGGGTGGCATCTGAACAAGTTATCGTAAAGGCGCTCGGAAAGGAACTAAAGCAAAGATTTCTGTTAATAACCAAGGAAGGTTTTAACCTTGCACCTAGCGATAACTGTGCTGAAATTAAACCTCGGTTCTACGGAGGTGGTCAAACAATGAGATACAATAACGACGCTTGTTCAGTCCAATGCAGCGACAAAACCCTCCGTTATATACTCCGCTTCGCCTTATGTCAGATTACAGCGGACTCCATGAGCCACCTGAACCAATCCGGCCCTGTGAAAATAGCACATGGCACACTCTCCGCCCGTCACTGCGGCCCTTCTCCAAGGTAACGTGACATTCCTGTGGCCTTGGATTGGCTCCGACGGCTCGTAGCATCCGCTGCATCTGGAGTATACACATTTCCAAGTCCGGCTTCAGGGCGCTGCCATCTTGCTCGCTGGGGTGCGCTTGGACGCGTCCTAATCCGATTACGAAGCCTTGCTAAGGCGTCATAATCGGATTATGGTCGCGCCCAAGCGCACCCCACTGGGCAAGATGGCGGCGCCTTGAGAGTGGACTTGCAAACGTGTATAGACGGACCGTCGGGACACGCTGGCCCGCCTACACTATTGTTTATCCTGCAGGCACTCTAGAGAAGAGACGCAGAAATAAAAAGATCAAACGGCACGCACCCTTCCATCTCAGACTCGATCTTGCGCTTGCGGAGCTCGATCATGTCCGGCGTCTCCACCCCGGCGGGAATGGAGCTGAATCCGCTGGGAGTCACCAGGCCCTCTGCTGGAGTTACCAGGCCGGTCTCGTCCTCCAGGGCCTCCTCCTCTTCCTCATCCTCGTCTTCCTCCTCCTCCGAGGACTCGCTCTCCAGCTCTCCCCACAGCGTGCGGTCCACTTCTTCCTCCACCATGTCCTTCTGCGTCGGCAAGTGTCGCAAAGGCTCTCGTCTGAGCCTCAAACCAAACCCTATATCTACTTATTTGGAGTACCCTCGAGGTAGTACATTGAAGAGGTGACTGAGCTACAGTAAAACCTCGTTATAACAAAACGGGATATAACAAACTAATGGATATAACAAAGCAATCATAATTCCCCTTGCTTGCTAATAGTGGGAAGAAATGGACATCGGCTATAACAAACTAATGGTTATAACAAAATAATTACGACCGCTCCTTCAACTTTGTTATAACGAGGTTTTACTGTATTAGTAAGGAGCATTGTTAAACAAAATAATATTGGCAATGGTAGCGATCGGAAAGGGACGGCAGTTCCAATCGTTCAATGATTTGGGGGGGTATAAAAGAATAGTGAAAAGATAAAAAGATGATTCTTCAGTGTTTTTATTGATTGATGCATTCTTGTCGGCCAATGGCGCAATCTCGTTGGCTGTTGAACAACAATAAGATGCGCGCGACTCGCCACGCCCCGCATTTTTGGGACGCAGCAAAAATAAAATGTGAGGTAACTATATCGAAAGAACCACGTGACACGGGGGCTGATACCGCAGATTGTGGACATGGCGAGTCCACGTTTCACAAAGCGATAAACAAGCGTGAATTCGCTACGAACTCCTATATCACAGGAAAGGAAACCGCAGACTGCAGATGTAAGATTTGTGTTTCAGACTGATAAACAAGCGGAAATTGGCTACAACCTTGAATGCCACGGGAGCCAATATCACGCGCGCTGATGGCAGACAAAAAAACATGGGAACTCGCTACAAACTCGCATGTCATGGGAACTGATATTGCACGCGCAGATCGCAAACAAAAACGGGGAAATTCACTGCGAACTTGCTTGTCACACGTACAGGAACAAACCGCAGATCGTGCGGCTGATGTGATTCCCGTCTGACGTCGCGCAATGTCCGACAGGAATCGGGGGGTGGACAATGCTTTGAAATTTTAAGCTACGGATACTAAGCCAGACAAACGGGACGGACAATCCTCTCGGGGGAGGGCGCCCTTACGAGATTTGAATGTATGCTACATTTTTTTTGTAAACGACGTGCTAGTTTCATGAATAAATTTGATTTAATCGCGGGACTCTCAGGCCCGCTCGTCCGGAAAGGCTGCCACGATTCGAAGGGTCGTTGACGTACGTCATTCGCCGTCTCTAGCAGCTCATCACCGTAGCCGGTGCAACTCGACTGTCAACGCGCTAGGAAGAGTAACTGTTGTGTCTGCTACTAAAAAAGGGCCTACCATGGCGTCAGAAGACTGTGTCCCAAAGACGTCGCCGTAGAGGGGCCGCCCCATTTCGTCGACGGGAGGCTTGCCCCATCCGCCGGCGTGGTATCCAAAGGAACAGCCCTGTGGAGAACAAGGCGCAATTACGCACCCATCGCAGTCTTACACGTAACCTACATTCCAGTTCTAAAAGTTTGCATTTCGCATACTCTTCTTTTTTTCTATACTCTGTTTCACCTTGTGTTGTACCGCAGAAAAGGCTACAAGCGCGAGCTTCCTGCTCTAGGCACATCTCGGCGGCACAAGCTCGCGTGCACCAAGGGCAGCTGCCAATGCTATGAGCTCGCGCTTCGAGCCTTTGCTGTGGTACAACATAACGTGAAAGGGAGTAGTATAGAGGGAGCGAAATCTGGAATCCAAGACTCTGTTACATAAACTGGCTCCCATTTCAGTTTTACTGGCACAACGTCCTTCCTTCAGCAAGACACGAATTCTCGAGCACTTCTCCAGCTTTTTATCTTCAAACTAAAAGAAACAAACCCCAACTCTGCTGGCAAATGTCATTTACCGCAACTCCAGTTATTAATCTAGAAGTGCCGTGCCCACTTTGTGACAAATTTGCACCTTATTATTTTTATAACATTCCCGTGGGGGCATAAAAATAAAACCGAATGAGAAATGCAAGACGTATGACTAGAGGGACAACGTGAGAGGTTATGCCACAAAACGATGCAAAGGAATGCGATTCAAACTCACGTCAGGAATGGGCGCATTGAGTCCGGGAATCTTCAGGCTCGGGTAAGAAGGAGGGGGCCCATACCGCTGCATGGCGATGAGCCAGGGCGGTGGGCACCGGTGCGAGTTCTGGGGGAAAAAAAAGGACGGTGGTTATTGCGGCAGAACACAAGTGGATGCCAACACCAAACTTTTCAAAATAATATCCACGTTAAAACTCACTTTATACAATGTCGTCATACAACCTCAAAGGGTAAATAAATTGAACGAGGCACAAACAGACTTGTTCGGGTTTTAATGCAGACACATTCCGATACTAAGCATGTGCACGTTGCAACAAGTAGCATCAAGTTCATTAACAATTTCGTCGACTTATTTACAGACGAAATATTTTGGTTCGGGTTAAAACTCCACCAGTTTTGCCCGAGACACCCCCTTTGTCATGTTCAACAATCGTGAAACGAAACTCCTTTACTTACGGGTCCGGTGGGCATGCCAAGGGCTATCCGGAGGTCGTCCGTGAGGTCGCCGGGCTTCTTCTCCTTGAGGCGGGTCTCGAACTCCTTGCCCTCGTAGTAGAGGTCCCCGTGCATGCTCATGCGGGGCTTGGTCTGCCACTTGAAGAAGGCGTCGTGCAGCTTCTGGTAGTCGATGTCGATCTTGCCCAGCTTTGGCCGCACCTTCTCGCGCATCTTCGCCTTCATCGTCTTCTGGTCCTCCTGAGGTGCAGAAGACAAACGGGTGGATGAATGGATGTTGGCAACCCAGCGAGACGAAAAACGTCAATGTCACAAAAAGGCCCAAAAGAGGAGTACGTGCAGTGCCACTGCCACTCTAATGCCTGCCGAAACCGCCGAATGTCATGAAAGTAGCCAAACATTGAAGCTTTGTTTGATGACAGCATAGCAGCACTGCAACCAATGTCCTCAAAATGGCTACCCGGGGCTTTCAACGTTGAAATCAGGATATGCTATCAAATTTTAAATCGGTAAGCAAAGCTGGCAGAGCCTGCTGTCCAGTGAGGTAATCGAGTCAGCATTCATATATTATGGACTAAATGACGGGCCAATTGATGCAGCAAGTTATGGCGCAAACCAGCATGCCTACCACCTCCTGACCAGTTGTAATCCACCAGTTATCCAGAGTTCCCAGATGAGCATTATATGTGCATTTACAGCTTTATTTCTCTCTTGGCTTCGAGAGGGTCCACATCATGCGATCACGAAGCTCAGCCGAGTAGATTCTCCAGTTCGAGCAGACATTATGGAGCATGATACTCTAGAAGCACCCGGTGGCTCTAGTAGTTTCGACAAAGAAACCATTAGACGGTGAATGAATTGTTTTCAGAATTTCAGCAAGCAAAACTGCCCCACAAAAGAAAGCAACAAGTATAAATTCTTATCCTCTTATGGACGACAGCTCCGAGTTGGAAAAACAGCACTGCATGGTGCCGTGCAAACCATCTTGACAGAATGTCAAAAGAGTGACAAAGCCAAGCTGATCAGTTTCCTTAAACCCCGAAATTTTGTCAAGACAAACTCGTCTAAGCTAAACGACGCTTGGCTTTTGTCTTGACCAAAACAAACCTAAAAAAATCGTCACCCGCCAAGAAACAAGAGCAACAATATTATAGAGTTCACTACAACCTCAAGACTCGCCGCTCGGTTGTTGCACCTTCACACAAAGTGCCGATCCTCGCAGAATGGTGACCCACCTTGTCTTGCAGAGCCTGCCGCATTTCCATGATGCCCGTCTTCTTGATGAAGCCCGGAAGGTCGAAGGGAGGCTTCTCAATGCCTCTCTTACCCTGAAGGTACTTGCGCTTGAAGCACCAGTGCCGTGGCACCGGCACGGTGTTTCTCGACGACTGCAGCCCAAAGGACGCACCCGAAAACCACTCGTCAGAATCTACACCAGCTCTCTATTGTGCGTGGTTCCAACAAACACGGTGCACTAACCTTTAGGTGGAGCAGAAGCACGGGGTCCCTGGCGGTCACGTCGTGCATTTCAACCAGCTCGGGACGGTTTACTTTCTGCGAAAAATGGCAGCAGTGGGACTCAAAGCTAGGATGTGAAGTGTCGGGGGCGACGTGAAATGGACGTACCGATTTTTAACGAAAACATTTGCTTTGATGTCACCCATGTGATGACTAAAAATACTATCAACTTCGTTCACTTGAAAGTTGTTTTGAGGACGTACGCATTGTCTTTATATATTTTTTCTCACGTGAAACCCTATGTGGAGAGCAAATCGTCTGCTTCTTGCGACGGATTTGCGATGACGTCGGAACGACACTGAGTTCTGATTGGCTTTGAATGGAAGTATAGTGGTAGACCTCGATGCTAGATGCCTTGAGGTCTACCCACTATTTGTTTTCAATCAGGCAATAAGAGCATGGTGTTCTGACATCACGCAACCCCTGTGCAAGAAGCAGACGAACTTGCGCTCCGCATTCCAGACACAGTGATGGAAGCGGCTTTCAACCTCTTGTAGCAGGTTCTGTAGCAGGCAAAATATTGGTTTGGAGCAGCCACTGACAGTTTTGGAGCAGATGCCACCATCTGTTACCACATCACTGGAAAATGAAAGAGTGATCGCATTGCAAAATGAGTTCATTTTGATGATGACTGAGCGTTCCTCTTTGATACAGGAGCATATTACTTATTACCTTTTGTAATAAGAACAGACAGGGTGCAAAAGGAACTAGAGACTTCTTTTTAGAAATAATGCTCTGGTTAGAGTAGGTTCGATACTACAAACAATTGTTGAGAAATGATTCATGGTGCAATACTTCAGTTGGGATAAAGCCTTTCTTCCCTCCCATTTTTACACCCAGTTTAATTTGTGTAGCCTGTAGACATAATTTTAGTAAAATGCCAGCAAAAACCAGCATATCCACTAACACATCTGTCAATAAAAATATGTGCCCCAAGTTTTACGAACCCATCAGACTCGAGACTGTAGTATCACACCCTGCAAAAACAGCCACCCACAAATATTACGAAAACCTACACTTGCACTTTAAAAGTGACACTACTCTTTAGCAGCGTTGGAAACAGAGTGCACTCAAAGTTTGCTGCTCTTGCGACCGACAGCTGCACTGCAACTACCCTGACTACCCCCATATTTATTCAAATATAGACCCACATTCTTTTTTGTTCTTTTCTCAGTGCATCTTTTTTAAAATAGAGAGATCGACCTACAATCAAGACTAACGAAGATAGATCTGTAATGGTACAGAGCCTAATTTCCGAGCCTATCGCTCTAACCCAGGCACTCTCACTCACGTCAGCCGCTCCTCCTGGCACTCAGTGCAATGCGGTGAAGCTTGAGACACGTGCACTGAAGAGCGGCGGTGAGATGCGGCGCAGAAGCATGCGGCAGACGTGATAACCGAGTGATCTCATCGGGAGTACAAGACCCTGGTCCTGTCTTATCGCAGTAGCTGCCTTCCTACTATTTCGCAATGTTTTCTCGCGACTTTTAGCTCCCGACATGGCCGAAATCGTCTGGAAATTTAGACGACGTCAGCGATCAACCCGCCAGTATATCCACCGGCCAGCACTGTTGACGTGGAATCTGTATACTCTGCTTCACCTTAATAATTTAAAAAGCGGCCGGTACTTTGAGCCAATGGGACCAACCAAACAGCATCAAAATGCGACATCATGGGGTTCGTCCATCTTTCTGTACATGTTCATCACCTGAGCCAATAAAGATTCTTCTTCCTCTTCTTATTATTATTATTATTAAACCAATCAAGTGCAGCCAACGATCCGTGACTTTTGCTTTTAGAATGTGTGTTCTTGGTTGTATGTGGTCGAGCTCTCGACTTTGCTCTGACCTGAGATGAAACAAACTATACAGTGAGTAGAGACGCTGTGAAATACATATTTGCACCATTTTGTTGTCCTCCTACTTCTCTAAATATTACAATCAACCAACAATAAAAAATAAACTTTTTTTTCCCTTTGTTTAAAAGTTTATTTAGGCGCAGTGTGGTGCAATTCTTAACAAAATTTGCACTTTGGCACAAGATACAGACACTTGTTTACGGCGGAATTTGGCACAAATGGCGCAGCACTTCCATCACTGCAGAAAAGACTTTGCCAGCCATGCAACAGTAGTACTAGCAAATATTACAAGAATAAATACAGGACAGTAAACATTACACTTAGCTGTAACAAAAATTGAAGGCTCACTGAAGAGGGTTGCAGTGAGTAACTACAAGATACAGCTTGTGAAAATTTATTAGAGGCCCCAATTCCATGAGGAAGGAGTACACATTTCTATGTCTTATCTCTACTCCACCGTGGCCAATTCTATGTCAGTCTAAGCCCTTTGAATATACTGAACCTAGGAACTTATCCCAAACTACTTGCAGGAAATTTCCAACATGAGAGAAAACACAACTTGCACATAACAATCTGGCTTTTTTTGTGTCTTTTGGGACATCATGTCCTACCAATCAAACAGAGAAAGAGAGTCAGCAGGCATACATACCTGCTTCAGCTCTGCAATGCTCATTCGACTGAGTTTCTTCATCTTGCGCTTGGACAGCTTGGGTTTCTCGTCTGCCTTCATCTGAAACGATGTGGGTCAAATAATTACAACTGTGAGGAAAACAAAATTCTCACTTCGGAAATTTAACGGAGGTGCAAAAGCTATCCTCGAAAACTGTAATTTAGTTACTTAAATTGAAGCAGATAGACTTACAGGTACATGCTTATATGTGCACCTAGCTATAGTTACAGTTATGCAAAAAAAAGAAGCCGGTCCGCGACCACCATGCAACGCGCGCGACCAGTTCTCCTCGACCTGTGGTTGGTCTGTCGTTGCGGTTGTTTCCAACGCAGCGGGGGAAAGTTGGGCTCGCTCCCACTCCTTGCGTCGTGAACAACACGTGTGTGCATCCCTCCGTCGCTATGGCAACTGACGGTTGCAGACCCTTGCAACGGTCGTTTCGGTTGTTCCAGTCGTTGCGGCTGCTACGGACGCATGCGTGTGAACGGGCCGCCCTCTCTTTGCTTCTCCTCGCTTCTTCGAGCAACCTCCTTGCCATCCTTGCCCCCGCGAGTCAACGCGAGTGCCGCTTCCGGCTAGTGCCGTTAGCGCCATTATCTAGTGTCGCACAGGGAAGCGTGCTAGCTGCACCGGTCGGTCGGCGGGCTGTTCCAGAAACCGCACTATAACCGGTATTTCCCTTTGCACGCCTGCATTTTAAGTGGTATGTAATTACATGAAGTTGTGTGGGAGGCGAACCGGTGGTTGAACAAATCCGCGTTATACCCGGTCCTGCGCTATAAGCGGTTACGTTGTAAATGGTCTATACTGTAGCAGGTACAAACTGCTCTAAAGCAGGTAAAAGACTGGGCAGTCAGGACGGTGCGAACTCTGTGTTTCGCAAGGTGACTGGGGAAGTGCTTTTGCGAGGTATGCGGAATATGCAAACGATTTCGTTATGCCCGTCGTTTGCGTCTCTCCGGCAAGACGAATAAGATGATCTACAAAGGCATAATCACAAGCCAAGATTTACGATAACAGTACACATTCAATTCAAACAACTTTACGTAAGGTGGCGGACGTTCGGTTCACCCAGTGTGAATCTCGAAGACCTCCAGAGCGAAATGACGAGAACATACCTGGACATGTTTGTCGCTACGCGAACGCCCGATCGCCTCCAGCCAGATAGCAATCAGATTGTCGTTTTTCGGGGTGACATGGCTGCTGGAAGACTCGCTGTCGCGATTTGGCAGCTCTTTACAGAGCAACGGCGCCGCTTTACAAAAACTGACATCTCCAAAAAGTTAACATTTGCATGCGCAAGCAAAAAGAAAAAAAGCATCCTAAGAAAGCAAAGAGGAAAACGAAAATAACAAACCGCGCTATGAAAGCCAAAGCCCCGCATCGTTTCCTATCACTAACACCTGCAACAGCTGCTAAACACACAATACTTCACTTCAGGCAGTCTCACTCAAGCACCTGGGTCAACGCAAAACACTGATCACTTCGGCGAAACTAGTCGAGGTAGGCGAGACAGACGGGAGACTTCGGCAGCCATGAAAGGACGGCAAAGCTTTTGTTTGTTATGGTATGAATCCAAACAGAAGTGCCCGTCTTGTGAACCTTTTGTAAAAAAATTATAACTTTCATTATACGGGTTATTCTTTAAACGAAAAAATATGCCGCTCAAAAGGAAATTACAACATATAACAAAGGTTTAACAACCAAGATCTAAGCTGTCAATCACTCTTAGCCAATGAGAAGTATAGCAGCCAATCGGCGCTAAGTGTCACTGAACACCAACTTTGTGGCGCGCGATTGAAAACGGACGAAATAGCCGCAAACTAAGATCAGTTTCGCGCAATAAATATTGCTGTAAATGTTTTTTTCCCTCCGCGAATTTTTTTTTTTTTTTATACTTGTCTAAATTAGTTTGTTTAAAAAAAAACTTTATTTTCTTTGCAGTTACCCTTTAAAGATGAAAAACATTTTTGGCGAAATTGCTAGGCAATTGTGTTGTATACGTTAAAGGTTCTAGCATCACAAACGTTTAGCGATGCTCTGAACTTACAGACGCCAGATGTTCACGGCGCTCTTCATCAGATACCAACTATCAAGCGTACCATGTGTACACTTGATAGTTGTTCCTAGAATTAAGCGATACTACCGCTAATCGGACTGATAAACCTGGCAATCTTGCAGAGCCTCCCATACTTGCGATCTCCTCTCCCTCAGTGCGCACAGGTGGTTGAGCTCCTCCTCGCCTACACCACTGGTCACACGACCGCACCATTAACCAAACCGTGTCAAGCACGTTATTCCTCCTCTCCCACCCGTCAACCAATCAGTGTCGAGCCTCGCGGCCACACTTTTATCAGGGCTTCACGAAATGCCGAACACCTAGCCAAAGAACGTCTCACGTTAAAACGTTTCCTGCAACTTCGGACAAAGCTCCAGACAAACGGCAGCCATAATTTGCGGAACCAAAATGGCGGAGGTGCCGACAGCATCGCGACATCCGACGGCATGGCGCTCCGGCGTTCGCGACATCGTTTGTTGCTGCTTCGGGACCGCTTTTGACGTGCAGGCGGAATACGACGCTAAACGCAATGATTGAAAACACTATACACGCGACATAAATTCAGACTTGAGAGGAGGTCCTTGGGGAGGACAGGCCACTCACGTCATCGTCGTCTTTGTCGTCGTCCAGATCGGCGGGCTTCTTGCGCTCCAGCAGGCGCTGGGCGATGGCGGCGGCGTCCTGCGCCGGGGTGGAGCCTTCCGCCCCCGGCACCTTGGGCTTCTCTGGCTCCTGCAGCTTGAACTTCTCAAAGATGAGCAGGAACTGGTAGTAGTAGGGGTCCTTAGTGTCTATCGTCTCCTGCACATAGCTGGCACAAGCAGACGGCGGTCCACAATGAGCGGGGCAGGAAACGACCGCTGTATTTTCCAGACTGTGGTCCACCGACTACGGAGGTTTGGAAGCCAATATTTTACACTGTGCAAACTAAACAAGGGTCTGTTCATTAAAGTTGCTCGTTATCAGTGCAGTTGTCGCCCAGTGCAGTTCTTGAAATCATGCCATTTCTCAGTGGGCATTATTTGGCAAAAAAAAAAAAAAGTCGAGAGTGCCAAATGAACGCTGTTACATCTGTGGCGCACACTTTGTAATGGGTACCTCTATTTCATAGGCTACCGACGAGATTGCCATGCGTCGTGAAGCCTCGTTTTAGAGCGGTTTTCCAGGCTCGCACTCAAAAAGTCTAAGTCTTATTATTATTATTACTATTAAAATGCCAAAGCTTGGCACTGTACGACAGATGGGGGCCGACTAGCTTACACGGCTGACTAGACGACGTTCACAAGGTACATTCACAGATGTAGCTTACCCGGGTTACAATGGTGCGCAACTCAACAGAACTCACTCAATGTCCACGTCCACCTCCTCCTTGATCTCCACATCCTTGCCGGCTTTCTTGGCCGCATCCTCTTGCTGCTGCTGCTGCTTGCGCTGTGCCCTCCTCTTCTTCTTTTTCTTCTTCTTCTTGCTCTTCGACTGGAGCAGCAAGAGGGAGACAACATTAGGCAAGGTATATCCTATGCAGACAACGACTTCGTATATTGGAACGTCCCGCTAACGCCGTCTGCCCGTCTGTGCCTGCTGTGTGATCTTCGACACAGCAGCACGGACTGCAAGATCAGATACACTGTGCTACACGGGTAGCTTGAACGCAACAGCGACATTTCGTTGCAATCCATTCACATAGTTTTAGCACGCCAAATTTTACCACAGAAATTAGAGTGGTCCAGAAGCAAAGTTCACTACACTGGCAGCGACAATAACCAGTTTTCAGTTGTGCAAGAAAAATTGGGGAGATTAGAAGTCGCCTGTTGAGACCAACCGTGCTCCGATTCCTTAAAGTGCCTATCATCTCGTACCATCCCCAATAATGTAAAGCTTTTCCAATCCAGGCAGTTGTAGTACACCCCTGACCTGTCCAAGCAAAAAAGACGAGCAGTGTCGAGCATGTTCTCGACAATAAACCTTTTCTGCTCTGCCAGTCCAGCTTGCCTGCAGTAAGAGGAAGTCTGAACCAACCGGCAAGTTGTGTTTTTGTTTAAATTTTCGTCATCTCAATAATGAAAGCTGCGCTTCTCAAACACGCTCACTGACTGACAGCCAATTTGAAGAACACATTACGAAATGCTAAATGGTAGCACTTGAAAAAGAGTAAAGCATCCAACCTCAGGTGGTGCTTTCACAGCCTCTGCCTCCTCATCTTCTTCGTCGTCCCCTTCGTCCACGGCGACGAGCCTCGGCGGTTTTGTGGGCACCTGTTTTTTCTCAATTGCTGCGCAGACAGGATTCAAGGCACAAAATCAAAACCATCCAATCTCGATATCGTAAGGGCTGTGCACCGATCGCCGCTTTTGTAAAGACAAAAAAGTGATAGGACAGAAACGAATGATTAGAGCTAGTACAAACTGCACTAAACTACGGGAAACATACATTAGGCGATCAATACTGGCAGAGCGCATTAGTATTTTAAAACAGAACCACCCAACCTACTTTGAATAGGAAACCTTCACTGAATTGTTGATGGAAATAAGGCTCGACTTCCTGCCCTCCAGATCAATCAAAAACCATTATTTTCAGCTTACCATCACCCAAAAATGCACTGTTTCCCTTTTTAGCAAACACTCTGACGGAGTTTGCCAAACTTGTGGTCGAAATGGGTCACACGGGAGTCACTTCTACTGAAGTATTTAGGAGCTGCATTTCACAGTCCACACACAAAGATACGTGCCCTTCTGCACCCCTCAACATTATGTCCACAGGCAGCAGTATTATTCCAAAATGGGTGCCCTCTTTCTGTAAAGGGGTCACACACAGCTGTTCTTCAGAAAAGCATCTCAGGAAAAAAAGCCCAGGTCTTTAAATATCCACGTCAAACTTTAGTCAACCCCGCAAACTAAGCTTCTTCGGAAGCGATTATTTGCTCGAGATGCGCAATTCTGAGATCCAGCGTCGTGCAACTAGGGAGATTCGTGTCTAGAACCAACCTGGTTTCTCAGCAGGAGCCTCTACGGGCGCCAGGGCGAGCTCTTGGGCACGTTCAGACGTGTTGGCAAAGATCTCTTCGATGACTTGTGGAATCTCCACCTCCTCAACCTGTTCTGCTGGAGGCATTGTCTGAAGAGAGAAGCATATTTCTGCACTGTAACATTCAGGTTGCCGCTGCCTTCGCTCAAAACTCGACTGTGATCGGGTGACGGTCCATGAACCGTAAAATACGGAGCAAGCGCCCCTCAAAATTGGGAGATAATCGTGGAAATCTGGGGGAGGAGTGCTTGCTAGGTCCAAGAACGATGCAGAGAGCGCACGCGCTTGGCTGGGCCCTCGCTCGGTCCGACCACCGAACTCGGAATGGCCGTCGTTTGCCTAGACGGCAGAGAACGCTAGCACGTAGAAATGGAACCTCGACGTCCTTCTCGCCTGCGAAAAAGCGTCCTATGACGCTTCACGCAGTTTTCACATCGGTGGCTCTCGGCACGATTCCACTGTTTGAAAACGGACCACGGGCCACAGCAGGTTCGTTGACATCAATATATCCAATGACGAAGCATGTCTGATGGCCAGGCAATTCCCCGAACCCAATTTTGATGGTCGTGCGCGCCATGCGGTTAAGCCGTTTCTTGCTTACGCAAATTCCCACCTGCGGCCGAAACTCGCGCGCGTGTGCTGCCGTGCTTCGTTTGGCTTAGTTTGGCCCGGCCGCTCGATGGCTTAATTGACTCGGCGGACGTGCAGGAAAAAAAAGGAATCAATACCGACAATCACGGCGCGGGGTGCATTCATTACGAGAGTCAACACGGCTTACTGAGCAAAATTAAAAAGCGATCAGCTACGCAGCATGTACCGTAGAATACCGCGCATTCGCCCATTCCATACTAAGCGCCCATTCCCAAATTTGCAAGATCTGAGAAAATATGAACAGTACAATTATATGTAAAATTGATGACTGGACAGTGCCCATCCCCCATTTTTTTGCAATTCCACTAGAGCCCGGTTATATCACACTCAGGTATTTCGAATTATTTGTTTATATCAAAAAGTCCAAGCATCCCCTTGAAAATCACATGTAATACTATAGGAGCGTTGTCTTTTTGTATTTAACTCGCATGGCGGGGACGTTCGATATAAGCGAACAAAGCCCGGCTGCCCGTTGCTTTTTCGCGATCCGATTATGCCGGTGGTGAGAACATTGCTTGCGTTGCTGCCAAGCCAGCATACATGCGGTAAGATACGCAGCAAAAAAGCAGTTGTGGAAAAAGAAAAGAATGATAAAAAAAAAAGTGGAGGATAGCAAAAGCAAGGTGAAGAGAAAGGGCACACGCGCGCGTGCGTAGGGAAAGCAGGGAGTGCCCGCTGTCGGAACGGTAGACTGTGCCCTTTCCCCGAACACTGCTGATGATGCGCGACTCCCTAACCCCAAAATAAAACGAGCAAAAAAAAAAAAAAAATCCTTTGGCAAGTTGAGTGTGTCGACAACAACAGTTGTACAATCGCACTTCCAACACCTTATCTTTGTTTACCGTTTTCTTTTGCCCTTATTGCTTTGCCCGTCTTTTTTTTTTTTGCCTTTCTTTTTTTTGTTGTCTGAATTTAGTGAGCTTTCTTTTTTGTTGCTTGCTTAACTTTTTTTAATGATACTGCCAGGTGCGCGTGTAAGCACGGTGGTGTTCGCGGTCTCCGCCAACTATCCTCTACTGTATTTAGCGGCTCTTGAATGCTTTATTCGAAAAGCTCCAGTTTGTCGCAACCTTCGGTATTAGCAGAGATGCCAGGAAAATTCAACTCAATCTTAATTTCACATATTTTTGTATATCAAATTATTGATATATCAAACTACTTTACGATCCCCTTTGAATTCGATATATCCGGTTTCGACTGTATCTCCAAAGTCTGAGTGGGCACTTGCCCGGTATTTTACGGTAGTCCTTGTCACTTAAAGGCCGACGACCAGACTCGAGATTCTGCAAGGCAGAAGATCCTCCTCACCCTGGAGGAGGAGAAAACAGGCCACGGTGGACGGGGTAGAAGGGGGAGAGGAGGAAGCGGGAGAAAAGTGGAAAGTGCGAACTGGTCGTCGGTCTTTAAGCCGCTCCCACCCGTGCTGTGCATTGGCCACGCACACGCTGCCCGCCGGTTGTGGAGATGATGGCAGCCCACGGCAACTGGGTGCTTGATGTGTCTTGCACATATCCTTGAACTTGTTTAAAATGGGGGGTGGGCGCTCGATACGTCCTTCGACGATTTCTTAGACGTCTCAAGAGTGGGAGTGGGCACTCATTGCGACACGGGCACGTGCTCGGTATTTTACGGCGAGCACTTTTCCTTGCCGAATGGGATGTAACACAGACGCGAGCAAGCTAAACCACGCTAGTCATAGCTCCGGCATGCTAACAGGTACCACGATCAATGCTGCCTCCTGCCAATAAAAACTGCTGAAAGGAACCATGAACGAGACTGTTCCTGTGATGGATGTGTTTATAGCCACTGAAAGAACGAGAAGGACAGGGTGGAATTTCAGTTAATGGGCGCGTGCTGGATGCTGGGCGTCCAAAAGAGACGCCCTGCCATTCTCGTCCTTTTGGCAACCGTAGCACTCCATAACATTTCCAGAAATTACTATAGTGGTACCACTGTATGTCTCTGTTAATACATAGTCTGATTTAAATGAACAAGGTAGACACTGACATAAAGACTGCCAACAGAACGAATGTAATAAGATTTAACTAAACTTCAAAAAAAAATTTTATTAATTTTTTTTTTAATTTTGAGGTTTTCAGTTTTAGAAACTAATTATACACACGCTAAATTTGATAACCATATGCCAAATAGTTATGTTGACATCAAATATTTCCAACATATTGTGAGGCAGTAACGAAGTAAGGGAGTTCAACGTTTGAAAGCATTTTTCTCAGTTCCACTTTTTGCTGCAAATTTCATAGGAAGGAATCTTTTGTTTGAAAGTAGAAGTATTCTGATACCACAATCAAGATTTTCCTGAACTGAAATTTTCTGGGGAATCGGCCTATCTACTTTATTTTGTTTTGTTTTTTTAAGTTGAAGTTCTCATTGAAAAAAAACTATGTTTTCAAAAATGGACAGAGGACAGATATGCATCTCATATTTTGAGATAATAACTCTTCCTGAAATATTTATTTTAGTTATAAAAACTAAATAGCCCGAAGTCCCACATCCCCCGCTTTGTATTCAAACAGTCATTTGCTTTGTTTGCATATCTTAGATTTCTTAATGAAGAGTGAGACACCTTCTTATGCAGGTATGTAAAGTTGTCCTAGAGAGCTGAAAGTTTGCAAAGTACACCTACATCTGACGCTAAATCTCCCCTGCAAATTTCATTCCGATCACTTCGGTAGTTTAGAAGCTGAATCTCTAGCCCGTGTCCCCCCTTAAAAGGCAACTAAAGTAATTCTGTATTTGAGAAAAAAACAACAGCAATACTTAAATCCATTTTTGTTTGGCCTCCGGGATTACAAATATCAAAATTATATTTCAGATTAATGCGCCAGTGATCATTAACAGCACTTTCAAGGTGGCGCCTTCCCGTCGCGTTCGGAGCAAGGAGGGAATCAAGACGTATTATAAAGAGATCTCAACATCTCCGCGCCTTCCACAAGCCTTACGAGAGCAGTCAAAAATGCTGCATGCACTCCCTCGTAAGCAGCATGCGCAAGGCAGCTGAAACTTCCGGGTATGATGTCACACCCAGCACTAGGCTTTTCGGTTTTTCTCGCATCTATTGATAAGTTCGGGTCAAATGCTTGCTAAATTCGTAGTCCCACTACAAAAGATACACTAGAATTCACCTCCGACCCATTTTTCTTTCTTCAAAAGCCTTTTGGCTTCTTTTTAAAGGGACACTGACAGGGTATTTATGCTCGCCGAGGTTTTTAGTTGTCCGTGACATATGAGAGCTCAACTACCCAGAACAAAATTTGCGGCTCGAAATTCGGTTTCTTTCCGCCCAAAAACCGCCGATCAAGAATTGGCCGGTTCGAGTCTCGCTCACTCTCTTTTTCGCGGTCACGGGCCGTTTTCTAAGGTATCGATGCGACCACCAAATTTAATCAAAGTCGTAGGTCACTGAAGGCACACACTCAATATTAAAAATAGAAAAAAATATGAAACCAATTTTTTGTGGCTTCTAAAAAGCTGCAAATACGTTGATTGAAAAAAAAGTTCCACAGACAACCGGAAGCATTCTGTGCGTTCGTCGTTTCGCGTATCGTGGGACTCACGGGGACGGCGATGGCAGCGGACGACGGGCGTGGGGCCTCTATTTCAGAACTGTCGTTCGCGGTACCGGCGAATTCTGTCTACCGTTAAAAGAGAAATTTGGGACTGATCAAAAGAATTGGTATTCATCCCGTACGACACGCCCGGCCACCAAGCCGATTAGAACGAAGACGTCGCCGAGCCGTCGCTCCCTTCTCGTGGCTGAAGACAACGCTCGCGCAAACGTCAAGCACGACGTGTCTACTTCGAGTTGAATATGCACGCGTACGATTTCTTTACTAGGTGCGAATGTCCCCAAAGTGTGGTGCTTCCCGACTTCGACCCGGGAGTGCTTTTGCTAGAGAAAAATCGAGAGCAAACTTTCCAACTTACAGTTTACCGGCTGAATTATTACTAAGGAAAGAGATCCACCAGATACGAGATGCCCCAGTAGCTCAGTGGGAAAGACGTCTGTTCCACACGCGGTAGAACCGGGTTCGATCCCCTGTGAATTTTTTTTTTTTTTTTTCAAACATTTTTTGATGTTTACATATCTTTTTCTTTTTTTTTACAATCATCACTGAAGAAACAAACAAATGTTGTGGACGATACTTCGCTGAATTAAACGGTATGGGATTTCCGTTTTGACACCTGCGAACTCAATGTAATCACTTTCCACAAAATGCAAGGAGCATATAAATCAGGTAGTGTTTGCTTTCCGAGGTGCCCGTAAATGTTCTACAGGAATTGCAGCCAGCCATTGGTCCCGATCCCGTTGGTCTTTCGGAAACTCTGTCGCACAATGCCACTTTTTTTCGGATGCAGGACATGTGAGCCAGGTCTTCACGCAACATCTTGGGTTTATTCTTTTCGGAGCCGATCATGGAGATTCACTACGGGCACTCACTACTCATCTCCAACTCCTCAATGTACAAAACAACTCATCTCGGAGTACAGAACAACGAGCGGAACAAACATAACTGCAAAAGCGCACGGCAAGCAGTTCCCGCACGCCGCATCGCACGCCGCATGTCGTGTCGTCTGCTACCGGAGAAGCGAAAAAAAAACGCACGGTCGGGTGTAGCCACGTGACTTCCGCCAGTCACTCTCTTCTCTCCACTTCTCCGACCTCCGTCGGGTTTCGGTTTCGGTTTCGAGCAGTTGTGTCTTTTGGCTTTATTAAAGAAATACGCTACTCTGTTGTAAAATATTAATTGGGTAGTCCTCCGACACCATAATGAAGCGCCTGGCAAAAAATTAAAATTTTTTTTTTGGGGGGTGTCAGTGTCTCTTTAATGACCAGCTATCTACCGAAAGTTGCGTCACAACAAAACTCTCCCGTACTGCAACATTAGCAGACCAAAAGACAACTCAGACGCCACACCAAAGAGAAAAGGCAAAACCCAGACAAGCGGCACCTGAGCAACGTCCAGAGGCATCGCGGGCGGCTGCGGCACCCCCGGTGGCGGTGGCACCATGTGCTGGGAGGGCGGCGGTCCGATTCCGGGCGGTGGCACGCCGCGTGGCACCATGCCGGAAAGAGGCATTCCGGGTGGCACCATGCCTGGAGGCCCGATTCCTTGGGGCGGCATTCTGTGGGGCATTACGCCCGGCGGCGCCACCCCGTGTGGTGCCATGCCGGGTGGCGCCACTCCGGGTGGTGCCAGGCCGTGGGGCATCAGGCCCGGGGGTGCCACGCCCATTGGGGGCCGCGGGGGAGTGGGGGGAGGCTGCTGCGGCAGTACCGCCACGGCCGGTGCAAGAGCCGCCACAGGTGTGGTCGTCACCAGGCTTACCTGTGTGGATGGTCAACATTGTCGAGGTACTTGTATACAGAATGAAAAGTGCTTTACTTCGAGCTCACAAAGTACTCTTAAATGCGACAGCTCAAAGCCTTACAAGACAAGATGCATGCATCAAAGTTTTATTAACCTATTTAAGGGGGACATGGGTCTTTGGAGCCAAAATCTTTTTAAAATGTCAATCTCAATTTTCATACCTACAGCTGTTGTTCTTATGACCAGGCCTCTCATTTTGTGGTTTAATATTTGAGCTATAAATAAATGTACAATATTCATCCAGGCTGAGTGTGCATTGAAGTTATCTCTAAAACACCATTTTCACAGAATACATGTTCTGAATTTACAATTTTGCAGGAGCAATATCTCAGCATATAAAAAATAAAAATATAGTTTTCTTTTTCTTGGTTTTTTTTTTTCATCACGTAGCCTAATGTTTGAGGCATACAATTTTGAGCCAATTTTTCCATATATGTCTAGAAAATATTTCTACTGACCTTTTGTTTTATTGCTTGGTAGCCACACATTGAGCACTCTGCACATATCGCACATCAAAAATCAATATTTCTTCACTCCAGCTTTCACACCTTTGCCAATACCCAGAATCACCTCCGATGGGCTTGCGCCACGGAATAATCGTCTCAACTACCTTTTAACAACTCTGTTCATATCCGTCTTGTATTAGCCCCAGAGATGTCATCAAATCAGTCTAGGCAAAAAGAAAAGGGTTTTCCCCCTTTTCGTGAGGCTGTATCTATAAGGTCAAAGTGTCATTAGACAGAGAGAGGCTGACGAGCGCCATCTTAGACTAAAGGGTCAAGGTTGTAGGTCGGCCACAGTTGTACCAGCGACAAGTCATGACGCGGTACTCACAGGTGTCAAAATTGTGGTCTGCTGGGAGATGACCGAGGTCACGGTGCCTCCAGGAGCCGTCGCCGAGGCCGGAGTCAAGACAAGCGTGGCGGTGGGAGTCGCGGCGGTTGGCACAGCCACCTGGGTGGTCGCTGCGGCGACCAGGACCGCAGGTGCCAGTGGTGTCACCATCACCTGCTCTGTCACGGCCAAGATCTGAAAAGAATGACAAGATTTGAAACCGTCCCCCGTCCGGAAGACCTCGCAAGGTTACGCGCCCCGCCCCCCCAACCGACCTGCTAAACTACGGCCCCTGCGTATTAAAATGACCACTCAGAAAAAATTTAATTCAAGTACCACATCTTTCAGACTATAGTATGAGGACTGCGCATGTTTAGAAGGGAAATGAAAAGCGGTACAGAGTATCAACAGGCAGAGTGTGCACCAGCGGGTGTGTACAATCCAAGGAGAAACATTTTTTTCAGCCGAAAGCTTCCCCTGCGAACTATACGCAAGGTGTGGACTACGGTGCGGAAAATATACTAGTATGTACTATACCCTTTTGCTACAACCATGACTACCCTGTCCAAGAGAACCCTAATTGATCCGTCATTTCCAAAAATGTAAGCATCCAAGCAAAGGAAATGATGTGTTATCACCATTACCCTAATTTGATGCCGGTTTCTAAATTTTTGCACACACCAAATGTAATTCTTTTGCATGTGTTTATACATTGTGAAGTTAGTCAGCCCCAATGGGGTTCTGGTGTCTCAGCTATAAATGAGCAACTTGAATTATCAGAAATTCATCTAGATACAATGTGAGGCAAAGTAGTGATTTGCTATGGGAATAGCTACACACATACCAAGCAGATTTTTTACACTTTCCTTTGCACAGGTCTATTTATAAGCAGGCACACACATAAAACATTGGCAAAGTTCGAAGCGAATAGTGGTTTTGGCCGAGTATTTTCTAATCGAATATCGAACAGTTTCTCCGAGCCTTTTACTACCATTGTACCATGCTTGAACGAAAATTCAGCTGAACTTGTGAAGTTTGTTCCCAGCCTTGCACTTGTCCACTTCTAAGCTCGGTTAGTCTTAATATAACTATATCTACAACCTGTGGCCTCAGAAACTCCAATGCCAACATTGGGGTGCCACGCAAATGACAGATTTTACATAAAATAAAAAATTAAAGAGACACCCAGCTATCCTAATCGAGGGAAAATGTATATCTGCTTGCTACATGCAAATATTCTTTCTTTAATCTCGAATTTAACACCCTCAGAAAAATTAAAAAGACAAGCACGAATAATGAAAGCAGATTGTCGGGTCAGTACTGCTTGCATAATCGCAGTGGGTTAGTCCGATCGAGTGCGCTTCTTACCGAGCACCAGTGTACAGCGGAAAAGCAATGCCTGCGAGCTTTGCGGGTGCACTTTCCCGCAGTATACAGGTGATCGATGAGAAGCGCACTCAACGGGGCTAACCCGCCGCTATGAATAAATACTAACCCGCCGCTATGAATAAATAGTATGAATTAAGCAAAAATGCTGTTTGAATGAAAGGGCATCTCCAGTCGAAAACGAAACCAAAATGAATGACTGGTATCGCTTTAGTGGCACGAAATATGATCACAGCCGAAATATTATATCGAAGTGAAGCCGCACACTCCACTAAAACCTATTTTAAAGATGCGACCAGCTGCTCTTAAGCGGGCGGCGAACGGGTTAGCTTTTAGTCAAGGAACACTGGCACAGCACCCTCGTGATGTCACGTCGCGGTGGGGATGGATGGATGGATGGATGGATATTGGCTGTTCCCTTTATATCGGGCGGTAGCTTGCGCCACCTAGCCTTAAAATTTTTAATTAAGAAATTTGTTCTTCCTTTTTTTTTCTTCTATTATTTTTCCCTTTACCTCTCTGCAACTATCACCGGGCGGGTAGAGTACTTCCCAGGAAGACCTTTGGGGGATTGGGCAAAAAAAAAAAATTAAACACCGCCCCCCGCCTCCTCCCCCGGGCGAGGGAGTCGCCAATTTTCCTCTGGTCAACCTCGTCGGTGTTCCTCCTTAAACCACACCCACTGGGGGACAGGTGTGAGACTTTGGGCCGGAGCCATGCGGGAGGGAGTCCCAATATTCCTCTGTCCCTCCTGACCCCCAGCTGTGCTAATTGTTCGTCCTTTTTTCATTTTCCCTAGACTGTATCCACCAGTTTTCCAATCTCCTTTTTGTGATGGTAACCCTTTTTTTCTCCATTCCTCCATCCTCGTCCGCAAAACCGAGCGCCCCCGCCAAATCCACCGACCCCTCCAGGAGAGCAGGACGAAGCCTCGTACATTCTAAAACAAGATGTTCCATTGTTTCGTTCTCATTTTGGAAAATGGCACATAATGTATCCATTTTTTCGAATTTAGCCCTATACGTTTTGGTTCTTAAAACCCCCGTTCTAGCCTCAAATAGTAGGGAACTACCCCGTGAATTATCAAAAACCTGTTCTTTTCTTATTTCCTGCTTATGAGACCTGTAAATTGCTAAAGCTGATTTTCCTTGCATCCTACCACTCCACATTTTCCTTTCGGCTTCTTTTACGCCCTTTTTTATCGTTGTGTTCCGCTCAGTCTCCTCCCTAGATGACAGATATTTAAATTTTAGTTTTCTCGTTCGGTTCGTCCATTTTGTATTCAAACTCTTCATGTATAAATACTTGTACACCTTCCTTGCCCATCGTACGTCCTCCATTTTTGTTAATCTTTGATCAAATTTCAATTTGCTGATTGCCTCTCTACTCTCAAAAGACGACCATCCCATGTCCCCTTGTACCCCTTCATTTTTGTTAATCTTTGATCAAATTTCAATTTGCTGATTGCCTCTCTACTCTCAAAAGACGACCATCCCATGTCCCCTTGTACCCCTTCATTTGGCGTGTTCCCATGCGCCCCCAGTGCCAACCTGCCTACACTTCTCTGTCTGACCTCCAATCCTGTCTGAACCTCTGATCGCATGCACAACACTGCATTACCAAACGACAAACCTGGCACCATGACTCCTTTCCAAATGCCTCGAACTACTTCATATCTATTATAATTCCACAGTGCTCTATGCTTCATAATAGCCGAATTTCTTTTCCCCTTTTTTATTACATTTTCCTCATGTTCCTCTAAATATTTCTTTCTCTGTTTCACCCAGACCCCCAGATATTTGTACTTATCTACATAGTCTATTTCAAAGTTCTGAATTTTCAGCGGCTCCCCCTTTTCTTCATTAAAAACCATCACTCCAGATTTTTCTCTACTGAAATTCAGACCAAGCTTGTCACCCTCTCCTCCACATATCCCAATTAGTTTGTCCAATATTTCCCGGCTATCTGCTATAAGTACAATGTCGTCTGCATACATCAGTCCAGGTATGACTTGGTTTACTTTGCTCCCTCCCTCCATATACGTCAGATTGAATCCCAAGTTGCTCTGCTCTAACCTGTTTTCCAATTCGCTTAGGTATACCATGAAGAGCAGTGGTGACAGGGGACAACCCTGTCTAAGCCCTCTTTTTATTGCTGCTGGTCTTGTAGTTTCTGCCTCCCACTTTATAACCACCTCATTATTTGTATACACTTCTTGCAAGAATCTAATCAAATGTGCATCTAGCTCATACCTCCTCAGCAGTTCCCAGAGTTTTTCCTGACTCACATTGTCGTATGCCCCTTTGATATCTAAAAATGCTGCCCATAATGGTCTATGGTTTGTCGCTGCAATTTCTATGCACTGGGTGGCTATAAATAAATTATCTTCAAGCCTTCTATCCCTTCGGAAACCATTTTGGAGCTCACCCAGAATCTGCGTGCTTTCTGCCCACTCTTCCATTCTTCTCTTCACTATCTGCATAGCTAGCCTGTATATGACCGAAGTTACTGTTATTGGGCGATATGATTTAATACTATCTTTATTACCTTGGCCTTTATATATTAGTCTCATCTTGCTTAGTTTCCAATCATTGGGTACGTCCCCCCCTTTAATTATTTGGTCTATCACCTGTTTTAGCTTTAATTTGCTTGCTTTACCTAGGGCCTTTATTAGTCTGATTGGAATGTCATCTGGACCTGTTGCTGTTCCTGCTGGAATCTTACTTTCCGCTCTGTCCCATTCTCCTATAGTAGTTCCCATTGTTTTGGCTCCCTCTTCCTCCTGCACGTTACTGTGATTGGTGTTCTCCAGTTTTCCATTTGGTTCCAACTCCGAAAAAGCTTCTTCAATTGTCCTCCTGATGTATTCTCGAGCCTCTTTACCTTCAACCTTTATCCCCTCCTGCGTGGTGAGTGAGTGCTGGCACGACTCCGTCTTTTTTCCCTGTGCCTTAATGTGCTCCCAAAATCTTTTTGCTGCATTTCTGTCGTTCTGATTTATCTCCATCATCCACTGAACCCCTGCGCTGCCAATTTTGGTCTGTATGAGAGCTGATGCCTCCCTTTTTCTATTCAGAAAATTTTCCCATTTCGCTGCTACTTCGTCCGGGGTTGCTCCCCTTTTCTTTGCCCACCTATGTTCTCGAGATGCCTCTTGACGTTGTGATATGGCTGCCTTAACCGCTTTATCCCACCAGATTTTAGGTTTGTGCTTTTTCCCTCTCTTTCCTCCTCGCTTACCTCGGTACTTTTCCAACTCAGTCTTAAAAATGCCCACTAAATCCTCATATGACCACTGCGGTTGATGATCAATGTTGCCATCCCTCTAGGAGATAGTTTCCTTTTTGCCATAAACGCTCAAAACCAAACTTTTAACCGCAATATTTATAAAACTAGACACAATATCGAGAAAAAAAAAATATATGTCGTAATTTACGGACATTGCTTTAGCTAAAAACACTCGCAACCCTAAGTTGAAGAATATTGGCTGGAGCTGCCCTTTAAGCAGCCTATAAATGCATTGAAACCATAGCGGGGATACTAAAATTTTTCTGATTTGTTTGAATTAACCAGAAGTATGAAATATCAGAGTCTGAATTACCACGAGTCTTCTATACAACTACAGTTGAATCTCGTTAATTCAAGCTCGAGGGGCACCGAAAATTTGTTTGAATAAAGCAAAGTTTAAATTCCCGGGAGTTTCCTTCCATAAAGACGCATAGGATGCGACCTGCATGCTAGTTTGAACTATCCACAAGTTTCAATTAAAAGAGTTTGAATTAATGAGAGTCGACTGTACCAGCCTGCGGTCTAACGTTGCTAATGCAGTAGTGATACACGACCACACGCCGGAACGACGCTCATCCAGATCGACGAGCATTGTACCGGCATGTGGCCACGTAGCTGTGGGACGTGCATGCTGCATGTCCCACAGCTTTGTCAGGCTTTTGCTTTCCAAAGTAAAGATGTAGAAGTATGCACATACCATTTCCATTCATGTCTATGTTTTGCTGGCATTTACTGGAACCCTTCCTTACACTAAAGTTTTAATACCAATCAGACCTTATTGTTTGTACACCGTAAGACCCCGTTAGCGCAAACAGGCGATTCTTAATTTTTCTTCTAAAATGAAAGAGCTGTCATCAATACTGTGAGGATGGAAAGTGCTTCCTTAGAGCACTAACCTAAGCGGTAGAATTCAATGCCTTTTCGAAACAAAATTGAAAAAAATCGCCGATGTCATGTTAGCACCAACAGAGTAGTGCGGTGTACAATTTTAACCGTGAACCTTTAGGCACAGTCCCAATGTGACAAAGAACTGCTTACAGGCACTTGCTGTTGCAACTGCTGCTGCCTCTCCTCTTGGAGGATTCGTGTCTGCTCCAGTATCTAGTGGACATACACAGAAACACAAATTTAGTGTACCTCAACAATGGTAGTTGTTTTGCAGCACTATTACTCACGATAAGAAGGGCAATAGCAGCATAAAACAATTCTCAGGAAAGGAGAGGAAAGGAATAAAGCACCATTCGACACAAATAAAACAGAAAATAAACTCTATCCTTGTTTTTTCTACATTCAATAGAAAAGCGTAGTATTCTTCTTTCAAATCAAAGGAAGCAAGCTCCATGAATTTCAATTACAAAGCTGTACACCATTAGGCCATTTGATATGGTGCTGTAAATGCATGACTTCATTCGCATAGTGCATCAACACAGAAACTTCATTTGCATAGTGCTTGAACACAGAAATTAGGTACTGTCGTGACCGGTTATAATGAACTCAACGGGAATCGGAAAACACTTCGCTATATCCGCTATTTCGTTATACCAGACTTCGGTTCACAAAGTGCAAAAGGGAATGGGAAATCATGATCGCTACGCTGTAACTGCTATTTCGTTATAACCGGTCTCGACCGTAAAGCCGAACGAGGCACAAGCCTATTCTGGAAAATGCCCAGATTGTCGGGAGCATGAACACAGTCAAGACACCAGTGACCCTGGAGTGCACATGCCCTAAAAAATGTTAAATGTCAGAGCATAGATCTACTTTCTGCAATTCTCTTTAGAAATTCCTATCAACCAATTTTTAAGCATAGATAGTCGACAAACAGCACAGGTGCACAATTGGAGAACCATCTAGCCATACATTTTAGCCCCTAAACCTACAACAGGTGGGGTAAACTCATTAGGTGACTGTCTGACCGCAAGTGTGCGGCACATCAGATTTAACGCGTTGTTAATTTGTGCGGTGGCTAGGAGATGCATTACAATGTGCAATACTAACTAGCACACAAAAAATGTATGTTTCCCATTCCAATCTTGTCATCTCAATCAGGGTGTCGAACCGGAACCGAACCGAACCGAAAACCGGAGCAGAACCGTTATTTTTAGCCGAACCGGATCTGAACCGAACCGAAATCTTCGACGCCATCTTGGAACTGAACCGGAACTGAACCGGAAAAAAATATAACGGTAACCGGTTCAAAACGGTTCGCGGTATTTTTTTTTTGTTAGTAATACAGATTTATTATTTGGGAATAAAAAAAACTGGCAGCTGTATTTCTATATTGATCAAATCGTCATATACAGAGTTGCAATGTATAATAAATCCTGGTTTTCTGCGGCGCTTTCTTATTGGCACTGTGATTAGCCATGTGTCACATCGTCACGTGACGTCATGATGTCAAGACATACTGTCAAGTAGTGTCACATCACGTGACGCCGTGACGTCACGTGACTCACCGCGTAGATTCAAATTAAGGACGTCGCTAGATCTATTAACGTTGTTGATCCCGTGACGTCACATGACATCACAACTTCGCACTGAGAGTCACGTGACACCATAATGTACCCGATTGTCATGATCCCGAGTTGAATGCTCTGGTTCATGACAACCAGCATCGCCAAACATTCAAGTGACGGCTCGTGTTCAACTCAAAGATTATGATGGGCCCGAGTCCCAGTAGAACTAGAAACAGAAACAAACGACAGCGACAAGCCTCAGACACATGCAGCATGTTCGCGATGATACCTTTATACGGCTTTGAGTTGTTCGGTGCTCGCGAAGTTAGCACGAGCGTTTACAAGCCTGCAAATGGTACCATCGTGTGCATGATACACGTGTTTGAGCATAGCCTTCTTTATTCTACGAAGCCTGTCAAATCGCGAAATACTCTGGTTTAAGGCTAGCCGCTGTCGCTGGTTTCTGTTTGTCGCTTTAGTGGGGCTCGGGCATTGTAGCCCAACTAAAACTGGATCTGAAGATCAGCCCATGCTCTCTGCTTTGCCAACCCTGCGTATGACTATGATAAACACTGACGGTGTGTATATTAGGATCAGATCACGTGGCTGATAGTTCCAATTGCGAGTTGAGGAGGGGAAAGCAATTTCCTTTCTTTCTTTCGACTGTCTGCCATTTCGCGGAGGGGCAAACTAATGGATGATTTTGTAAGTTATCAACGTCAGGGATTACATCTTAGCGGTATTTATTGAACTTAAGGTAAAAAAAAAAAAAGCTACACGACCCATTTTACATGTATGCACACCCTTGAGGCTCCCAAACATGTTTGCGTTATTGCTGAACTGCCTCAAAAAGTTGTCCCGAGAATAGAAGTGTTAAAAGGTCTAAATGTGACGTATTAGTCCGACGTTACATGGAACTATTAGTGTGTACAGGAGGGATACCTGAAAAGAAAGATCCTAGTGGCCTCAGGGGGATAGCAGCCGCTCTAAGTCTCACAGGAGTGTCGTTCTCAAGCTCTCCGAGTTTCGACCGCCCTGTATTTTGTTTAAACTTCACAGTGTGGTGCAAAGTAAAAGCAAGAAAGAGTTACTGTTAACAAGTGACACAAATATAATTGCCGAGTGAACACCACTCAATACGGAGCAGGCAATCCCTGAGGAACAAAAAGTATCTTGAGGAGCAACTAAAAAAAAAAAAAAATGGAGTGGGGAGGGGGGTAGTTTTAAAGCATACTGTGTCGTAAAGATCCCTCTGCCCCGCAATTTCGGCTCAGACTACAAAGCGTGGCTTGGAAACGGTAGTGACAGATGGGTAGTTGGTAAAACTTTTATTTGTTAAAACACTCTTGCCAGAAAGCACGTTTTCGTCGTGCGAGTTACTCGCGCCGTGCCTAACGACGATGCACCAAGAAGAAAAATGTGTGTACTAAGGTTGAAAGCTGGGCTAGTTGGTGATCGTTGTACATAATGGAATAAAACAGCGCGAAGATAGAAATAGGAAGAGACACACCAGACAGGACAGAGCGCTGACTCGCAACTACGGCTTCTTTACTCAACGAAAAAGAGAAAGACAAAGAGAAGGAAAAAAGATAAAAATATGCAGGAAAAGAAGAAGAAAAAGAATGAAGAAAAAAAGAAGAAAAAGACATTACTGTACGCAATCACACGCGCACCTTTCACCCATGGTAGCTGACTACGGCACGTGCTGGACCCTCATTGTCAACTTCAGGAACTCCAGCTCCTTGCCTGACAACGCCACTGATGCTGCGCTGATACACTTTTTTCCTTCTCTTTGTCTTTCTCTTTTTCGTTGAGTAAAGAAGCCGTAGTTGCGAGTCAGCGCTCTGTCCTGTCTGGTGTGTCTCTTCCTATTTCTATCTTCGCGCTGCTTTATTCCATTATGTACAAAAATGTGTGCCTCTCAAATACACAGCTTGCACTGAGTGCGAAACTTTTGCAGCGTGAATTTTGCCCCACCGGATTTGATATTCTCAGCAAGAACAACTCGCAATGACAACCACTATCTAGTGCAATTACGTCACGTGCAAACCATGTTAAATACTTCAGCTTTCTGGTGAAGTGCGACGTTCGCAACACCAGCAGTAGACGTCCAAGGTGTAAAGTTATGTAGTATCTATAGCAGTCTCGCGATGATATACGGCAGCCTAATGAGATGTTGGAGCACATGACTGATAAAGAACAGAGTCGTGAAGTAAGGTCCCAAAACAAGTGCACGTAAAACCTAAGATAACATTAGCCTCCCGAGGTAGTATCTCGCGACGTTTCGAGCTGAGGTAAGCTGATGCCCAAAAGTGATTTATATTAGGATTTTTAAAATCTTTGTTTGCCCTGCGCGGAATCTATGTTTAATTCGGAATATCATTTTATGCATTTCTATGCATCTCTTTTTGCAGTGAAGCGTTGTGTAAGGGATTATTTAGAAAAAAATTGCGTGTCATCACCTTATTTCTGCCCATTTCGTGTATTTGCCTTCCGATATATCATGTGACCACAGTGTTTTTTGGCATACCCTGCAACCCAGTATTTTACACTGCAAAACAGCTAACAAAAGCACGTGGCCGAAGACTCAACAGCTGGCGTATTTTCGAGTATCGTCCTTCCGTGTCGGTCTCAGGCGGTTATGTGAACTTCATAAAGTCAAATTTATTGATGATAATAAAAATATACTTATTTCCTGTCTGAATATTTGGCAGCATAAATAGAAGATCCTCACCTCAAAGATATATAAGTAAATGCACCTTTAAATTATCTGAAAGATGTCCTGCAAATCTTTTTCGGCGCTTTTATCCTCTATAGACACGTTATAGCTGATTTGAAAAAGCTTTAAATATTTTTTTTTTATTTTGAAGCTAACTTAAATACTTATATGTTCCTCACGCATATATAACTTCTCAAATATATAGAAGTTTATTATCGCCTTTTTTGTGTTTTTATTATCGCGTTTTTTTACTGGAACGAATGGTGGAACTATGACGATTGCATACTTAAACTCTCAGAAAGTGTCCGATTAAGTAGCTTCCGAATTGAGTAGAGCACGAAATACCACTTTGTTCTATTTAACAAAAATCATCAATTAGCGAGGGTGATGCTCATTTGCAAATTAAATTGACCGGCATTTTGTCAAGAGCAAACCTCAACATCCAGGCTATGCCAGTTTATCCAATATAAGAAAATGTACACATGGGTAAGCACTGTTTTAGGTCAGATTCGATCTCAGTACGAAGGTGCTCATAGATTAGAGTGAACAATTTCAGCCACTCCTTTTCGCATGATTCGTCGCCCGCATCAAGGTGCTGAGAGCAAACAATGCTAGTTAGAAAAACAAGCATTGCGATTGTCGCTCAGTGTTTCTATAAAATATAGACAGGAAGGACTTGTCCCGTTACTTTCGTGACATTTTGAAAATTATATTACCTTAAGCTCAGTCGTCTCGTCATCATATATATATATTGTGAAACGTATTCCGTAAAACACATTTTATGGTATATATGGCAACGAGGTGCCCATTTCATGATTTTATTCACTGTAATTAATTCCTTAGTTCAAGGGCAAAACCACGATTCAACATCTGATACTGCGATACAAAGTTGTACCAATCACGGGTATTTTAGGCAACCTACTTCACTTCTCGAAAACATTTCGATTCAGGTACAATGTGTGTGACTCTGGTAAACGAAGGGATGTTAAGTCGTATAAACTCGACGTTTTGTATGCTAATGTAGATTTTCTTTTCTTGTTGTTTAGGAATAAATAACAGAATTTTATAATTTTGGTACCTGAAAATAAAACTGGATTGAACAAACGATAAAAAAAAAGAAAACTGTATACTGTAAACGACTTATTTTTTGTGGGCTCAATATTTCGCGATTTAGGTCAAAGCTGAAGTTTTGGAATAATTCGCGGGTTGTAATTTTCTCGACCGCGGTGGAATCTCAATATAAATTTCAATGTGTTTACATTTTACCGAAATTGTTCGCGGGACCCATTTTCTCAAGAATAGGTCCTCGCAAAAATCAGATCGTTTACAGCAGTTAGTTTCACGGCATAAATAGTGCCTATTGACAGAACAACGCGAAAAATGTATTCTCAACTTAGCGGTTGAAACCGGTTCGAACCGATTCGAACCGGTTTGAACCGTTATTTTTTGCGCCCCGGAACTGAACCGGAACTGAACCGAAAGCCGTGAACCCGAACCCGAACCGAACCGATAAAAATATCGGTTCGACACTCTGATCTCAATGTTTCAAGGGACCATCCTGGATAAATGTGCAAACTGCAAACATGTTAACAGTCATTTTGAGAGCGTTCAAAATCTCACCTTTTGATGTTTTTCCTCCTCGAGCATGATTTGCTGCTGCTGCGCTTTTCCAAGGAGCTCTTTCTCTTGCTCTAAAAGCCGCACTTGCTCAATGCCCAGTGCTTCCTTCTGGGTCTCCAGAAGCTGCTAGAAAACAAAACGGACACCAGACAACTCTCAATGAAGGTGGCTTTTATGGCTACAAATACAAAGAAAGTAGAAAAGTATTTACTGCTTATAATGACCATGATGACCAAAAAGGCTTGGCCCTATGCAGCCATTTTATGGCTGCATGCCTGACAACTAATCAGAACTTAAGAGGAATGCTGATCAAAGCAGCCTTGCGAGCAACTAGTCCTCAAAAACGCTTTGTGGGATGAGCACGATTGGTATTAGGCACTCGCACACATGGTATGTGCATGCCTTCCACAATGCTGAACAGGGGAGACAGAGGCAAGTGCATGACCAAGTTACCCGTTGAGCTCGATGACTAAGTTCTTCATCAATGCTGCACATAGCTAGTACCTTCGTGCATGCAACGACCATTAGAGACTAGAATGCAATTGTAACCTAGACTGTAGCTATAATCAGGCGGCTATAAATGGAGTGTAGAAAGCACAAAAGTTTTGGCAAGTCACCTCTAGTCGAAGGGTTATTTGACACGTCCCTACGACATACCAAAAATTGGAAAGATAGTTAGCAGTGAATAAAAGATAAAAAGATGTGACGTTTTTGTACAAAAAAGCATTGCTGGACCTCCCGACAATTATGCAACATTGGAACCACAGCGCCCAATAACGATAAAAGGTGAATTATTGCCGTCATCACCAGGTTCACCAAATATAGCGTGACTGAAGCCCCATTTTTTTACAGAAAGGGAGCTACGCTTTGTAGTTTTACAAGAAAAAATGGACCTGTGAAATACACTTTTGACGAAAAGCTCAAATATCCTCGTGCAGGCGTCTATTTTTACGGTCCACTTTAGATCGAGCCTGGCGACTTCAGGCACCCTATAAAACGTTGCATTTGTGTTATCCATTTTAAGTCATCCATTTTAGTACTACTATGTTGTCAAGGTCAGTCAGATGCATTTCGAGTAGATTACACACCCCCTCATTGTGACGTCACCCATCTATCTGACAACCGGTAAATGTGAAAGCACCTTTTGCTGTTGAGGCTCCTGAGGAGGTGGACCTCGTTCAGCATGCTGAGGCGGACCAGGAGGACTCTGCAAACAATATGAATATTTTACATCATAATCGAAATTATAAACACGGACGACGCGCGACGTGTAAGAGATTAAAACAGAACGCACATGAGAGTCCTCCTCTGTGTCCATGTCGTCGTCTTGCGGCTTGTTCACGTCCTGAAACGTAGCACGCAAATGTTCACTCACGTTGCATGTCGGGCGTCAACCAACGCGCATCAGAGCAACGAGCGCGAATGCCGGTGGAAGCCATGTTTGAGAAAACACTCACATGTTCTTCATCCAACGCTGTCTGCAACCTTTTGACCAGGTCCGCTTTCAGGCCTGGTGAATGAGATTTGAACGAACATGAGAAAAAAAATGAATTAAAGCCGTAATCACGTAAACAGAACGCTGCCGCGCCGGCCAAGCGCATTTCCATCACCAGCTTGACAAGAGCATCGGAAACCTCCAACGCGTGTGTGTCGTCGCGTAGACTAGTTACAACGAACATGCATTGAACAATCCGTTTTTAATAAATCCGGAGTTATTTGTGACGGCTCTGAACTATTTCGAGAAAATAATGACTTTTTGGTGCGCATAGCGGTAGCGGTCTCGTTCATAGAGTCAGTAGCACCGAAGAAGAGGCATTTAGCCCCACAAGATAATCCGGCAGTGCGGGAAAAGTATTCCTTAGATAACCAGACTTACCGGAGGTGGATAATCCGCGTTCTGATAAGTGTTCTTTTAAATCAACAACGCGAAGCTTGGACAAATCGGCTCCCGTGAGCGTCGCCATTTTGTCCACTATGGAACCTACACGCTTTGCGGCTGCGGCACAATGCATTGAAGAGATTAAAGAGGGCGCCACAAATTAAATTGAAGTTTAAAATAAAAAGTAAATTTAGTGGCATACTACTTATGTGTCTTCTAAATAAATTTTAAATTCATCTATTTTTTATTATTTACAGGTAATATAAACTTTGCTTAGCATTGCAAGTCGCCTGGTTTTAATTGGGTCATAGCGAAACCGAAATCAAACAAGGTGCGTGTAGTTGCCGCGCTCAGAAACTGGCTCTGCAACAGCACGCTGTTGGTTAATTCTGCTTTTAATTTTTAGTTCATTGTCTGTGTTTACCGTCTCAAAGCTCAGCAAATTCGAAGAGGTGATAAGAAGTTAGTCATGTACACAAAAACTCGCTAATCAACCGGGTGCTTTTTTTTGGAAAATTGTCAAAGAGCGAATTTACCTGAGGGAAAAGTAAAGAAAGAAGGGGGCTTAACTCCTATGAAAACGCAGCGAAGCCACCGGTCTTCAAACAACACGGCGCCCTATGGTTGGAAGACCGGTGGCCTCGCTGCGTTCACATAGGAGTTAAGCCTTTTTTCTTTCTTGACATTTTCCTCGGGTAAATTCGCGCTCCACAAATTTTACAAAACAAAACAAAACAAAACAAAAAAAAAAATCATCATCTGTGGGTAACGCCGCACAAAATCGTAGCGAGAAAGGTTGAGAAACCAAAGTTTGCGGTCGATTTAAAAAGTCTGACCGGTAGGTTTTTTGAAGAATTCCTCCAGGCAGCGGCGTAAAATCTGGGGGGGGGGGGGGGGGGGTCCGGTCCTTCCCCCTGTTTTACAAAGGGGGGACCGGACCCCCCGCCCCCCCGGCCCGCAATTTAGGTCACAGTTGTTCGCGGAGGCATGTTTGGGGATTTTTACAAAGATTGGAGCGACGAATAATAAATAGTAGTTATAATGTCGTTTCACCTACTTGCATATATATCACACTAAAAAAATATAGGAGCTTTCTTTTTAATACTTTGAGATTGAAAGTGATTCAAAACGACAATCGTCAAAACCTTGTCGTTCTATCCCGCTTCTTTGAGATTTTTTGTCTCAGAAACTAAGCATGTCGGGACATTAAAATAAAAAAAAAAGATTGTTCTTCCTTGAACATGCGCCACAAAATATAAAAATTTGAAGCGAAATAAAATATACGACTGCACCTCGTTGCCTAAATCCAAATGAAACCGCCCATATATATATTTATTTCTCTGAAAACAACCATGCTGTACTTCTCTTTTTGTTCATTTTATCTTTGCACGTTGTTTAACGTCGCTTTTCGGTCCTAAGCACAAGGTTTGATACGACAAAAGTGCAGTTCTCGTGTCATCCTTCTTTTCATAGTTTGTTATTGTTATAAACTTCGTGATATTTGTAGGTACTGATTCAACAGGTAGGTGGTTTTCTAGTAACCGTCTAGTTTTTGGCAAATGTTGCACGAACAATCACATTCCGTTATGTAGCTGGCACTTTGTGATGTAACTTGCTATGCCAAGAAACAATAAAGTCTAAAAAAAAAAAACGGTTTATTTATAAATTCTAAACTTGTTTCAACCTGGTTTCTTCGTTATTCCAACTTTCAACCTGGTTTATATACAGATTCCAAACCTTATAGGGGTAGGGAAACAAAATTTCAGCGCTCATTTTTTAGCTTTAATGTGTTGCATGTTGCACCTTAACCTCAAAAACACCGGTCTTCCGTTGAAAAGCACAAGAAAACTAATTTTAAAGCTAAATAAACGATCTTTCAATGTGCACCTGGTGGATGCATGCATAGCCTATTTGGGAGGTGGTCTAGCAACGTTGTGGAATCTGTACGTAGTTGTGACGTAGCACATTTCTTTGGAGCAGCGCCGCCTTTTGGAATTTCAACATTTTCCTTTTTAGCTTTCCTCCTAGCTCAACTCACAAACCGCGCATTGTACCAAACGGTCCAAGAAAACGGAAAGGAAGGACTCTCCTGTTTCTCGGACCCTCGTTCGTGCAACCGGAAACAGCCATTCTCCCCCTAGATTAGCCCGTCCCTCAAAACTTGAACAAAAGTTGCTTTCCCCACCCCGTTCAGCCCCAGGGATGGGCAAAATACATGCAAATATGTATCGAAGTACAAATACAAAATACTCCGTCAAAAATGTATTTAATTACAAATCTAATTACATTTCCAAAAAAGTATTTAAATACACGATACAAATACAACCAAATGTATTTGGTCTCCTCCAAATACTTTTCCAAATACTTTCCTCAAAATTTGCGTCAGCGACTTCAGGGCACCTGCAACGGGTTTCTGGGTATCTCATTTTTATTTTGCATTGCACACTCGGGAGTTAGTGTGCGAGGATCTAGTGACTTAATAGAAATATAATCACACAAAAAAATGTAATCAGCTTGGACGTAATAGGTGAAAAAAGTACAGAGCTTCAAGCAGCTTTTATTGTCGATTACATTTTGGTATAGAACAACAAAGAACCAGGACGACCAAGATGCGCAGCACTAGCTAGAGAATTTTTTATTGTTGCAAATCTCACCAGTTACAAAAATCTGGACGACCCGTGCATTTAGAATGTTCCAGGCAAAAATGTGGAAGGAAACCAGGCTAGAAAGCATCACAAGTTGCCACAGGCACTTATTTAGCCAGTCTGCCTGTGAACGTCGATTTCGTCACTATTCTTGCCCTGGACTAGCACCGTAATCACAAAGTCACTAAACGCTTGTGCTTGATTGAGAGACATTGCATTCGGTGCAGAACGTAGTTGTCTTCCTGCTCTGGACAGTGACAATAAATTCGAGGGATGTATTTTCGCCCACAAAATTGTATTTAATTACAATTGTATTTGAAATACTCACGTTTTAGTATTTAAATACACACGTCAAATAGATTACCCAATTTGTAATTAAATACAAATGCAAAATACACAAAGTATTTAAAATACTGCCCATCCCTGTTCAGCCCTAAGCTGACAGTGTTGTGGAAGCTACGTGCTCCTTGGGCCAGCCACACGCTCGTCACCCCACGGGTACTTCGAAGTTCGAACGGCTCGGTAGTAACGCACATCGCTGACAACGCCACCAAGGGCAAAGCTCATAAGCACGCCTGCCTTGCTACTCCACGAACGCGGGAAATCTTTTCTTTCTGTTTTTGTTTGCGCCGGACATCCCATGACGCATCGCGCTCTCCGCTCGCTCCTCTTCGAGCGCTTGCTCGAGTGCACCGTTTGGAACGAAAACGTTCAAAATACAAACGTGCGATTATCATTTACGGTTATTATCCGTCATGCTTGACTCATTTCCGAACGAAATTCGAATATTTCAATTTTTGTTTCCGTACCCCTTTAAATGCTGTGAGCATCTTTTTCTTCTTCTTTTTTTTTTTTTTTGCTGATATTATTATTTGGGTTAATGTGCAGGTTGTCGCGATTTCAGACCCAGGCTGTTCCATCTGGGTCTGAAATCGTGACGATCTCTCGCTTGTAACGGCTAAGGGCATCGCGCGAAATACTTTTGTAGAGTCCAGTGGTGAGCGCAGCGGGAATTCCGGCGGCGCACCGCCTGGGTATCGGTTTCTATCTCGGTTGGTACCGCGCGGTACCAATGGCTCTGCAGAACCACTGGAACCAGACGGTTCCGCCTGGATCTGAAATAGGGGCACCGGTTTGTATCCCGTCTGGAACTGCGCGGTTCGAGGCGAGATACAAACTGGTGTCACAAGTTTAGATCCAGGCGGAACCAGCATTTTTTATTCCGGTCAGCCTCGGACATTTTCGTACGGCACCTGAAATGCCGAGACTCGATCCAAAATGGGCCGTATAAATCGGCGCCTGCGGGTAAAGAAGTCTAAACTTTTTGTCTAAGGTCGGTTTTATCTTGCAAAATTACGAAGCGTAGCTCCCTCCTCGTCAAGTTCAATTAGACTCATCGAGATATGTTGATATAATCTTGAGAAACTCGCGGGAATCTAAGCTGTAGAAATAAAAAAAAAAAAAGAGGCTGCAGCATTCGACTGTAGTTGGGACCATACCTCGGCAAACCTCACTCATGAGGGCCCTCACTCACCCTCACTCACCCTCATCTTCACAGGTGAGGTGAGGGTGAGTGAGTTTCTGAACCAGGAAAATTCATGAGTGTGAGGGTGAGTGAGGGCCGTGAGGGCTGTGAGGGCGGTGAGGGCGGTGAGGGCCGTGAGGGCCATGAGTGCGTGAGGGGCGTGAGGGCGGTGAGTGGCGTGAGGGCCATGAGTGCGTGAGTGGTGTGAGCCTGTGAGGGCGGTGAGTGCGTGAGGGGTGTGAGGGCCATGAGTGCGTGAGGGCAGTGAGTGGCATGAGAGGCGTGAGGGCCGTGAGGGCGGTGAGTGCATGAGGTGTGTGAGGGCCATGAGTGCGTGAGTGCGGTGAGTGCGTGAAGCTCCCTTCAGATCGAGCATCTCTCTCAGCAATTTTGGTGTTAATGGCGGGTTGTTCTCTAGCTTTCCCTAGATCGACACGAATTGCTGAGATCGGGTCCGGCTCGAAATAAGCAAGCAACTCAGAGCAATTCGAATACGTTTGAAGCGGCTTGCATCCAATCAGGGACGCAAAATTTTCACGTGATGCCTCGTGCCGGTGATGATATGACACCGAAATACTTGGTTCTGGTTTGAAATTACGTTTTTTTGGAAATAAACTGTTTCAGAAAGGTGCATTAGTATTCTTAACGAGATTTAAATGCATAAAAACTCGTTTATAACGCGTAATTGTGTCTAAATAGGGCAAGAAAAATAAAATTTTATGATGACGATGGCAAATTGCCGTGAGGGCGGTGAGGGCCGTGAGGGCAGTGAGGGCGGTGAGTGAGTGAGGGGCGTAAGGGCCGTGAGGGCGGTGAGAGCCGTGAGGGTGGTGAGGGCCATGAGGGCGGTGAGGGCCGTGAGGGCGGTGAGTGGCGTGAGGGCCGTGAGGGCGGTGGGGGCCGTGAGGGCGGTGAGTGGCGTGAGGGCGGTGA